TACGCTCCCCCTCTGTGTTTTCGCGAGTCTATGTTTTCGTGGGTCTGTGTTTTCGTGAGAGGTGTACTACTCCCTCCGCACCTTCGCTAGGCTGAGCCGCTGGAGGCATGCGCGCGCTCCCTCGGCGAGCTTCGTGACGGTGGAGGGGTTCCCCTTTTCTCCGGGAGTGGGACTTCCCCTTTTGCTTGGGCGGGTGGGACGAGGGGTACCCTCGCTCGCGAGAGGGGGCAAATCGATGGGTTTCTTGCCGAAACGCACCGAGTGCATGCCCCTTCATGCTAGTTTGAGCCGCCCTTCATGCTAATCTGAGCCGCCGGACGCGTGCGATGCTCCTGTGGCGGGCCTTTTCCGAGGAGGGTAGGGGGTCCCCTACCATCCCCCTTACTCGCAGATGAGGCTCGGTGCACGCGTCGTGGGGAGCAAGCGCAAAGGGGAAGGAGCTCCCTCTTCGCGCTCGGTGAGGGGGAAGGGCCTCTTCCTCTCGCTACGCGAAGGGCCTCCCCCGCTCGCTAGAGGAAGGAATTTCCCCTCTCGTTCGGTGACGGGGCGAGGCGCGCGCGCTCACTTGACGAGTCATGGGGCGAGGGTGGGAGCGCTTTCCCTCGGCGGCTCGAGAAGCGGTGAAGGCGGCGGCACGGGCAGCGGTGAAGGTGACTGCGAGGGAACGGTGAGGGTGGCGAGGGAGGGGAACCTTCCCCTTCGCGGCCCGGGAAGCGGTAAAGGTGACGGCGCGGACAGCGGTGAGAGTGGCGACATGGGAAGCGGCGCAAGGGGCCTCTTTCCCTTTCTCGGTGGACTGTTTCCCCAGCCCGGGCCGCGCGCGGGCCACTCCCTCGGCGGATAATGCGAAGAGGGTGGGAATCATGTGAAGGAGGTGGGGATGGTGCGAAGAGGATGGAAAGAATGATATGCAAAGAGGGTGGGTGTCTTCGTACTGACCCTCTTCCGTTGCATGCGTACTGACCCCCTCCCCGATTTTGTTTTGAAGAGACCGAACCGCCGGAGGCACCCCTGCACCCTCTCGGTGAGAGATGCGTCGAAGGAGGGGCCCTCCGTCTTGTGGGAGGGGGTGGATGGATGGATGCGGAGGGGGGTGGTGTCGGTGAGTGGACAGTGCTTATCTTCTCTTTGAAGTGTGCTTATTTGCTCTCTCAAGCGCGTTGATTGACGCATTACTCACAGATCCTGGCCGTTCTTGACCATCGAGGGTGTGCGTGCGCCCTCGACCACCGGGGCATGCGTGCGCCGCCAGGGTCTGTCCCGGGCCCTCCCTCGCTCTCCTCCTTTCCGAGGGGGCGAGTGTCAGGTTGGCTCTCCCCTTCGTGCTCACCCCACTTTGCCTGCTGACTCGCTGGTCCTAGGTTTCTAACGAGGGTCTGAAGAGGGTGGGGTTGGGCTCACACAAAGAAGGATGGGGGCTCGACAAAAAAGGAAGCCATCTTGTGAGTTGATAGATTCGCAAGTGCACCCCTTCCCATTCCCTCCCGCGACACCTCCCTCCCCCTCTGCGACACCTCCCTCCCTCGCTGCCACACCTCCCTTCGCTCGCTGCTACACCTCCGTCTCCCTCCGCGAGACCACGTTCCCCCTCCCTCGTTGCTACACCTCCTTCTCGCTTCGCGAGACCTCCTCCCTCCCCCTCCGCTATACTTCACTTCCTCCTTCGCTGGACCTCCCTCTCCCTCTCCCTCTCCCTCGTCTTCCCCTTCCCCTTCCGCTACACCTCTCTTTCCCCCTCCGCCCCACCTCTTCCCCCCTCCGCTCCCCCACCTCCCTCGAAGCGCGCTAACCCGTCGCCCAGATCCCTCCCCCCCTGAATGCGCGAGCGCGCACCCTCAACCCGAGGAGGCGGACGCGCACCCTCAGCCCGAGGAAGCGAACGCGCACCCTCAACGCCAGGAGGCGGACGCGCACCATCAGCCCGAGGAAGCGAACGCGCACCCTCAGCCCGAGGAAGCGAACGCGCACCCTCGCCCCGAGGAAGCGAGCGCGCACCCTCGACGAAATATTCGAGGGGGGGGAGTTCCCGGTGCGTCATTCCCCCCTTTCGACGGTGTGTTTGCTCCCCCTTCCGATGGGGAGTTCCCTTGCCCCCTTCCGACAAGGAGAGATCTCCCCCTTCCGATGAGGAGTTCCCTCGCCCCCTTCCGACAAGGAGAGATCTCCCCCTTCCGATGAGGAGTTCCCTCGCCCCCTTTCGACGGGGAGCTCCCTCACCCCTTCCTACGGTGTGTTTGCTCCCCCTTTCGACGGGGTGTTTGCTCCCCCTTCCGATGGGGAGTTCCCTCGCCCCTCCCGAGGTAAAATCCCTCCCCCCTCCAACGGTGCGTAGATCGGCCGTCTTGATACGGATGACGTGGAAGGGGTGAGCGCGGACGCGCGAGGGGTGGATGCGGACGCGCGGATGGCAGGGGTGGATGCGGACGCGCGGATGGCAGGGGTGGACGCGGACGTGGAAGGGGAAGGGGAAGGGGTGGACACGGACACGCGAGGGGTGGACACGGGTGCGCGGGTGGAAGGAGTCCTTGCCCGAGGTGTTGGTGCTGTCCCGGTTCGCGCTCATCTGATCTCCCCTTCGCGCTCATCCCCCCCTTCGCGCTAATCTCCCCCTAGCACTGCTCCCCCCTTCGCGCCGGACTTGTTCCTCGCGCAGGGCTTTTCTCGAGCTCCCCAACCCTCGGCCCTCCATCGCGGTCGACTCCTTCCGCGCGCCACCCCTTCCCCGCGGCAAAGTCGACTTCGAGCCGCGAATCTCGAGGGGGAAGGGCGTCCGGCGGACGCGTGAGGGGTGGGGGATGGAGGAGGAGGGAGGAGGGAGGAGACGAAGGGAGAGGAGGGGTCGAAGGCGATGGGAAAGCGCATATAACTAGGTGGGAAGTGGACGGAAGGAGGCGGGAAGCAAAAGGCGGGGGACGGGAGAGCGAAAGACGGGGGAGGCGGGATCGACAGGGAGCGACCGGTGCTGGGAGTGGGGGAGATGGAGGAGGGGACGGTGGGGGCAATGGAGAGACGGGGGAGCGCGCGCGTGCGTCGGTGCCGATAATATGTGAGCATTGAAATTTGACTTTGCACGGGGAGCGCGGGACGTCTTCGACGGCAGAGGGGCGGGTTGAGGGAGCGGAGGCGCGGGGGACGGACGTTGTGATGTGCTTACATCCTCGCGGGGCAGCAAGAGCGAGTGAGGACGGTCGAAGACGAGAAGGAACTATGACATTGTGCGCGGGCGGGTAGTGTACGTGTGTAGCTGGTCGTCGTCGAGTACATGAGCGGCGTGCGTGGTCTGCTCGCAGGTCGTCGCACGTTGACGATGAGATGAGATCGAAAGGAGAGGGTCGAAGGCATGTGATGACGAGAGAGAGGCGGGTGGCACGTTTGTCGGGTCGAGCGCACGAGATGGTCGCGCACTCGACAGTCGAACGTGGAAGGCAGCTCAGAGAGGGGGCGTTGAGCCAGCGGGGTGCGAAGGGTTGCGGGTCACCGGCCCGGTGATTGGCGCTGCGTCATGCAGACGACCTGACAAGTCAAGAACAGTCAAGCTATCTACTCCGTCGAATAACCCCGCGCGTCGCTCGTCTCTTACCATCATCTACCTCGTCCCCGTACTCGCAGAAAACCTCGGCACCTCGCATCTCCTCGAGTTTTCTACCCGCGTGCTCCTCGACACCGAAGAGCACCCAACCCGACCCCGTCGATATACGGTCCAACGTATATCGCTAGGTCGGCCCCAGCACCAGCGCATGACCCAGCTCCATGCCCACTTCCACTATCGCAACAAGCAGGCGTTCCAGCGCCTGCTGGACGCCGACCGGGCTAAGCCCGGCGGTGGTGCACCCAGCACGAGCGCGGGGCGTGGAACTCCGGGCTCGTGGACGAGGACGCTAACGGCGTCGACGCTGGACGTGAACAAGCGAGACTGGCTTGGACGGACGCCCCTCCATCTTGCCTGCTCGGCGGGCTTGGATGCCCTCGACTACGTGCGCATACTGCTGCGCCATCCAGCGATCAACGTCAATCTGGCGGACGCGGAGAGCGGCTGGACGGCGCTGCATCGCGCGCTCTATGCGGGCAATTTACCTGCTGCGTGCGTGATTTGTCGATAGCTTATCGGACAGGTTCTGACCCATCTCAGCATCCTTCTCCTGCAGCGGAGCGACATTGACATCTCCCTGAAGGACCTCGAGGGATACACCGCCTTCGATCTCTTCAATGCGACCGTCGAGGGCACCAAGCCAATCCCCAATGATTCCCGCGCAGAGCTCTTCACATGGGGCATCAACAAGAATGCCGCGCTGGGTCTCGGAAACGGCGACGACAGAGTCTACCCAGAGAGCGTCGTCATCCCCGCCCTACGCGGGGTCCCCCCAGACGATCGCCGCTTTCTGCCGGCTCACATCCACGCCATACACATGTCTAAACTGCACACGGCTGTCATAACCAACGAACCCGCATCCAATATACGAGTATGTGGATTCGGTAGCGGCGGCAGGTGAGCGAGTCCTGTGCGCTTTCGACCCTTCGCTTACAGCCCGCGTAGACTCGGACCTGGTCAGCACACGCTGCAGTATTCCTTCCAACCCCTTCACTCCTCTGTCCCGTCCCTGAGCATTGCATCCACCGCACTCGGCCAGGACCACACCCTCGTGCTCACGATCTCGGGAGAGGTCCTCTCGTGGGGGCTTAATCGATTCGCACAGCTGGGTTACGTCGTCGAAGTCACTGGGCCCTTCACTCAGGAGCCCATCCAGGTGACGCCGCGGAGGATCATGGGTGCCCTGCGCAAGGAGACGGTGGGAGGGATCGCAGCGGCGAAGACGTGCTCTGCTTGCTGGACCGCGGAGGAGGTCTATACCTGGGGCACGAATTCCGGGCAGCTGGGCTACGATCAGCCTGTTCAGGTGCTGCCGCGGAAGGTGACATGGGTCTCGCGCGTGGTCGACGTCGCGCTTTCGGTGGGTATTTGCGCCATCATCTTCTCAAAAACAGCTCTGACTGCTGCGTAGGACACGGCCATGGCCTGCCTTCTGCAATCCCGCGACGTCGTTCTCCTGTGCAACTACCAGCACACAAAGCTGAGCTTCCCCACCGCCTTCCCGTCCGAGATCCAGCCCTATCGCCCCCCGCAAGCGATCAAGAATGCGCATATATCCAAGATCGCGACGAGCGATGGGGTGTTTGGCGCGCTCTCGTCGAACGGGGAGGTTTTTACCTTTCGTCCTCCGCCAGCTTTGTGCGATGGGAAGGAGAGGACGGGTGCGGTCCTGCGGAGTGACCCGAAGGAGAAGCTGCGAAGCGACATCAAGGAGCGTGGCGGGAAGAGCGCAAATGTACTGCCGTTGCGCGTGTGGGCCTTGAGGAAGCAGTTCACGGCGATCAGGGTATGCTTTGAGGTGGTTTTGCTCGATGACAGCAGCAACTGACTGCTCTTGATAGGACTTCGCCCTGGGTGCAGATGGGTCCATCATCTTGTGCACGGAATCAGGACACGTCTTCGTCGGCTCGCAGACGGGCAAGGGCGGCCAGGTTGGCCCTCAAGCCGGCGGGCGCAAGCCTTTCAAGTATACGCGGCTGCCTTACATTCAGCGGGTTACGCAGGTAGGTCAACTCGGGTGCATATATGCGCATAGACTTGATCTGAATTGCCTCCAGGTCTGCGCGAACATATCAGGCGCCTTCGCAGCGATACGCGTAGACGCGGCGCCGAAGCCGATCGCGGTGCACGGGAACACACTCGCGCAGGATATGGCGCATCTGCAGCCGTACATGGTGCTGCCGGATGAAGAGGACCGCTTTCCGGGCTGGCGACCGACGTCGTCGAGGGCGCGTGGGCCGGTGTACGAAGTTGATGGGGCAGATGGGGCGAAGGCTACAACGGCGCACGAAGATGAGCATGAGGAAGACGAGGACGACGGAGGGATCGTGCATGACCTCTACGTCCTGCGCGATATCTGTGTGGCGCTCATACGGCAGATGGAGGCGCGGAAGGTTTACGATGAGGCGAAGGACGAGCAGGGCAAGGACAGCGACAAGGATAAGCCGGGCAGGGACAGCGACAAGGCCGAGCACGCGCAGGCCGATAGTTTCCTAAACATGCCCCGTGGCGCCGATATGCTCGTGCGCCTACCGAATGGCGATGCGTACCCAGTGCATAGCGTCGTGCTCGCGGCTCGCTCGACGGTGCTGCGCGACATCCTATCAAGCTCGAGGGCTGTCGACTCCGCCGACTTGAAGGGTTTGCACATCGACTACGCCGAGGGCAAGGCGAGGTCCGCGACCCAGGAGTCAGCAGTACCCGCCCTCGAGATCCGTGGATGCCATGCGCTCACCGTGCTCATCCTGCTGCGCTACCTGTACACCGATGACCTGCTTGCGGTGTGGGACCCACGCATTGCGACAGGCTTGGGGCGCATAGATGGGCTGGGGTTGGACCTGGGTGTGGTCAAGCCGCAGCTGCGTGCACTCGCGCAGTTGCTGGATCTTCCCAAGCTCGCGCGCGCGCTGGAGTCTCCGGCGAAGCGGGTGCCGGAGGCGTCGTTGGCGAGCGACCTGCGCGCGTTGTACGCTCCGACGAATGGCTTCACTTTGAGCAAGGAGCCCAATGCGCTGCTGCGCCCCGACGTGGTGCTGCAGTTCAAGGATCGGGAGGTCACGTGTCATTCGGCGGTCCTGCGGTGTCGAACAGACTACTTCGCGGCGTTCTTCGACGAGGCGGTTTGGACGGAACGGCGGAAGGGTGAAGAGGGTGCCATAGTCCTTGATATGCGACCTTTCAGGTGGGAGGTGATGCAGTACGTGCTTAAGTATGTATACTGTGGGGAGCACGAGCTCTTTGGTACTTTCGGTAAGTCTGTTCTCTTGTAGATGAGGACGAGACTGACTGCTTTCAAGACTTCGCCCACAACGTAGACGAGCTCATCGACTTCATATTCGAGGTCATATCCGCTGCTGTGAGTCTCATCGGCCCACTGCATCCTCGTCACCCATGAATTTCATGCAGAATGAGCTCCTCCTCCACCGTCTTGTCCTCGTCTGCTCCGAGATCATACTGCGACACGTCAACGTCAACAATGCATGCTTCATCCTCGCGGAGGCTACGCACTATCATGTGGCACCGCTCGTCGAGAGCTTGCAGGGGTATATCGCAGTCAACATGGAAACCTTCCTGGAGAGTCGCATGCTGGACGACCTGTCGCCAGACCTCATCACCGAGCTTGCCACCTTCGTTCGGCAGAAACAGGTGCAGCGACTACGTCTAGACGAGCTGGATGCGCAGGTCGCGCGGCTGATGGCGGCGCACGCGGATTGGCTGGCGACGCAGGATGTAGCGGAGCCCATCATTCCGTCGAATCGGGCGAGGAAGGACTCAGCGAAGATGTCCCCGTCGGCGTCGACCAAGATTTTGCGCAAGCCGCCCTCCAGTCCGACGTTGGGCGCGCAGGTGCTGACGTCGTCTGCCAGCGGTAATGATGATATTTTTGAGATGGACGATGCTGTCCCACCGTTCAATATTGGGGCGCCACCTCCACCGGCTACTACTCCCGCCTCTTCGTCCAGGGTTTGGAAGACGCCGAATGCTCCTCGGTAAGCTCGCTATTGCCTCAGCAAAGAATCATCAGCTAATGTGTGCTCAGCGTTGACATGAAGTCCCTGATGGCAGAGGCCGAAAACCAGGCTAAGCCGAGCATGCTTGCAGAGAGCTCTGGCAAGGGATCCCTTCGCGGCACGCCGAAGGAGTGGCGCAGGCTTCCATTGCAGGACACCCCTCCACGCACCCCGCCGGCGCGGACACCAGGCATGCCGTGGCGGATTCCGTCGTCCTCGACCCCACCTGCCGGTTCATCGTCGCTGGACTTCCCTACACCTGGAGTTGTACCACAACTGTCTTCAGCCTTCCCACCGGTCGAGAGACGGCCGTCTCAACCGACACCCTCCGCCCAGCGGAAGGTGCCACCTTCGCCGCCGCGGCCTGGAAAGTCCTTTGAAGGTGGTCTTGGTCCCGTATACACTCCCGCCAAGCAGTCTCCGGCGAAGATGCGTGCGACGTTAGTGCTACAAGCCTTCTATCGTGAGCGTCAGCTGATATGCCTCCAGATCCTCGGCTGCTGCGTGGACGTCGCCACCGGTTGAGCCCGTCACAGCTCCCTCGACGGGAATGTCGTTCGCGGCCATTCAGCAGGCGCAACAGGATCAGAGCGCCCCTGTACGCGACAAGCGCTCACTGAAAGAGATTCAGGAGGAAGAGCGGGACCTGCAGGCGGAGGCGGACTTCTTGGTCTGGTGGACGGCCGAGGAAGAGAGGCTGCGGGTGGAGGCTGAAGCCGTCAGCGCCGCGTTGGTGAAGTCGAAGAAGGAAGGCGGGAAGAAGAGAAGGGGGCCTGGTCCTGATGGTCAGCGACGTCGTCCGTCTGGGCAGGACAATCCGAGTGCGGGGCAGCAGCGACAAATGGGGAGACCACAAGACGGCGAGCGGTCGGAAGGCGCTCGGCAGGAGAGCCAGGGTCAGCGACCCGCCAATGCCACGCCGCCCTCGAAGCCGCAAGGGCGTCGTCCCAAGAGCAAACAGGTGCCGTCTGGACGATCGGCGCCACCGACCTCCGCCTCGTGAGCCGTGTAGAGTATACAGTAAGTTATCGTTTAATTTGTAGATGTCGTTACACTACGGGGTTGGAGGCCTGGTCGTATATATCCTTGTAGCTGTAGTTCTGTATTGTACTTTGGGATGGGTAAAGCAGACGTCCTTAGCAAACGTCCTCAGCGAAGATCGTCAAGGACTGAGGTCTTTTTCCCTGTGGCGCGAAGTTTTCAAGCTGCCACAATGGTTGGGAAAGGTGCTGCGAAAGATGTAATTGTTTCGCTGATAGTACGCCTTCGTTCTTCAGTGATGACTACGCAGCCACCCCGACATCACGAAAAGGTCCTACGACCTTGAGCGGTACCGAGGCGCAAGCTTACTGTCGTGAGGTTTAAAACGCTTTGAGGCTACCTAGGTCAGCCCAATATGGCTTCGCACAGATGATGTTTAATTTCAGGTCCTGACGCTTACCGGGGCACGTTCGCAACGCCAGCAAATGTCTCTCTGCGGCACGAAGGCGAGTGGAGGAGGATCTATTCGGGTAACATTACCACAGAGTCTTGTATGTATACATGGACTGAAAATTATTGAGTAAAAATCTATCACACTCGTCGAGAACATTGTCCGAGGTCCACGAAGCCTGAGAAGATATATCGAGTCGGGTACCATAAGAGGGAGTAAGCATACAGATCTGGCGGATATTTGCAAGGGACTTAATGGTGCCAGGTGTAAAACCGTCTCGCAAGCGTGGCATCTTGTCAACGAGGAAGAAACCATGAGCTGCAGGCCTTGCGCGCATCTCGGTATACCATTCGATGTACGCCAGCGGCTCCTTCGGCCACGTGTGAGGTGCAGGATGAGGACCGAAGACGTCGATTGTCTGTGGCAGGGTAAAAATGACCTTCACCCGCCCGACTCGGGTACCTTCCAAGCCGTCAGTTTGTCTCAAGACACACAAGAGATAATAGAACATACCTTCCACACCAGCATCCTCGGCTTTATCGTCAACGAGGGCGATGACCGTGTCAAACTGGGCAGATCCGCCACTGCTGCGTGGGACTGCCTTGACAGTCTCGCACGGATCTTCGTCGTCATCCACGCTTCCGGGGCGGAGCTTGAATTGGTAGAATACATTTGATGAGATGCAGGTCAGTACATACTTTACTTACCTATATACCCACGGACAATCCGGACGCAAGTCCGCTACCTATGCATTCCTTCCTTTTAGGGTACAATACACGGACCCACAAAACGGACCCATACGGTCCCACATACTTACATAAGCCTCCGTATATCTTCACTTTCCGATCGGCAGCTCTCCTCAGTCGCTCTATCACTACGTAGACCAAGCACTGAGGTGAGCTGCCCGAGCCGCTCCTTACTTACTGTTTACTTACTCTCTCTCAGCTTATCGTTGCCTCATAGGTGAATATAGTCGCTCTATCACTACGTAGACCGAGCACTGAGCTTATCGTTGCCTCATAGCTCGATATCCGTGCTCTCCCGAAGGTCTCTGATTCTCACAGGTTATGAGCCCCGCCGTCAAGCTTCTAGCCCAGAATTACTAGCGACTCAAATATAATGTCTTCCGCCTCCCGCAGCGACAACGGTGATGCTGGATCTGCCGACGCCGACACTGGCTCGGACGCCCCGATCATCTCGACGATCGTCAGCACTGCAACCCCCTCCCGGATCGCCCACTCCTTCGTCACCCCCACACCGGTCGATCCCGCGTTGTTGAAGGAGACCGGGCAGCGCATCGATCACTTCGCATCGGTCCCGATTGCGAAGGAGGACGGCTCAAATTTTCGCGAGTTCAGCTTCCGATGGGCGATCGGCGCAAAGAGTGCAGGAATCGCTCACCTCTTCGACGAGGACTACGTCCCTCCCGAGAAGCCCACCGATCCATCCAGCTCGACGTACGAAGACGATCTCAAGGCGTACAACGCGTACACACGCCTCGAGAACACCGCCCTCCTCCTCCTCAGCACCAAGCTCACCACCGATGTCGCTGAGGCCGTGGTGGAGGAAGCCGGTCGCGTGTACGACGTCTGGGTGAAGATCATCAAGAAGCTCGCGGAGAAGTCCGAGATCTACGTCACCCTCATGAAGAACCGCTGGGCGGCGCAGTCCTGCGACTCGAAGGAGAACCTGCACAAGTTCCTCGAGGACTCGGACAAGACGATTACCACCATCCGCATTGCTGGCGGCAAGGACGCCGTCACCGAGGCAGAGCGTCGATCACACGTTCTCGCCGCTATCCCTGCGGAGTACAAGAAGTTCATCAGCACCATCATCGAGAGCTACCACCTATCAACCGGCAAGATCTTACCCACGCAGAAGATCGTCGAGACGCTTATTGGCCAATATGAGTACCTTCACACGGAGAAGGTGGTCAACTCGACGATGCGCACGAGTGCGCCACGGGAAGTCGTTCTTGCGGCGGCTGAGACGGGCGGTGGCTATGGTGGCGGTGGCAGTGGCTTCCGCGGCGGTCAACCGCGCGGACGCGGCTTCCCTCGAGGTGGTCGCGGCGGCGGCGCGCCCCCTCGTGGCATGTTGCGCGGTGGTCCTCAGTTCGGCGGTGGTCGTGGTCGCGGTCAGTCGAGGGAGACGCGCCGGTGCTTCAAGTGCCATCAGGTCGGGCACATCAGTCGCGATTGCCCGAGCCATCCGGGTGAGGCGCACGTTGCGGAGGAGGATGAAGATTACGCCTACCAGGTGGAGGCGGAGGAAGAGGTCGATGACCTTGAGGGCTTGCCCGATGACGATGAGGATGCGTCCGACGCTGTCGACGACCTCGCCGGGCTCGCCGAGGAGGACGACGAAGGCTGGGATGCGTGGAGCGACGCAACGGACGACGATATGCCCGCGCTACAGCCTGTCAGCGATGTCAGTGACTTTGAGGACGAGGACTCCACGCGTGCCTCGTCCCCCACCTCCTCACTCTCCTCGTATGTCGACGTCGAGCACGGGTTGCTCGGCAGCGAGGAAGAGATTGTCGCGCGCATGGAGGCTCTGCGAGAGCACATGCGGAGCGCGAGCATCAGCGGCGACGATTGGGAATCGTGCGCCAGCGATGAGCACAGCGAGACAGAGGACTCGCCGGTGCAGGAGCCGCTGAGGCGGCCGGATGTGGACATGATCTGCGCGAGGGAGCGCGTAGCTGTCGAGGCGGCGATGGTGGGGATCGAATTCATGCGCTCCCACTACGACCCCGACTGGGAAGGCGAGGACTTCGAGAAGACGTACTTCGGCGATGGCGACAACTTCTTCGACAGCGACAACGAGTCCGACGAGGAGCCTGTTCAGCCCTCACCCGCGCGTGAGTCGGCCAGCCTCAACATGCTCCACGATGTCTTTGTCGGGCTCGACGACCTCGAGTTCATTTCGCCGGACGGCGAGTATGTCGGTGATGATGTCCTCAGCATCGACCCCGCAGGCGATCCCCCGCGCAGCGGCGCGCGCATCGACGTCTACGACTCCGGTTGCTCACGCCACATGACGAACGACCTCTCGCGCTTCAAGTCACCACCCACCGCATGTGAGCCTCGCACCTTCAAGGCCGCGAATGGGAAGCAGTTCCAGGCGACGCGCAAGGGGCCCGTCGACATCCCTCTCGGTCACGGCGAGTCCATTCACCTCACCGACGTCCTCTATGCGCCTGCCATCTCCAACACGCTCATCTCGATCGGCGCGCTCGACGACGCCGGCTATACAATCTCCTTTGGCGGCGGTCATGGAGTCATCCGCGACATGGACGGCAAGGTCCTCGGCTCCGTCCCGAAGTCGAAGAACGGCCTGTATCGTGTCGTGCACGAGTCCGACGTTGGCGGCGCGCATGCGGTCGTCGAGAAGCTCACGGTCGACGATTTCCACCGGCGCATGGGGCACATCGCGCCGAAGGCGGCGAAGAACCTTGTCGCGAAGGGTTTCGTCGATGGAGTGGAGTTGGACGATGGCGAGGGCGAGACGTTCTGCGAGTCTTGCATCTTCGCGAAGCAGACTCGTCGGCCGGTGCACAAGGAGCGTGAAGGGGAGCGCGCGGCGGAGACTGGTGGGAAGGTCTTCTCCGATGTTTGGGGGCCGGCATCGACGCAGGCGAAAGGGGGAGTCCGCTACTTCTCGACGTTCACGGACGATCACGATCGATGGTCGACGGTCTTCTTCCAGCGGACGAAGGACGAGACGTTCGCTTCGTACAAGGCGTACGAGGCGTGGATGCTTCAGCACGTCAAGGCCGCGATCAAGATCCTGGTGACCGACGTCGGCGGTGAGTACATCGACGATGAATTTCGCGCTCACCTTGCATCCCGCGGCACCATCCACCACTGGACGACGCACGACACCCCCGAGCACAACGGCGTTGCCGAGCGCCTCAACCGCACCCTCCTCGAGCGCGTCCGCGCTATGCTACACGCGAGCGGCCTCCCGCGCATGCTCTGGAACGAGGCCGTCCGACACGCTTGCTGGCTGAAGAACCGCACTTCGACGCGCGCGCTTGGTGGCAAGACTCCTTACGAGGTTCGTTTTGGGCGGAAACCGAACCTTGCTCACCTCCCAGAGTGGGGCACCAAGGTCTTCGTGCACCACAAGCCGAAGTCGAAGCTGGCGCCGCGGGCGCGCGTCGGCTACTGGGTCGGCTTTGGGGAGGATGAGGGCGCGTTGGACCAGTCCCAGGGACACCGCGTTTATTGGAAGGACACCAAATCGGTCACCATGGAGCGCAGTGTCGCCTTCTCACCAGCCGAGCTTCGGTCTGAGGGGGAGGGAGGTGCTGGCAGCCCTGTGCTCGCTGGCGGCGACGAGGCGACAACGACGCGTCGTCCAAATCGCCCAATGGGGAAATCCCCGGAAGTCGGACCGGATTCCGGAAGCGGCGCCGACGCCGGCGATGGCGAGCAGCTCGACGCGCCCGACGCGCCCGACGTTGCCCCAGAAAACGCGGACGACGAAGGAGACGACGAGCAGGATGTTGGCCGACCTACCCGAGCACGCAAGCCTTCGCGGAAGGTGCGCGACATTGTCGACAGCGGCGGTCGTCTTGCGCGCGGCATCTTGCTGCCCGAGGACGCCACGGAGGAGCAGGCGATGATGGCGGCGACGGCCGAGTCAGAGGGGCTCGAGCCGCGGACGTTGGCGGAGGCGAAGGCGCGCGCAGACTGGCCGAAGTGGAAGGGCGCCATCGAGGAGGAGTTAGCGACGCTTCAGGGGATGGGAACTTGGGACGTCGTGGATACGCCACCCTACGCGAACGTCGTCGGCACGAAATGGGTCTTCAGGATCAAGAAGAACGCCGCCGGAGGGATTGAGAGGTACAAGGCGCGTCTGGTGGCGCAGGGATTCACGCAGGTTGAAGGTGTGGATTTCTTCGAGACTTACGCCCCAGTCGCTCGCCTCTCGTCCATCCGCACGTGCCTCGCGCTCGGTGCGCGACTCGACCTTGAGATCCACCAGGTCGACGTCAAGGGCGCATACCTCAACGGTGATCTCATCGAGGACGAAGAGATCTACCTTCGGCATCCCCCCGGCTATCCGCTATCCTCCGAGCCGCACCGCACGTCCTTGCGCCTCAAGCGCCCCATCTACGGCTTGCGGCAGTCAGGCCGCTACTGGTACATCAAGTTCGGGTCGACGTTGAAGGCGATTTTGGGCATGCAGCGGTGTGAAGTCGATCATTCTGTGTTTTATCGTCATCGAGGCAACGAGCTGATTATCATAGTTACTTCTGTAGATGACCTGACCATCCTCACCTCCACCTCGGAGCTGATGAACCTCGTCAAAACGAAGCTACGCGAGTGCTTCGAGATCACGGACATGGGCGAGATCCACTGGATCTTGGGCATCGCCGTCCATCGTGATCGCGCCGCGAGGATGATCTCGCTCTCGCAGACCGCCTACATCGACTCTGTCGTGCGGCACTATGGTCTCGAGTCCGCGAAGGACTCAGCAATTCCCATGGACACGCACAACCGCTTGTCGGCGTCGCAGTCCCCTCGGAACGCAGAAGAGGAGGCCGCGATGCGCGATATCCCGTACCGCGAGATCGTCGGGAAGTTGATGTATGCGTCCATCGGTACTCGTCCCGACATCGCGTACGCGGTGCACTCGCTGTCGCGGTTCGTCGCTCGGCCTGGAAAGGCCCATTGGCTCGCAGCCAAACGCGTTGTGTGCTACCTGAAGGGTACGCGCACCTGGCGACTGACCTACGGTCATGCCAGCGAGGAGTTTGTGGGTTTCGTCGACGCCGACGGCAGCATGAACGACGACCGCAAGGCCATCACGGGCTACGCGTTCATGATCGACGGTGGCGCAGTCAGCTGGAGCTCGCGCTCGCAGACGATTGTGTCGCTCTCGACTGCCGAGTCCGAGTACGTGGCGGCGACCGAGGCTTCGAAAGAAGGCCTCTGGCTTCGCTCGCTCATCGCGCAGATCTTCGAGCCGGTCTTCGTGATCATCGAGGGCGCGACGCCACTGCACTCGGACAACCAGGCGGCCATCGCGCTTACCCGAGACCACCAGTACCACGGGCGTACGAAGCATATGGACGTGCGCCTGCACTTCATTCGCTATGTGGTCGATGACGGCAAGATCATACTCGTGTATTGTCCTACCGAGGAGATGGTTGCTGACGCGTTGACAAAGGCGCTGCCAAGCGCGAAGGCTAAGCACTTCGCCGCTGGGCTTGGACTTGGTCCGGCTTGAGGGGGAGTGATGAGATGCAGGTCAGTACATACTTTACTTACCTATATACCCACGGACAATCCGGACGCAAGTCCGCTACCTATGCATTCCTTCCTTTTAGGGTACAATACACGGACCCACAAAACGGACCCATACGGTCCCACATACTTACATAAGCCTCCGTATATCTTCACTTTCCGATCGGCAGCTCTCCTCAGTCGCTCTATCACTACGTAGACCAAGCACTGAGGTGAGCTGCCCGAGCCGCTCCTTACTTACTGTTTACTTACTCTCTCTCAGCTTATCGTTGCCTCATAGGTGAATATAGTCGCTCTATCACTACGTAGACCGAGCACTGAGCTTATCGTTGCCTCATAGCTCGATATCCGTGCTCTCCCGAAGGTCTCTGATTCTCACAACATTGACACGTTTGAAGGGAAGATCATAGGCGAGAGCACGAGCAGCTGTGGTAGGATGGGGGGAGAGGGTATTTAGGTATTGCTTGAGACGGGCAGAGAAGCCGGGCGCATTGTGTGTAGCTTCGATCGAGGCGAGAGTCACTACCTTGTTCGGATGCTTCGCGATGCGGACAGCGACGTTCTTGGCCTTCGAAGGCAACGCGAGCTCGTTGGCACTAGGCGGTGACGGGACGGTGGCGTCGATGAAGGTCTCGAAGGCAGCGATTTTTTCCTGGCGTTCAAGCCACGCCGTCATTTGCGGGAATGCATCGCGCTTGTTCGAAGCCCGCCAGCCCTTCTTGGCGAAGTCGATATGTAGCCGCTCGAACATTTCGGTGTTGTAGTTGTCGGTGGACCCCAAGAGACGGATCGACTCGACGTAGTGGAGGAGGGAATGGAATTTCGGGATATTAAGGTGGCTGCGCACTTCAGCCGAGATGAAGTATTGTTTATTAGTCTCCCAAGCGTCGAGCGCAGCCTGCATCTCGCGAAGGGACTGGTCGTCGTGGGAGGAGTATTGGGCATAATATATGAAGTCGAGGAGGCCGCGACAAGCCTTGATTCCGGAGGGCGCGATGATGCCGACAAGACAGCCCAGCAGAATCTTGGCCATCTGCTTGCGCTCGCTTCCCGAGATCTGGGACAGAGCAGACAGGCCATTGCTGAAGTGCCGAACACCGAACGTAGGGGGGAGCGTACGGATGCGGCGGTCGAGCTCGTCGGGTGACATACATGCGTTGCACCAGGCTATAAGGTGCTTGAGTACACCCTGATAGAGCTGATGCAACACGTCGGGAGTGATCGCGGCATGTATGTCAGTGAAGGGAAGAGATTTCCAGAAAGGTACAAATACGCCGCCAGCGACGTCACGAGTCATACAATAGTTGTAGTACTGGGGGACGGTCTGGGAGCTCTGCATCGCGTCATCCAGAATGCCCTCCGTCCACGCCTTCGTGCGCGGCGGGTGTGTCTGTGGATCCTGCAGCTTGTCGGCAGGACACTGGCACTTCGGACATGTGCCGTACTTTGAGCAAGCAACCAGGCACTGCTCGGGGAAGTCGGCGACGTAGGCAGCTAGTACGGGATGCACCCGGCGTACTGCGCCATCGCCACCAACCATCTCGACACCATGGCGGCCGGCAGGAGCGAGGGAGGCGAGGATCATGCGCATCGACTCGTGGAAGATGCGCTGCCCCCGAGCCCGGGTTTCGGTCTCCGTGAGGTCATGAGCGAGGAGCTTGTCGGTTGATAGGTAACCGATGAGGACACAGGCATGTTTCGATGGCTTACGGCGGATAGACTTGGGTAGGTTGCCGAGTGTGAGGTATACCGGGTATGCAGATTTCCCTCCCGAGAAGTTGGTAAGCTGCGTCTTGTCTGTTGCGATGATGACGGGCGCGAGCGTCGCACCAGAAGGTAGCTGGTCCTGGAGGCATGATTCAGTATCAAAGGCAGATGTTATCATATGGCCGATACACACCTGCACGTTGTGCCACCAGTCGCCAGTCCACATTTCCGAGTAAATGCGGTTATGTCGGTTTGCGTTGCTGAAGACCTTCGTTGGCGCGTAGACCAGGTGTTCAGCAAGGGAGGGATCGCGTATGGCCTCGATAGGGTCGCGCATGCGCACAATATGAGTCTCGTTGGGGCGATCCTTGAAGCGCAGAGCACGAGTCTGCCACTTTCCAGCACGCGAAGGAACGGAGTCGACCTTGGCAAACAGGGAGTAGGCGTTGGAGTACGATAGGTCGAGTTTTTCGCGAACCTAATGCAAGCATGAGCGGTGGAAAACACGTCCAGAAGAGAGAAGACGCACCCCGGGAATAGACAACAACCGATCCATGGACTTGTGTCCGATGTTCTCGGTGACCAGCCAATGTGCAATCTGCCAGTCGAGAGCTGATGCGAATGGGTGAAAGCGCTGGTCGGAGGCTGCTTCGTCCTTGTCGACATCGAAGTGCTGCTTCCATACATCGTGTAGAGCCGTATCCATTCGAATCGTCTTGCCGGCACCGAGATATTCGTCGTACACGCGCTGATCATCGAAATCGTCGAGTACACGCACTTCCTGAGCCCTGGCTGCGCGACTCGCTTGGGTTGAAGGTCCGGGTCCGGCGGTCCCGATCGCGGGTATGTCGTCCGGCGGCTCACGCACATCTCCAGAGTCAGGAGCAACGAAGTGGTAGAGCTGATCCCTGCCGAGCTGTATTTGCCCGACATGTTCAGCCAACGCCGCGGTCTCGATGTCCTCGACCTCGGCCTGTGTAGCTTCTGCGAGCTTGCCCGCACGATACCAAGAGCACTTTTTGGACTGCCGCAGATGCGAGTTACGAGCTCCAACGGTCTTGAAGTGCTTAAAGCAGGCGGGGCAGACGAGGGGGCTGATATCCGATTCGGAGAACATGCTGACGTGGTGGCTGGAGGTGGTGGGTGGGATGAAGGGCGTGCGTCGGTGGGCGGCTGAGCAAATGGCACTGCACTGTTGGGGGATGGTCAGTTGTGTCGTACGAGAAGAATACAAGGTCTAGTACACATACCAGAACCTGTTCCCGGCCTGCCTACACGCTATCGTTCGAGCGAGAAACCTTCGCTCATTTCAGATATTGAACGCTTTTGAGCCTTGACCTGCTTTGTGCACGATTTGGATCGAAGGGAGGGGGAATTCAATTCATTACATGCTTGGATCCTACGAAAGAGGCGGGGTACAGAAAACAGAATTAGGATGCAAGCAGCGAGACGACGAAGAGAGTCCAGAAGTAACAATAACCTTGTGATCTGATGTGTTCACGGATGGCGTGATGTCGAAGTTTACTTCCTTGCCTTTCGCGTCCATGGTCGGCGCGCTGCCTGCTCGTTCAAGTCGGAGCGAAACTGCCTACCACCTGACGATGGCCACGCCCCCTCTCGATCCTGACCGCCCGGTCGTGGCCACGAGCTCTCTCGCCCTTCAGGATGCTCGTACGACCTTGAGTCGACCTGGGCATGCCTAAGACATATCAAGGTTCGTCTCGAAGACCTCCCAGCCCCCATCCTTGCGTCCCTCTCACTATGGGGTCATCTCATCTTTATATGTCCAGTTCCTAATCCAGAAATTCACTGTATATAAGCTGCTCATGAATCTGCACGGTGCGACACTCACGCTCCATTCCTCTCATTGAGTTTTCACAATCTCTTTCAATATGTCCACAGGATCTCGTGCTCGCAAGCCTAGCGCCCGACTCGTCGAGTCACGCGAACATACGGAGGCCATCGCCATCGCTGCGGGGAAGAAGCGCAAGGCTCCCGCGCCACCTCTCCCTTCCCGCCGCACATCGTTGAACGCTGCCGAGAAGGATGCGGCGATACAGATGCAGAAGATCACACCTGAGCAGGTGAACTTACATTCAACTCACATTCAAGCTACGTTGATCATGATTACATGTCAGGCCCGCCAAGTCCTTGCGCACAACGCGGAAATGCAGAAGGCCGCTGCCGCGCAAGCGTCTGCTAAGCGCCAGCAGCGCAAGACTAATACTGGTTTGTCCATTTCCCAAATCAGTACGCCATTGTTAGCTAATCGACTATGGACAGCTGCGAAGAAGACGGGCGAGACGTCGCCGACTTCTGTTGGTACGGTCTGGACATGGAGTTCCTACGTGATCTAACCTTCTATCAGCAGCACGCGCAGATGCTCTTTTGGCTCAGGAGCTCGCCTCTGTTGAGGAAGTAGAGGACGAAGACGTTGCCGCCGAGCGCCCCCCTCTGAAGAAGTCGAAGCGTGCAAGCCAGCTTCCACCAGACGTCTCGGACGACGAGGAGCTCGCGAAAGGACATGGCGATGCCGAAGAAGATGACGAAGTGTCTGTGCTGGGTGCCGCGGACGACCTCTCCGCGGGCATTGCCGTTATAGAGGATGACGATGGCAATGGCGTAGGTACCGTGTTTCATATGCTGAACACACTTCTTACATATCTTCAGATCGAGATCATCGACCTCACGCCTGCGACTCCACCGAAGAACACCGTCCGAGAGAAGCGCGGCAAGATTGGCCAGACACTGTTCACCCCGCGCACACGTCATCTACTCAACAATGCAAAACTCTTTGCTCGTGCTCGCACCGCTACAGAGGAGGGATACGCCACTGATCCATCCTCCGCCATCATCAAGGACCTCTATCGCACAGCCGAACGAGCAACCGGCACTGAGGGCGAGATGCGTCGTGGTGCGCTCCAGCGTCTTCAGCAAGATATCCCGCTCTTTGAGGCTGGTATAACTTACGTGAGTTACGCTACTAGTCTGACAGTGTCTCGTGTACTGAGGCTAGCAGGTTGGGTATTCTGTGACCGGGGTGCGGAGCGAGATGAACAGCAAGGCCAAGGATCTCCTTGACCCCGTCTATGGTGTTCCGGGTGCGCTCTCCCGCGAGGGAATTGTCGAGCGCGTGGCTTGGCTCTCTGAAGGCATGAACTATCTCTACGGTGGTCTTGATCTCAAGGTACGTCTTGCTACTCACCTTGGCTTCCCTCGCTAACAATTCATATAGGCGAAGAAGGTCGATCGCAATCAGCCTTTCATGGGCCCTATCATCAAGCCCCTCATTAGTCAAGTTTTCTTTGGAAAAGGGAAGGCGAACAGCGAGGCACGTCGTGCCATGGTTCATGAGAAGGTGATTCCCGGCAACTTGCTCGCCCTTGTCGGGTCTGCTGTGAGTCACTGTAGCGCTTGGTTGCGCCCTTCTTACCTTATTTGTAGGTCGAGAATGCCCTCAAGGCGTGGAGCACAGGCAAGAACTCGGAAACGGCCATCAGCGAGGATTCGGGGCGCGAGAGGTTCGTCCGCCTGCAACCCACACATACTCGTTGCTGACGTCGCTGCAGCTATATGCGCCACATGGCCGATTTCGTCAGTCTTCAAGAGAAAGCTCCCCGCTTCACGATGCAGGTGCAGTATAAGCTGCTTCGCGCCATTCTGTACGCTCTCTCGTGCATGTTGTAGAACTTGAGCTGATCGTCGAGGCCAGGAGTGACACCAACAAAACTCATCTGCTGGACGGCGCGCTCATCTGCACTCCTGGGGCTCTCGAAGGTGTTGATTTTGCTGTTCTCGAAGCTAGTGCGAAGGATGTTTCTGACCTCGAGAACGAGGACCTTGATTGAGACTACATTCATTTGAACATCGAAATTTTACTACTGCCTGTCCGTCATTATCGTGCTCTCTGTCTCCTAGGATACTCTATAGTCGTACTAAATGGGAATTTGATGTGCTTGCTGGCTTAACTCGAGCGACTTTGAGGCTGTCCTCACAAAGGCGACAAATAAAACCCGCCTTCGTACTCTCGTGGAAACCTGACTTCGTGCCCTGTACACGTCGCAGCCGCTGCTTGAGGCGCCTCCGGGTCGCCTCGGGCCGACTAGATCAGCGACAACTGTGTCACCCTTGACTTGACGCCTTGACCGTTCCCGGGCCATGTCAGGTACTACCGCGCGGCCTCAACTGGATCCAAGCTCAACCCCCCTTTCCCTGATGGACCGCGAGACTCACACAACGAGCCTGAGAGTGTGAAATTCGCCAGCTGTGACTACCGGTACCCTCAAACAACGAGCTCGTCCCATAGCAGAATAAAGCCCAGTCGATGCTCGAGAACTCGCTGGTAGGGCAACGGCCATTTCGACGCATCCGTATTGGGTCTTTTCCTTCGTAGGATGTCCTCTCTCGACGTGTTGCTCTCGCGCGAACGCTCTTCCTTCCCTTTCGACAACTACAAAGCAATTTGATTTACGACTGAGCCCTGTATGGAAACTTCTCCATCCAGTGCTTCGCGATCTCCTCTCGTGTGGCAAACCAAACGCCCCCCTTGCTCTTTGCATATTCGATGAACTTGCGCAGGCCCGCCAGCCGCGCAGGGCGTCCAACGATACGGCAGTGTAACCCCACGGATAGCATCTTCGGATGCCCCTGCACGCCTTCCGCATACAGCTCGTCGAAGGCGGCGATGAGGTACGACGAAAAGTCGTCGGGCGAGATGAACGCCTGGTAACCAGCGTTCTGTCGTCGAGGTGAGCCCTGCGAACCAAGAATGATTTTCTGCGGATGCTGAACTCACCTTGTAGTCATTCGTGTCGAGGGTGTACTGCGTGAGGTAAGGTAAGCGCCGTCTTCGCACGAGCTCGTCGCGGACTTACTGGAACGATGAGCAGGCCTTCGTCCGCTGTGCCTCCAGGGTAGGGTATCCTACACCCATTAGCGGCAACCCTCGCATAGTATGGAGGTGATCATACCAGTGCGGCAGATCGTCACTGTAGTCGTCGCTGTACCACAGCAATGGGATTCCTTCTTCCTTGAACACTCGCGCGATCAGCGCCCTCGACCGCGCTCCGGCCTTCGTATTGACCATTCCGTAGTACCATCCCCGCGGCGGGCGCCCGGACGGAGCCGTCTCCTTAATTGCTGCGAAATCGTAACAGCATCAGCATTTGGGACCTCAACACCCCTTGGAGCTCAAAAGGAAAAACTCCCCACCTCGAATCGCCTTCCGGGCATTTTCCACCTCCTCTTCCACGGACCACGCGCTGCGGTCTACCCAGCGCCAGCCGTGAGAGCTGATCTCATGCCCGCCGGCCTCGAGCGCGGCAGCCACAGCGGGGTTGAGCTCCAGCGCGCGGCCGACGGCGAAGGAAGTGCAGCGGACGCCCGTCTCCTTGAAGAGGCGGAGGATGCGCCACACGCCTGCGCGGGAGCCGTACTGTAGCCAGCACAAGGTCAGTCAACACTGCGCATCCGGACGGACCAAGGGCCATCTCTTTGGCGGCTGGACGCACGCCCACGCCCACACACTCACCTCATACAGCGACTCGATGTTCACGTCCCTTTCGCCGCGCATGGGGGACTGCCCCGGGCCCAGCTCGCTCGCGATCGTCTCCGTGATGTCGTCTCCGTTCACTGGCGTCACCTCCGAGCCCTCCTCGTAGTTGAGGACGAGGTTGATGGCGATCTTCGCGCCGTTGGGCCACTGGGGGTCGGGCGTGTTCTCCCCGTACCCGACGAGGTCGCGCGCGCCGTATTCCGCAGCGAGATCGGCAGTGGACATGGTAGACACAGGGGCAGGGGGGATGGGCGGCATATCGGAATGTGAACCAGTAGGTGAGAGAAATCCAAGATGCGCAGGCGGGCGACGAGGAGCAAGGGTGAGAGCGCGAGTCGGGCGATGACGATAGCTCAACGTGAGATACAGAAGACAGAGGGGGAATAGAGGGGGACCATGGGGCTATCGTGAGTGCGCGTGCGATTACCGCGATGGGCAGATAGCCCCCGCGCGGCGTCGTCCACAAGACCTGCCTTCCTATCGTCAATGACATCCCACAGGCCGAGATATCGCGGGACGACCTACCTATCGGTCGGCTCGGGCCGTGCCTTTCCTATCATCCGCCGCCGTGGCCATAAAGCCTACTTTCCAAATTCATCACAAGGGCGGATCGGGGCGGCCCTTTCATGATTGTTATTGCTGGGCTTGTTGAATGCGGGGTATTGGGAGCCTGCGAATTCGGCTATACACAGATGGTTGATCCTGTCACCGCCGTGTGCAGACCGTCAGTGTGAGCCCGCACGGACCGAGCCGATGCGACGACGAGAACGCATATAGACGCGGCTTCGCTGTGGATGGGAATGGCCACATTCAGCCTACGATCCCTGGGAATGCCGCGTTATAGAAAACCGACCGCTCTCGGGCTACCGCATGCGGCAGGTGAAGCGCCGACTTCCTGTGCTCCTGCTAGATTAATTCCCGTTCGAGCACCGTCTTCGATTTCGCAGGTCATTGAGTATAGACGACGCACCGCCAGTGCTCATTGGCTCTGCGCAGACGCGTGTCAATGTTATGTCGATGTGGCGTAGCGAACAGGCGGCTGTGGGCTTTCCGAAGGGCTTCGAGCAGCGGTTGAATAGGTCATGTAAGCGGTGCTAGTAGGCAACTCCCGAGAAAAATCAGGAGAGCAGTTGAGTACGCAGTGATCTTCACAGGCATATGGCGTGGGTGTTGGAAGCGAACAGTGTAGCCGTGGCCAAGGGCTTTGTCCCTGGTGTGCACGACCTTGAATAGGATGTGGTCATGACGAGACAGCGTCAAACACCATCGCACATGCAGTCGGAAGTGGTCCGCAGCCAATGAGATGCCTCTACTGGATGACGCATACATTAATTCTGGCCGTACACAGTGATGTCGTCCGTTGCTTGCCTGCACCAATACCAATAGAGCTATTTTCAGGACTTCGGGGCGTCCAACGTGAGTACCACCACCACCGTGATCTTCATATCCTTCTGAGCACTCGAAAAAGCCAAAATAGAGGGTTCAACCTGCTGGAAATGCCAAAGGAATCGGTGTAAGCACGGAATTACTGCCAATTCGAACAAGCGCGGCAAGTCCCGACCCCGGTGCCGATAGATCACCTGACTGGTTGATTTCCAGGTCAACCTCTCCCGTCGCCTCCCAGTCGGACTACTAGTCTATACCGCATCTGACTGTGATTTTGTACGTCAAAGTTGAGTGCAATGTCATCTGAAGTAAGGGAAGATAACATCTGGAATTCGGCCACGCTGGAGTGGAAATTATTGCGAAGAAATCTCAGCGTGATGAGAAGGAAGGACGCGACTGGGAGTGGTCCTCTCGCGGTCGTACGATCTGGTGATGAACGAAAGTGTCTGGCGACGGAGAGACTCTGGTTAGACGATAGCCGAAGAAAAATACAGTGGCACGCATGAACACTGCCGTGAGTACGTTGATGACAAGGAATCCCAGAGAGCAGGAGTCCCGTCGGAATACCGCAGCGCGGGGATAATTTGTAGCGACGGGAAGGCGAGCGAAGAGAGAAACAGCAACGGTGACCGTTTCAGATGGTGCGCGAAGGGAAACGAGTGCGAACATACGGATGTCCACTGTACCAGTGGAGGGTACAAATGCTGTCAGCAGCGTATCGTGTCACAATTCATGGGACCTCCAAGCGACGCGATATTGTAGCGTACCTTCCCTCCTTACCTTACCTTACCTTACCTTACCTTACCTTATAAGCAGAAAGCAAGGTTGGCAACTGGCTTCGCCGGAGCCGATCCATGCCGTATTGGGCCCTGATTTCTGTGGCGACGTGGCACCTCTAGACCCGGGTGGCGCATACAATGTCTCCGGTTGTATAGGAATATCTCGACTCCCCTTCCTTTACGTTGATTTAGTCGACGCTGGAGTACTTTGGACCGCAGCCTAGGTCCGAGTGCGAATTCCTTGTGTGGCTTCGCGAAACCCACGGGTTTCGCCCGGTGTAGGCTTTGTCTTGCCATATTCTCTCATGATACAAGGACGTCTATACGTGGCTATCCCAATCTGCCGCCGGGACGGGCGTCTTGCACGGAATGTCCAGCGGCGAGGCCTTCGCAGCCGGCGGCAATTTCACGGTTGATGCTCCCATCACGCACGTGCCGCCCGGCCCCGTGGGGCACCACGAGCCTGGGAAACGCCCTCGACAGCCGCTTCCATTGTACTTCTCTCTTCGCCCGCCCTGATTCGCCTCCCCGCCACCCGCGCCCACCTGCTCCTCCCCTCCCCCCAGAAATGGCCGCTCGCGCGAAAGAGTCTATGCGACCGAGATCGCGCGCGCGCTGAATTAGGAGGCTGCGTCCGAGGAGACGCTTTGCATCCGCACCCGCGCTGACATGCCCCTGGCGGCGCGCGCTGTGCTATAAGTTCCGCCGTCCAGACCGGGGGCGGGGGCAAACTGGAGACCTACAAGAGCAGGCGCGCCGCGGACCGAAAATTGCTACGATGAAGGCGTCCCTCCCGCTCGCGTTCGCGCTCGTCCTCTGCGCCAGCGCCGTGCCAATATCCAGCCCGGGAGGCGGGCTCTGCGCGCAGCCGATCGTCAGTGTGCGCGGGACGTTGGTGGAGACTATACATGACAAGGCGACGGTGAGCACCACCACTTAGGAGCGCGTACACCTCGCTGACGCGTCGCCCGCAGAATATGATCAAAATCGTAAGCGCTTACGCGTAGTCATCCCACCCACCCATCTCACTGCTGCGCGTGCGCCGCTAGGTCCAGGCCGCCTCGATGAAGGAAGGCTCACCGTTATGGATACTGATGGACTCGATCTACTACTGAAATCGCTCTCCTCATCAATATATTCTTGTTTTCGGTGCGTCAATTTGGCTTCGCTTCGTTTACGCACTTCTGACGCTCCGCCTAGGGTTTTCCGGTTGTACGTTATGAGGGTAATGGGCCTGGACAGCAGGAGCGGTACTTTACCTTGCACATTCGCGGCGCGCAGAATTATTGACGAGACGAACGATTATGGGAAGCCACATTGTTCATTATATCCATGATTCGACAGGAAATCCACAGAAGTCGTCAATAGGTCGTTCAATAGTCGTACAAAGTTGTAATCCAGAGATCCCAAGTAACTTATTTGGTTCACATGCCCTGCCATTCCTTGACGCAGCGCTCGTCGTCCTCGTCCACCTTGGAGGGTATGGGCTTGTTCGCGATAGGAGTGAGACGGAAGGCGTGCCTGCGCTCGCCGACGGGGTAGTCGAGGGTCTGCGAGTGGGTCGTAATGCGCTGATCCCAGACGAGGACCGTTCCAGGCTCGTAGCGGACACGGCACTGGAAATCCTGCCCCCGCACAATATGGTCGAAAAGGAACTTCAATAACTGTGATGGGAATCAGCGCCGGGTCTCCGTTCCTCTGCCCGCGCACGCACATATTCCGATTCCTCCTGCTGGAAACCAACGATGCGCTTGGTATACACGGGGTTGACGTAGAGCGCCTTCTGCTTGGTGACCGGGTGCTGGATGACGACCGGGTGGGTGTTCTGAAGCACGGGGCGGCGCTGGACGGCGTTCTGCCCGTTGTTGTTGACCTCAGTCATCGCGCCTTCCCAGTTCGAGTGCACAGCCCACAGGCCTTCCAGGCGCTTTCGGAACAACGGCGACAGGCGCTCGAACGCGCGCACGGACGACGAGATGATGGTGTCGCCGCCGGCTCCGCTCGGCGACTCGAGCATGCAGATGAAAGATGTGCCGGGCGTCTGCGGCTCGGGGGACTGGTCGCTGTGGAACTGGATCGGCGACTTCCCGGCCCACGACTTGCGTACGCGGAGGTCGCTGCGGGGGAGGTGAGCGCCGCGATGCTCACGATGGACGGCAAAAGCTTACTCTTTGTGGTCGTAAATGATCATGTGTTCGACTGGACCGTTGACGGGGTGCGGCGCCCAGCCGTGGATGTGCAGGGGGCCGAAGTGGCTGTCGAGTAGACTGAGCGAGGGCGCGAGAGCGGCGGCCGGGAAGTACGCACCTGACGATCTTCTTCTGCGCCTCGAAGCCAATGTCTGCAAAGTCCTGGTCGCGGAAAACAAGGCAGCCGCGCTCGGCGGCCATCAGCGCGAGCTCGTCGAGTCCCTCTGACGACAGCTTGGAGATCTGCACGCCGTGGAGCTCAGTCCCGACCCACGGACTGGGAGCGGTGAGCAGTAGACGAGTAGAAGGGCTGATGGCACTCACGACATGTCGAAAATCTTCGTGGCATCCTTGAGCAAGTTGGGCTTTTCCGGATCGGCGCGGTGCCCAGGGTCAACGTGCTCGAAGGGCCCCTTGTCCTCGACCTTCTCGAGGGGATCGTAGAAAGCTGGTAGGAAGTAAGCAGAAAATCCCAGGAAGTAGGAGAGTCGGCGGACGCATGTAGTCAGGGTATAGAGGCGACCCATCGTCGTTGACTGGGCGCACGACCTTGTTGGGCACGGCAAGGGAGGACATGATGAGCGACGAGGGGGAGGAGAAGCGTGCTGAGCAGAATTTCGTGCGGCGGGCTATATAAGTGGCATCTCATCTTGCGGATAATCTGGGCATGAAGCCGCCGCGGCCTTGGATATTCGCAAGCCTCGTCCATCTCGGGAACTGCCTATCGGGAGAGCCCCATCCCGCAACGTGCACAATGGGCTCCGGATGGGGAGCGGGGGTCGGTCCGGTCCGGTCGGTTGGCGCGCGTCGGCTCGGCCCGCACGCTCCCGTTCCCAAAAAGGCAAGCGGCGGGCTGGCATGCCGCATCCCCGCCAGGTATGATGGCGCCGGACTTGGGTTTTCTGCGGTCTGATTGCTGCAGTGAAGGCCAAAGCGCGGCGCGGCGACGGCGGCAGGGGCGCCACCCTGCCTGTGGGAAGCTAAGGGTCGTGTATAAGACGTCGCTCTCAGGCAACAGGGGAGCGCTAGTTGCGTTCCTCCCCTTGCGCCACCGCCCCAGACATGAGTGCCCACGACTCTAGCGAGAAGGTGGACGAGAAGGACGCGGGCGCGCTCGCCTCTGCGCACTCGGCGACGCTCTCGGACCATGAGGCAGAGTACGAAGAATACCTGGCGCTTAAGGTGCGTGCGCAATTATTCTGCTTCGCAGTGCGCAGTTGACACTCGATCGCAAGGCCCATTATGATACGGACCCGGCAGCCCACCGGCGATTGCTCAGAAAGCGTTAGTCGACGTGTAGTCTAAATGACGGTCCACACTTACGACGTTGCGAAGTGGACATCCGCATCTTGCCGTTCCTTTCTCTCCTCTATCTGCTCTGCTCGCTTGACAGTGAGTGGCATAATCCAGTCTTCTGACCTCCCCATTCGACACCGCACCGCAGAGGCAAATGCTGGCAATGCAAAGCTGTTCGGCTTTCTCGAGGAGTGCGTGCAGTCGTATCGTGTCGCCCGTCGCCCGCGCTAACCGTGCGCTGCGCAGAGTCCCCATGACAGGCACTCAGTTCAATCTGGGCCTCACGGTGTTCTTCTTCACGTACGGTGCGTGCGAACTGTACGTCGAATATGCGCACTTTTCGCCTTGGCTGCTGCTGATGCTGCAACCGCAGACCGTCGAACATCATGCTCCGCCGCCTCGGTCCGCGCGTGTGGTTCCCGATCATCATCTGCCTCTGGGGCACCGTCTCTACGCTCACAAGCGTGATCAACAACTATGGCTCGTTCATCGCCATCCGCCTCGCGCTGGGCTGCTCGTGCGTCGCGGCCTCCGCGTCTCCGCTGCTGAGACTCACTCACATGCAGCGAGGCGGGCATGTACCCCGGCGCGTACTTCATCTTGTCGACTTGGTATCTTCCCCACGAGCTGCAAACTCGCATGGCCATCTTCTACGGCGCCAATACCGCCGCAGGGTATGTCAATCATATGTGCTTAGTCTTCTAGGGCTAACCTTACTTGTCGCCCTCAGGGCCTTTGGCGTGCGTCGGCTGCCTTATTTTTCTGCCCTGCAAAGCTAAGTGGATCACAGGGCGTGATTGCATACGGCATCGGTAACCTTGACGGCCACCACGGTTGGCGTGCGTGGCGATGGCTCTTCCTCATAGGTCAGTGCCATTTCCCCCTGAGCTAGATAAACAGCGAGCTCATATCTTTGCAGAGGGCGTCATTACCGTGGCGGCCGGTATAGTAGGACTTTATGTGTTGCCGGACTTCCCATATGCGTTTAAGCAGAAGTGGCTGAAGCCTGAAGAGGCGCGCTTCATTACACTAAGGTCCAAGTACCACGCAGGACGTGCGTCGATTGTCGCGTCAAGTATACTCGTTCTAATCCCTGCATGCAGCGAATCCTCCTGACCTGCGGTTCAAGTGGTCGGATGTGCGCGCCGCCCTCAAGGACTGGAAGACGTACACCATCATGTCGATGTTCTGGTGGGGAGGCTCTGTACCCACATACTCCCTGTCGTACACGCTCCCGACGATGGTCGCAAGCCTCGGGTGCGTCCGATGCGCGAACTTGGCGACGAGCAGATATTGACTGATTCCAGGTACTCGAACATCAAGGCGCAGGCGCTAACGACCCCGCCATACGTACGTGGCCATGACCGCCTCTCACGTCGAAGAGGCGCTGATCAGCAGTGCAGGTCTTCGCGACGATCGTTACGGTGTGCGTCGGCCTCTGGTCCGACCGCTACAAATCGCGCATGAAAGCGATCATGTTCAGCTACTGCCTTGGCCTGACGTGCGTAGTCTAGCGCGTGATGGCGAAGTGTTGAGACGGTGCTGACAAGGAGACGTTCAGCGGCATCATCATCCTTATGGTTACGGTGCATTACTCGCACCTCTACGGTGTCAGCTACTTCGCCATCTTCCTCGCCGCCGCTGGGTACTCTGCACAGGCGCCAGGAATCGTCAGTTGTCAATCCCGCTGTTTTTGTTAGGCGCTAATGGTCTACTAGGGCGCCTGGATCTCAAATAACGTCGTTTCTCCCACCAAGCGCGCTGCGTCTATCGGCTTCATGATGGCCTGGGGCTCAGTCGGTGGTGGCGGGATTGGGTCCAACATCTACATCGCCGAGCAGGTGCGCCACGACCCTCTCCTCGCGTTTGATCCATTAATTTACCTTGACAGGCTCCCACATATCCCCTCGGGTTCGGCTTCTCGATCGGCGCGACAGTCCTGGGCGCTATGATTCCCTGCATGATAAATTGGTACCTGCTACGTCGGGAAAATCGCCGTCGCGACGCCATGGACCCGGCTGTCATCAAGGAGACGTACACCGAGGAGCAGCTGTCAGAGATGGGCGAGGACTCACCGCTTTTCCGGTATGTCCGGCGCCGAATGAGTTGTGCCACCATCTTCGTACTGACATATCGTGGGCAGGTTCACTCTTTAGGTTGTTGATAGTCGTGTGTTCCGTTTGATTCGTATCTTGGTATTGTACTCCAGCTGTGCTTATCGTCTAGTGTTTTTGGCTATGATAGTGATTTGCATGAGATCCACGTACTGTTGCGGTGGAGAGGAAAAAAGTCAGTAGCAAGAAGACCACTGAAATGCGTGGACTCTCGAATAAATGCGCCCAGGTTTTGCTATGCATGCATGCGTCTAATGTGGGCCATAACTTGGGACCAGCACTGCTGCGATAAAGCTTTGAGAGTGCAACGTCTGTCAGAAGTGGATTGGTGTAGATTTTGGCCAAAAAGTACTCCACTGTCGTGTATCGAGGATAAGAGATGTTGAGGCAGTTTTATCCATTGTCGACGCTGTCTCAGAGGGAGGGATGGTCGCCGAAGGTCAGACCTCGCGGAAGCATTTTGTTGTGGGTCCAGTCGCGTGCTGATCGCTGTCGCGTGGTTATCAGTGTTAGCGCCGAGATTAGATTCCGCAATAACCAATAGCTTACTCCTTCTGCTCTTGCTATTGAACGGCGCTGATTGGAAAGCGGCTCTTGCTTCTCACCGTCATGGAGCCGGACGGGCATGCGTCGTTCAGCGAATCCTCTTCGCAAGCGCAGGAGGGACAGAAAATACGCAGGACAAGCCGCGCTTGTCTCCAGTGCCGCTCCCGCAAGCAGCGCTGCCATGTCGACCCTGATAATGCCGTCGCGCCGTGTCAGCGATGCAAGGCTGCGGGCAAGGCGTGTTCTTTCGAGACAGAAGCACCGCGTGGGCGATTCCATCCATATGAGGGGGCGGAGTCCTCGTTCCGCGCCGTAGAGCAGCTTCGCAACGAGTGAGTGGCTGATACTGCTGGGGGAACGACACTCATGCATTCACAGGCTTGCCAGTCACCGCAAACGCATCGAAGAGCTCGAGGCGAAGGTCGGTATCCCGAGCCATGCGTCCCCCAGCACGCACACAGTCAACGGCGACTACCACGCTGGGAACAGCAGCTCGGCGTCGATCTCGTGCGTAGGAAGCCTATGCCCGCCTGGCGCTGCTCACACGGCTGAATGCAGATCTAGTTCCCCCGTCACGCAGCCGCACGAAATGCCTCGTGCGCCAAAGCGCAAGTTTACGATGGACGGGGTGTCGCTGGGCGCACCCATAGCGACATTGCGGAAGTTGGCGAACGAGGACGAGGATGACTACCCAGACACCCCAGCAATACCACGCATGCCTCCCCCCACTGACGGCTCCCCATACTCGATGCGAGCCCCATCTCACGCTCGCCCGAGCGCCTTCGGTATGGATCCAGTTAGCCAAGACATCATCACCGTCGATGAGGCGCAGAGCATGTTCGATATGTGCGCCACGACCTTTCTGACTGATTCTGACTGTACTGATTTTTCACGTCGCAGCCATTTCGAGAATTGCCACCCCCTCGCACCCCTACTCAGCGCCCGTACCCAGCGCGATGCCACTGAAATACGCCACTACAGCCCCCTCCTCTTCACCACCATCTGCTCCATCGGGGCACGCTACTGGCACTGCCAGCCGTCCTCCTCGCAAAGCTGGCTGCACCCGCGATACCCGCAGATCATCGACCAGCTCGACCAGTGCATCATGTCTCTCTTTCTGCGGCCAACGTCTGCGGACATGTGCTTGGAGACGGTGCAGGCGCTGCTGCTCTATGCGCAGTGGATGCCGCTCGAGGTGCCTGCGACGGGCTCTACCTCGCTCCCGCGAAGTCGCTTCAACGACGTCTCCGCATGGTCGATGATCGGCCACGCGATCCGGCAGGCGCTCTTCATTGGGCTCGAGCGCTGCGTGTACGCGTTTAACGGTACGCAGGAGATCACGGAGGAGGACATGCGCCGGATGCGTGTCTGGGTGAACTTGCTGTCAACTGACCATCAGTGCGTTGCCTGTTCAATTCTTTCAGTCTACAGCCCTGCTGTGTCCCGGTCGGCTGACGCGCTGCGGCAGCTTGGTGATGACGGCACGCCTGCCCATGACGCTTGACCCGTTCCCGGCGACGAGTGTCGCGCGCACGTTTGGGGGAAATCCGCTGGCAGAGCCGACCGACCTGAGATACGCCGGGCTCTGCGAACTCGTCGCGATCGTGAACCGTGCCGCAAGGCATAGCGGCGACGCCGCGCTGTGCGCCCTTGATCCGGTCTCGCTGCAGAAAGCGAACAATGACCTGGACGAGTGGGATTCGTGAGTACCCTCTCCCCCGCTTCCCCGCCTTCGCGAGGGTAATTAACGTTCAATCCAGGGTTTGGACAGTCGTCTTCTGTACGCGCCTCCCTCTTCGCTCAATTGCCTCCCTGACCGCGCCCCAGCCAGCACGCCGGGCTACCAACAGTTTAACACGCAGATGCCCTTTACGGCCTTGCGCGTGCGTGCGCCACCCCCTTGCTACCGGCCCGATCATCCGAACTAACAGTTGGTCGTCAGTGGTATCGCCTCGGGCTGAATGTGGTCTCGCTGGGACCAGGCTTCTTCAGCCGGCGGATGTCTGACAAGCGCGAGCCGATGTCGACCGCGCTACGGACGAGCGTCGACGCGGCGGCCTCGATGCTGCACTGTTTGTCGGCGGAGGCGGCGCACGCGCCCCTCGGACAGACGCTGCGGACGCTTCCTCGGACACCCCTGACGGTCAACCCGAAGGCGCTGGCGTCCTTCCGCTTCAGCATCGATGCCTACTGGGTCACGCACGCCTTTGCGACCGTCTTCCTCGCGCTCGCGTTCGAACGAGGCGCGATTGACCGTGGGTGTTTCCGATAATTCTATCCGTCCTTTCCTTGCTTATCCAGCCCCCAGAGGAGCTCAATATCGTAATGCCCCAGATGGCGCCGCCGGTGCACCATCCCCCACACGAGGCGTCCCTGCTGGCGAGGCTGGTCTGTCTGGCATCGGACATATTCGACCACACGGTCGCGCACCCGCCCGCGGCGCACTATCGCGAGATCGTCTTCAACACCAAGCAGCTCCTCTTTCAACCCAAGCCGAGCGCAAGCGCGAACCCGCAGACGAACGGGCACGGCGGCGGGGGGCTCGAGGACATTTTTGCCACAATCATGCACGATGGTGCGTCTGCGAATTTTCCAGCATAGTAGAGGGCGAGACTGATAGCGCTGGCAGGCTTGGACTGGTCGTCAGATCCGGCGGGCTGGCCCGGACAGTACGCGGGACCTGTCGCGCCGGGGATGGCGTACAGCGCATGATGCCTCCTGCTGCCCCAGATGGCCATGATCCTTGTCCCCCGATGGGCCCTTTTTTATGTTCTCCCGGTTTTCTGCTGTTATCGTGCTGGCATCTGTACCGTGTACTGTACTTGTATACCTGTAGAGCACTCTCTGTACTTGGTTGTTGTCGTCGTGCTTTGTACCGCCTGCGAGGCTGCTCGAATCGAGCGCGTTCTGTTTATTCGCCGCGTTTCTGGACCAGGGGAAGGCTATCGGTGTGTTGTCATGCATCAGGGCCGTTGGTGCGGAGGGGAGGTCAGCTGGGACGCGCAAATGGAAATTGGATCCCCAGCCCCGCACTTTAGAGCGCAATCTCCGGCGAGGGGTACATATATAAAATTCGCGGGGCGCCGGATTGTTGGCCTTTCTTCCCGTTTTCCCTCACTCTGCTTTGCCCTCGTCGCTGTCGCCGCGCGCCTCCGCTGCTTCCTGGTCTTTCTGCGCGCCTCACGGATCGAACAGCAATGTCTACCTGCGTCTCTAACCTCAAGAAATTGCCCCCGGGCTCCCGAGCACTCCCTGACGCGCCGTAGCCGTCCACGTCGACCATGGACGTACACCCTCCATCCCCCTCACGCGCCGCTGCCGCCCGCGCCCGCCGCCACCGTCGTCGCTGACGGCCACTCTCCCACGGCGCTACCCCATCCTTCCCCGGTTCGAACCACCGCGTACCCCGCGCCGCTCCTTCGCGAAGGGCGGGGTCGGCGGGCGCTCGTGGGAAGGATGATGCGCCCCCGTGCGCCCCGCACGTGACGGGTCCGGGATGCCCCGACCGGCGGCGGGGACTTGGCGGGGCCCCCCGTTCCTGTCGTTCCTGGGCTGGCCGCGGGCGCGCGAGAAGGAAGAGGCGCGCGCATGCGGTGGGCGCGGGCGACGGCGCGCGGGTGCGGTAGCCGCGCCACGCCCACGAGTGTCTCGGCACCCCGAACGTCATGTGCGCCGACGAGGATGCGACGAAGCGCGAGTCCAGCTGCTGGCGAAGACGCGAAGACTGGAGGCCCACACTGGTCGACGCTGGGGAAATGGCCCGAGCTTATCCCCCATCCCATCCCCCACCCTGCCCAGAGCTTCCCTTCTCGCTCGCCCAACACAACTCTCCCCGCGTCGGCGACTTGTCGGGCGATCCTGCGCGCGTTGTCGGCTTGCTGACATGGGGTCTCGCCAAGAATAGCCGCCCGCTTACTGGTTTCGGCAACCGTTCTCGCTCTCGACGCGGCTCAACAACTCTGGAATAAGCGTGCGATCGCCCGCTTGGCCCCTCTCATTCGCTCGGTGCGCACCCCGACGGGCCCCAAAGTCCCTCCGGCGATCTCCACAGCCCCCCTCACGCCTACCGCGTCAAATATTACCTCGTGCCGCATAAAAATCGCCCAAGCTGGGCCTCAGCTCGACTCTCCTCCGCTCACCGACCACCCGGCCAGATTCTCCCGAGCAGTCGTACTTAAGCCAGCGAAAGAGCTCCTCTCTCTTCACTCACTTCGAGTGCAAACCACCACACGAATAACTTAACGACAACCCTCCGGGCAGCAGCCTCAGAACTCCCGACCATGGGCCTCTTCACCAAGAAGCAGGACCAGTCCTGTAAGTCCCCTCTCCAGACCTCGCAGCCATGCCTTGTTCTGACCCTCGCGCAGTCGCCGACGTCGACCATCGTGAGCACTCGCACGACGCGAGCGCCAACTCCACGACGAAGATGACGGAGTCGGATGTCATTCTGGTCGAGTTCGAGCCCAACGACCCGGAAAACCCTATGAACGTACGTAGCCCTCTCTTCCCCCGCCTCCAAACCGTCACTGACGACGCGTCCAGTGGTCCGACAAGCGCAAATGGATGACGACTTGGCTCCTCTGCTTCATGTGTCTCTTCATCGGGCTCTCGACAGCCTCCTACTCTGCCGGTGTCGGCAAGATGGTCGCTGAGCTCGGCGTCAGCCGCGAGGCCGGTCAGGTTGGCATGTTCGTCTTCAACGGTACGTTCGGTCATCGGCGCAATTCTATCTTGATCTGACTCTTCCGATAGCCTCTTTCGCCGTCGTCCCCATGTTCCTTGGCCCCCTTTCCGAGTTCCTTGGTCGCAATCCCATCTACCTCGGCTGCTACATCATGTTCACGGTTTGGTTCATCCCCCTCGCGCTTGCGAAGAACATCGGCACGATCATCGTCTGCCGTCTGCTCTCCGGATGCTTCGGTGCTGCCGGTACGACCATCATCCCCGGTACGCTCGCCGATATCTGGACGACGGAGAGGCGCGGTCTGCCCATCGCCATGTTCTCGTTTGTCGCTGTCCTCGGCACGGTCGCGGCTCCTCTGTACTGCGGCTTCATCGACCAGAATATCGGTTGGCGCTGGATCGAGTGGTAAGTCCCGCGTGTCATCGTCGCCCTAAGCTAGGTACTGACGTCCTGCAGGATCCAACTGATCTCCAACGGTACCATGTGCCTTCTTGAGGTCCTGCTCCTCCGCGAGACCCGCGGCTCGTCCATTTTGGCCAAGCGTGCCGCCAAGCTCCGCAAGGAGACCGGTGACCCGCGCTACAAGGCCAAGGCCGAGCTTGAGGCGACCTCCCTCAAGGAGCTCTTGCACAAGTCCACCACCCGTGCCTTCATCCTCATGGTCCGCGAGCCCGTCGTGTTCTTCTTCTCGCTCTGGCTCGCCTTCGCATGGGCTATGGTCTTCCTGTTCTTCACGGTCGTACGTATCCCGCCCGTCGTCTGTCCTCGGATCCGGTCTCACAATATCCGCAGATCCCCCTCACCTTCCAGAACCACCACGGGTTCGCCGAGGGTGTCGCCGGCCTGCCGTACATCGCCTGCATCGTCGGCACCTTCCTCGGTCTCATCTCGTGCTTCCACCAGGCCAAGCTCTACGAGAACGCGCAGAAGAACAACAACGGCATCGCGGTTCCCGAGGCGCGCCTTTACTGGTCGTGCTTTGGTGGTGTCATGCTCCCCATCTCCCTCTTCTGGTTCTCGTGGACGCAGTTCGCCTCGGTGCACTGGATCGTGCCCTGCATCGCGCTCGCGCCGCTCGTCTGGTCGATCTACATGATCTTCGACGCCGTCCAGAACTACCTGGCCGACGGGTACGGCGAGTACGCCAGCTCCGCCATCTCGGCGCAGGGCTTCATCCGGAACATGCTCGCCGCGTCGTTCCCGCTCTACTCGCAGCAGATGTTCGTCAACCTCGGCTACCAGTGGGCGGGCACGCTCTGCGCGCTCATCGCCACGGTCATGGTCCCCCTTCCCGTGAGTACATGCGTACTTCCTTTCGCATGAGCCGCATCTGACTTCGTTCTCAGTTCATCCTCATCCGCTACGGCGAGCGCATCCGCGCCTGGTCCCCGTACGCTGCGGCGACGACGCAGGCCCCGGTCATCGCCCCCAAGCAGGACATCGAGGAGAAGGCGCAGGCGTAAGCAGGCGACCAAAATCTGGACCCGTCGACGCCCCGACCGCGCTCTCCCGATCCCGCCCGCCGACCCGCTCCAACGCACCCCATGTCGGGGCCGACTACCCTACGCCGACCCCTACATACCGAGCACGTACTCACTAATGACCACCACGCATCTCAATCTGCTCTCCTATATCATTGACATCTTTGCCTCCTGTTCTCCAGTCTGAGCCCGACCGACGCGCTGGGCGTGTTATACCACGCCCCGCATTCTAGTCGGGCCGTCTACGCAATGTATTAGTACTGACGACGCATGCCCCCCACTACCTGTTCATCTTACGCATAGAACTTACGGTCTAATTGACGAATACAATCGCTGACACTTGGCCATGTTGGCTGGAACCTTGCACGTGACTGTGATCGCCGGATTTGGCAATTTTTGAGATTTGCGCTTGTTTGGAGCGGACTTTCGGATTTGCTCTTGTTTTGGACGTCCGTGTTGGATTTGGCAAGTTCGGGCTGACGCAACGGACCAAGCCTCCCTCGGCGCGTCGGCTTCGTGTCCTATCGCACTCGGACGCGCGGGAACGATTCTACACCCCGAAACGCGCCTTGACAAAGTATCGCGAGCGCTTTTTGCCATGACTGAGTGAGCACGACCAACCTGATCCGAATTTATTCTTTTCTGACGAGCATTTGTGGCACAGACTGGAAAAGTTGGCTGCCGAGACGGACGCTCTCGCCAAAGGTTCTGCCTTCTCCTCGGGGAACCCTTCGCTCTATGATGTTCAAATCATGCGAGCGCAGACAGCCCGCCTCGACGTGGAGATTGAGCGGATGGAGGCTCGGCTCGCCGAAGCGCGTCGGGTACGCGATTTGAGCAAGGCGGTTGTCGCTCCCATTCGCCGCCTACCACCCGAGCTACTTTCGGAGGTCTTCCTCCTGGCGGCGCCGGCAACCTGGTACGACGAGTGCAGCGGCGACAGAATGCAGGACATCCGGTACGCCGAGGTCTGTCGCGGTTGGCGGGCCATCGCGCTGGGCACGCACGCACTCTGGAACACGATCAAGATTGTCGTGGAGGAAGAGAGCACGTCGGAAAACGAGGACGAAGATGAGGACGAGGATGAATCTGACAGCGAGGACGGCCATCGCCCGCTCTCGAAGAGTAAGCGAAATCAGCGATGGGATCATATTGTCGACGTCTGGCTCGCGCGCTCCGGCGGCGCACTGCTCAACGTCACCTTCCTCAACGGCATGGGAGACGATGCGGTCGATGTGGGCGTGTCCGCGTGGAAGCGCCTTGTCGCGGAATGTCACAGATGGCGCTCCGTCCACGTACAAGCGCCATATGAGTTCTACGAAGGCCTCGAGGATCTGCACTTTCCCGCTCTTGTCGACATTCACTTGTCGGCTGGGGGCTGGGAGGAAGAAGCTCTGACCCATCCGCATCCCGTTCCTGCCTTCACGCACGCGCCCAACATGCGCCGCCTCACTTGCGAGGATGTGAGGGTCCAGTACTGGTTCCCGGACGTCCTGCCGTCGGTGCCCTCTTCGTGGAAACCGTCCACTGTGCATGTAATCTGCTCGGAATCGATGCACGACATGCAGGCGGCCGCGTACCCTATTACGCTCTGCGCGGAGTCCGTGGAGACATGCCTAATGATGCTAACCTGCGCCCCTCGCCCTTTCGACCCGCCGCAGACTCGCACGCGCATGTCCCGCCTCAAGACCCTCGGGACGGCCAACAGAGGCTGCGAGCTGCTCTACTACATCGACGCGCCGGCCCTCACGACCCTTCATATGATGGCGCGCGGATCTACCTTGAGTGAGGGCATCTACGCTGATCAAATGGCCTGCCTAAAAGTCATGCTCCTCCGCGACTTGTCTATGCGGCTTGAATCCCTACTACTCACCGATATCTCTGCATCCTGCGGCGATATCATCGAGTGCTTGGAGCTCCTTCCCTCCCTAGGCCAGTTCTCCCTCGAGCGCATCCGGCTCGGAAGAAATGGGCCGTTCGACATAATACCTCTGTTGCGCAAGCTGACGCGCGACAACTCGCGACCGGAATCTCTCACCTTCCTCCCGCACCTCGGCGACCTGACGCTCAGCTGGCGGACTGCATACGGTCGACAAGAGCGCGAGCTTTGCATGCCAATTCTGACCGACATGGTCATCTCAAGACTCGAGGACATCGACGCGGAGGAGTACCATGAGGGATTGTATGATTTTGAGACCAACCTGGACCCGGATCTGACGTTGGATGATGTTCTCGATATTGCTATGGAACGCGAGAAGACGTCGAAAAAAGGTGCGCTATATAGAAGTCAATGTGCCACGCATTAATCTAATGAGTTGCTCAGAATCAACGACGTGAGGAAGGGATCAAATTCTAGCTGTGCCCATTCCAGCCTCTCGACCCAGTTGTTTCTCCGCATGCCAATATGTATGCTCTAGAAACGAATCGAACACTCTGACGTAGCATGCTTGCTACACGCTCTTGATTTCTTTTTGGCGCCGAATCTCTTTGCAATGGAGCCAACAGAAGCGCGCGCTATGGCCCCGTATACACGCGTCGATTTCCGAAGTTGAACATCGAATCACATGCGGTCACGTGCACCCCGGGGCCCGGGCCCCGTTTGCTCAACGCGAATTTCGCATTCCATCTTTGAGCTGTGCTTACATGCCTTTCATGGAAACTATGTTCATGACGACTTTTTTTGCAGCTGCTCCCTACCATACTACTTAGGTATGTGGTGCTCATGTTCGCACTTCCAAACATGATACACATGATGGCACGGGGCCGTGAGCAAATTAGGTCAGGATCAGATTCCCGCGAAGCGCGTCGTGTTTCTTCCCCGACCTCCATGACACTGATACACATATGCCCCTGGGAGGTCTCAACTGTAAGTCTCTGCACTGACTGTTCTTGCACACGAGCTGACGTTGAGATAGCACACCTCAAGTGCCGAGATGGAACTGAGGGCCGACGACTTGACAACAGCCTCTATGCGCGCCGACATCGCGACCCTATCTCTGCATAGGAGCGGCCATGTACCCTCACCTGAGGAAGCCTACCTGCTGAAGAAAAGGATCGCTATTTTCGAAGAGGAGATCTCTGCATCACCCTCGTCGACTTCTGCTCTCGCCGACCACCTCGCTCTACACAAGGCCCTTCTGTCCCCCATTCGCCGACTGTACCCCGAGATACTGTCGTATATATTCACCCTGGCAACTCCTGAGGATTGGTACGAGAAGAAAAGTGGAACAATTGCTCACCCGTGTACTCAGATTTGCTTTCTCTGGCGCGAGATCACCATAGGTACTCCCGTGTTATGGAGTACGATCAATATCTTCGTAGGGATGCCGGACGAGGAGCGTTTATTCGGCTTTGATCCCGATGAGGAGGACGAGGATGATAGCGGAATCCCCGTGTCTGATTTCTTTGAGTCCGACTCCATCGATGCCAATCCCTACACATGGTATGAAGAGGAGGATGCAGGCGACTCGGACGACGACGACAACGGTGCCTCCTCAGGTACGGTGGCGGAAGAGAAGTGGGCGTTGATTACCACGACATACATCGAGCGCTCAGCACAAAGGCCGCTCTCTATCACGTACGGCGCTGGGAGGGAGTATGTCAATCGATCTGCAAGCTCTGAGCGAAGCTGGAGACTACTCGCGCAGGAGAAGGCAAGGTGGATGTCTGCCGACCTTACAGTCCCCGTCGAGGTCTTCCGCGTCAAAGGGCCGTCCAGGCCCGTCCCCCTCCTGGAATCTTTGCGCTTGAGCCTGTACTCAGAGGCGCACGACCAATACAGCCCGCTCGACTTCTTTTGGGATGCTCCTCTTCTTCGTCAGATCGTCATTGATCCCCACGCTATACCGACTGGGGAGGAGACTATATTGCCGCCGTGGTGCCCAACCGATCTCTGTGTCTGCGGACATACACCACGGCCATATAACGTGATAGATGCTGGTCGGCTCATAAGGCAATGCGCGTCTACGCTCGAGAACGGTGGCATATGGGTCTCCCAGATCACAGGCGACGAAGATGTGCCGCCGGCGCTGATGACAGACTTTCCTGCCCTTCGCTCCCTCGTTGTTCTCGACGAAGCATTCGAGATGTTGGGCTTCATCCGCTCCGCGCCGGAGCTGCAGAGCGTTCTCCTGCGCGAGACGACGAGCGCACGCACTGGGCTTTTACAGCTACAGGCATTCTCTGCGATGCTGGCCCGTGCGTCGTGGCCTTCCCTGACATCACTCACCCTCCTTGACGTTCGAGCGCCGCCCGAGGCGGCTATCGAGTGCTTGAGGGCCGCCAGTATGCTCTCAGAGCTCGTCATACGCGACGAAGACCTCATGCGCTACTTATCTCAGGAGGAGGAGAGGTCAGGGCCAATGGGGATGAACAGTGATCTCCTGCGGGCGCTGACGCGCTCCCCCGACAAGCCAGACTCGTGCGAGCTCCTGCCAAATCTCTCCCGCCTCGAGGTGCATGGGATACGCGGCGACCATATGATTGCCACAGCGGCGAAGGAGCTGGTGCAGATATTCGCAGACATGATATACTCCCGGGCGCACGCACTGCACGGCCATGAGTCCTTGCAAACGCTGACTGAGTTCTCCAGTTCAGTCACACCGCTAGATAAGTTGACGATAGACTACGTGCAAGAGTTTGGGAACGATATCAGCCATCTGTCCACGAGCAGAACCGCGGACGAGGGGGACGAGCGTACGTCTTTCTCAGTGTCCCCTCCGAAGTGACGTTTCCGACGGCCGATTTTCAGCGGCTGTCTGTCCCACCAAACCCGCATAGTCGTATCCTTTCAAAGTTTGCGAATCAGGGTGGAAAGACATAGAGTGCTAGCGTGACAGTTCACTCTTGGGGCAGTACGAGCGTCCCAACCTGTCGCGCATCTTGTCCATCCAATTCTTACATTCGTATTGCGTGAAATCGTAGTCTCCAATCGTACAGTGTTTGGCACTATCCGCACCTAATCCCCCCTCCCCAGCTTATCCATCGACCGCACGCCCTGCTCAAACCAGTCGTCGCGCGATATCCAGAAATCCTCGCGGTTTTTCATGATGTCCGCGAGTACGGCGCCGCCGAGGAAGACCATGTGCTTCCGGCGGGGCGGGTCCTCGATGCGGATCTTGAATTTCTGCAGGATGGGATGAGCACGAGGCGGCGAGGGAAAGAGAGAGAGGAAAAGAGCAGGGAAGGGGGATTGTGAAGAAGGAAGCGAGGGCAAAAAGGTATACATGGGTACGGAGTGGGGCGATGGCAGAACGAAAGGAAGTGGAGAAACTCACGTTCAAGCGCGACGGATCGCCGTTCAGCACGCGCGTAAGGTAGAGCTGCTTCATTTCCTTCTCGAGACGGCTAGGAAGGCCGGGGTACATGCTGGAACCGCCTGATAGGACGATGTGCTTGTAGAGCTCGCTGCGGACGTCGACGGCGGCGTTCTGAATGGTTTGGAAGAGCATTTCTGGGTCAAGTATTAGTGACATGCGCCTGTGAGATCGGGACGAGTGCAGTACTTACCAGCAACACCGGGTTGCTCGATGTCGACGAGGTGTGGCTGGAACATGCATTCGGGTGCTTCGAAGCGCTCGGAGCCGACCTTGATTGTTCGGCCGTCGGGCAGCTGATAAAGTGTGAGGAGAGGAAGAAGGTAAGATTAGACGCGTACGGTGTAGTTCTCGACTAAGACCGTCGTCTCCTCCGACAATCGAGTGTCGAGGTCGAGGTTGTAGCTGAGCGAGGCAAGTTAGTACACGCTCGCTGCGCGACACACAAGCACGCACCTAACGTAACACAGCTTCTCCTTGATCTCGCGGACGGTCTCGAAGTCGGCGGTTCGGTTGAAGGCGTAGCCACGCATGAGGAGGAGTTTGATGAGGTAGCGGGTGACATCGCGGCCAGCAATGTCCAATCGCCGTGTCAGATGAGGGAGTGCAAAGCCGTCGTATACGGGGACAATGTGTGTGACACCATCTCCTGAGTCGACAACGACACCGGTAGTCAGACCTGCGCAGCCATGCGTCAGCGCTGTGTACAGTGAGCTACAAATCAGCCACGCACCTTGCGCGTAAAGCGTCAACACGGCCTGGATCGCAACGTATACGCCCCCAAGGCCGTACTCCTCGAACATGACCTCCGCCATCTTCTGGCGATTGGCCTTCGGGTTCATGGGCGGCTCGGTGAGGAGGATCTTGCGGCCTTGGGGGTTGATTTTGAGCTTCTCATCGAAGGTGTAGTTCCACAGATAGCGCATGTCCTCCCAGTTCTTGATGATACCGTGCTCCATGGGCTGGGTGACCTGCAGGTAGTTGCGGTTCTCCGCGGCCTCGTCGCCGATCATGATATCCTTGATGACCGCAGACCCAACGCGCTCCTCCGCGCGCAAGATTGGGCGACCGACAATGGAGGGGAAGACTGGACATCGCTGTGATGAGTTTCCATCGCCGCGGGGTATGCTTAGCACGCACCATGCTCAGGGAAATTGGACCCGGCGTAGCCGACTTTCACGAACTGATGGAGGGCTCAGTGTCGTCCGAGACGTTCGCGGAGAGACATACACCAGTTCCGTTGTCGACGACGAGGGGCACTCCGGGATCCATGATGGGGTCAATAATGCAAAGTCAAGTCGCGTCCGTCTTCGCACTGCGCGTCACATTCCGTGTTTGGCGCGGCTTGCCCCTTTCCGGGGAATTCCTTCTTTAGGTAACTCCCTTGCGTCGAACAAACACAGGACCACACTCTGCGCTTCGTTCTTTGTCCTGAACCACCATCCCACGCGAGATTCCCCCTTTACAAATTCCTTCTTCTGCCTCTCTAAACTCCTATGCTACAGCGCGCGGCACCCTCCTTGACTGAACACAACAGCCGTCATTCTCCCGTTCTATGTAGTAAAGCAAGCCGCCTCTTTCAATACCCTACGACCACTCCAGCTGAGCTATCTGAGGTGTATTTCAGACGAAGCAAGAATATCTCGATTATGATCACACACCTGTTTCTCGGGTGCGGCATCCACTTGCAAAGGGTCAACGAGACTCATGAAGCTCAAGCCCTCTGCTGCGCCCGTAATTGGACACTTCTGCAGAGAGAGAGAGTTACACGTCGTGAGTTGTCGTGCGCCAGATCAAGATGAGAGTATGAGACAGCGAGTTGCCAGTGCCACAGCCGGTGAGTGTTCAACCTGTTCTCGGCAAGTGCCGCGTGCCACGTCGCGTGGTCATCAATATTTTCCTGCGATGCGCGGTCCCTATTCCTAATCTCCGTAGGCCCGACAGAGCAGCGACTATGAGAAGGACCGTAGAAATGTTGACCCTCGCATGAGAGATGGGTTGAAATCGAGGCGGTAACACGAATTTGTGGCGTGGGAAATTGCACAATGGCCCAACTGCTCACAAGTGACAATTGCAAGCAAGGTTCCTTTACGCCGGCGATCATGGCAGACGACCTATACAACCTCGAATACCTGTCACTCGTTGCGAAGATCACCCAGGAAATCAGCAATCACACTGGCCTCAGCGACAAAACCCTCGCCGAGTTCGTCATTGCCCTTCATGACCAAGCCAACCAATCCCTCCCCGCGTTCAAGACGAAGCTGCAGGAGATGGGGGCCGACTTCCCCGACTCCTTCATCGAGAATGTCGACCGTCTGATCCTCAGCATGCACCCGAAGCACAAAAAGCGACCGGAGAAGACGAACAATGGCATGAATGTGGACAAGCCTGCAGAGCTGCCAGAGGAGGAGAAGAAGAGGCGGCTGTTCCCTGGGCTCGCGATACAAGACAAGAACCCGCCGCCAGCGGTGGCAGACGACGTCTTCCTGGCCGAGCTCGGTGATCTGGTGTCGGGGAAGAAGGCGCCGCGCACGCGTCCAGCGGAGGACGACTATGACGGCCGGGAAACGAAGCGCCAGCGCCGGAGCCCGAGTCCTCGACGCGGACGCAGCCCCCCGCGCGGCTACAATCGCGGTCGTCGACCGCCACGACTGGACGACCGGCCTGTGGTCTTCAAGATTTACGACGGCAAAGTGACGGGTGTCAAGGATTTCGGGGCATTCGTGCAGCTTGAGGGCATCGCCGGACGAGCAGAAGGCGCGTACCCTTCCCTCTCACGATCGACGTCTTCTGACCCCTGTATAGGTATGGTGCACGTCTCCAATATCCAGAAGGGAGTGCGCATCAATTCGGCTGCTGACCTGCTGAGCAGGAATCAGCCTGTCAAGGTTAAGGTCATGGCCGTCGCTGGCTCGCGCATCACCCTTTCCATGAAGGACGTGAACCAGGTCACGGGCGAGGACCTCACACCCGAGCTGCGCATCAAGTCCGAGGCGGAGATGGAGGAGGACCGCAAGCGTGCTTACTCCGCTGCGTCCTCAGGCGCCAACGCCCTCCCCCTCAACTCGCGCGACGATCCCATGCCCCCTCCAACCCGTTCTGCGAAACGTCTGACGTCGCCGGAGCGCTGGGAGATCAAGCAGCTTATCGCGTCTGGTGCTCTGCCTGCGAGTGACTACCCGGATATCGACGACGACTTCGGCAGCGGTGCGGCTCGCGCGGAGGTCGAGGAGGAGCTTGATATTGAGATCAAAGAAGAGGAACCGCCATTCCTTGCTGGCCAGACGAAGCGCACCCTCGACCTCAGTCCGGTGAAGATCGTCAAGGCTCCGGACGGCTCCCTCAATCGCGCTGCTCTGGCAGGTGCATCACTCGCCAAGGAGCGGCGCGAGCTTCGTCAGCAGGAGGCGAATGAGGCAGCGGACTCACAAGCCCGTGACTTCAGCACTTCCTGGCTGGACCCGATGGCGAAGGAGGGTGACAGGCAGTTTGCGCAGGACTTGCGCGGAAACTTGAAGGGGCAGAAGGCGAGCGAGGCGCCGCGTTGGAAGGAGCAGACTTTCAACAAGGCGACAACTTTCGGAGAGATTACATCGCTCAGCATCCAGGACCAACGACGGTCTCTGCCCATCTACAAGTTGCGCGACCCGTTGTTGAAAGCCATCGACGAGGTAAGCCTCAGCTTGCAATCGCAGACATGCAATTTGCTGACTATGTGTATAGCACCAAGTACTCATCGTCGTCGGCGATACCGGTTCCGGCAAGACTACACAGATGGTTCAGTACCTCGCCGAGGCAGGCTACGCGGACAAGGGCAGAATAGGCTGCACTCAGCCTCGTCGTGTCGCCGCCATGTCGGTCGCCAAGCGTGTCGCGGAGGAGGTCGGCTGTCGTCTCGGGCAGGAAGTCGGGTACACGATCCGTTTCGAGGACTGCACAAGTCCGGAGACGCGCATCAAGTACATGACGGATGGTATGCTGCAGCGAGAGTGTCTGATTGATCCTCTGTGCTCGCAATACTCAGTCATCATGCTTGACGAGGCTCACGAACGGACCATTGCAACGGACGTTCTGTTCGGACTGCTAAAGAGTACGTGCCTACTTTCTAATGTTGGCATCATTCGGTCCTGACCTTCGCTGCAGAGGCTGTCAAGCGCAGACCAGACCTCAAGCTCATCGTCACCTCCGCTACTTTGGATGCTGAGAAGTTCTCCAAGTACTTCTTCGGATGCCCGATCTTCACCATCCCGGGTCGCACATACCCCGTCGAGGTCCTCTACACGAAGGAGCCGGAGTCAGACTACCTCGACGCGTCGCTCATTACGGTCATGCAAATCCACTTGTCTGAGCCGCGCGGCGACATCCTCCTCTTCCTCACCGGTCAAGAAGAGATCGACACGGCTTGCGAGATCCTCTTCGAGCGCATGAAGGCCTTGGGTCCGAAGGTGCCCGAGCTCCTCATCCTACCTATCTACTCCGCCCTACCGTCCGAGGTCCAGTCTCGCGTCTTCGAGCCTACGCCAGAGGGATCTCGGAAGGTCGTCATTGCCACCAACGTCGCCGAGACGAGTCTGACGATCCCCGGTATCTACTACGTTATCGACCCGGGCTTCTCGAAGCAGAACGCGTACGACCCGCGGCTGGGTATGGACTCGCTCGTGGTCATGCCCATCTCGCAGGCGCAGGCGCGGCAGCGGGCGGGTCGTGCAGGGCGGACAGGACCGGGCAAGTGCTATCGCTTGTACACGGAGGCGGCGTTCAGAAACGAGATGCTGCCAAACTCAATCCCGGATATCCAGCGGACGAACCTGTCGACGACGATCTTGCAGCTAAAGGCGATGGGCATCAACGACCTGCTCAGCTTCGACTTCATGGACCCGCCACCAGCGCAGACGATGTTGACGGCGTTGGAGTCGTTGTACGCATTGTCCGCGCTCGACGACGAGGGGCTGTTGACGCGGTTGGGGCGCAAGATGGCGGACTTCCCTATGGAGCCACCGTTGGCGAAGATGCTCATCGCGTCGGTCGAGCTTGGGTGTTCGGAGGAGATTCTGTCCATCGTCGCGATGCTGTCTGTGCAGAGCGTCTTTTACCGCCCGAAGGACAAGCAGGGCCAGGCAGACGCGAAGAAGGCCAAGTTCCATCAGGCAGAGGGCGACCACCTCACGCTGCTCACCGTCTACAACGGCTGGAAGGCGGCGAACTTCTCGAACCCCTGGTGCTACGAGAACTTTATCCAGGCGCGGAGCATGCGGCGCGCTCAGGACGTGCGCAAGCAGCTGCTCGGCATCATGGACCGCTACAAGCACGACGTCCTGAGCGCAGGGCGCGACTACAACCGCGTCCGGCGCGCGATCTGCTCCGGCTACTTCCGGAACACCGCGAAGAAGGACCCGCAGGAGGGCTACAAGACGCTCGTCGAGGGCACGCCCGTGTACATCCACCCGTCCTCCGCGCTGTTCAACCGCGCACCCGAGTGGCTGATCTACCACGAGCTGGTGCTCACAACGCGGGAGTACTGCCACAATGTGACGGCGATCGAGCCCAAGTGGCTGGTGGAGGTCGCGCCGCAGTTCTTCAAGGTGGCGGACGCGAACAAGATCAGTAAGCGGAAGAAGCAGGAGAAGATCGAGCCGCTGTACAACAAGTACGAGAAGCCGGACGAGTGGCGGTTGTCGAAGATCAAGCGGAGTGCGCGTTCGGTATGTCTTTCGTTTGTTCAGACGTGCGCAACGCGCTGACTTCTTTCACAGTCGCAGACCTTTGGCTAGGGGACATCGTTGTCGGCAGTTTGGTAGTTTTATAGAGGACCTAGTTCACAAAACGATGATAACATGGTGGAAGTTCGATGTGTTATGTAATTAAGGCCCATACTGAGCGAGCTAGTGCGTGCGCGCCTTTTCATTCTGCCTCACCGGTGTATTCCAGGATAAGTCACAAGCAGTTGGCTACGTTTAGGTGAAAGAGCGACTACGTTGCTGCTCCTAGGATGATAGTTAGTAAGTCTACGCGCAAATCTACCACATTTCTGAGGGGAACTCGACGTGAACATGTCTCAAAGGACCTCAAAGGATTCCAAAAATTTCGTCCATGCCAACGAAGCATAGCGTATGCGCCAGGGCATAGATCCTTGCGCTGCATATCTAGAGATATGTGCCGCTACTCGGAAATGCCCAAGACATATACAGGATGCCTCGCCGACGCCACAAAGGATATTCCGCATCTATCGCCTGGCCCTGAGCAGGAGGCGTTGATGTGAAATACCATTGTGGTAGCGGTTGTCCAGGCGAAACCTCCACTGCCCGCCGCTCTCATAGCTGTAAGAAAGGCGGACAGCATCCACAGCCCCGCCTGTGCAATCGCGATGGACACAAGTCCACCCACCGTGAGCGTTCGCATTTTAAAGCCCGGAGGCAGGCGTCCAAACTCACGATGGGCCCAAACGTGGATGGGTCTTGCCACCGCTGGCTAGCTGCCTACCCGGCAGTTTCGACAACGATGGCGTGTCGACCCATCTACCACACGCGCCGCGCAGCTGTCCCCCTAACAAACTCAACCAGAGCGCACGACTTCGAAAGCCGCGAGCTCTCGCCAGGTGGGGACTCATCCACACGCTAGTGGTAATCAGTTGGCCTGCATCCGGACGATCATGGTCTTTCTCAGACAGTGGGCGCTCCTTTATATCTGCGCCGGATCGCCGGACCGGGAAACCCGACCATTCATCGCCCATCACCACGCCTCATGGTTGCTTGTGTCCGACGCTCATGTGCAATCTGCTTATGACGCCTCCACGCCCCAGCTTTGTGTGCGTATCTCTGCTCTGGCATGCTCCCGGTATGAACCCTCGATCAAAATCCATGACTACTGCACCGCCAATGTTACAAATGATCATGAACCTCGAGCTCAAGGCGTCCTTAGCAGCACTAGACTTGGTTTACGGCGGATATATGGGGAAAACTGGCCCTGCGTGTGACTTCTGGATGCTGTAGGGTTCGCGAGTTTATGTCTATGGGTTCCAATAGATGTGAGCTTGTGGTCCGGACGAGCGCCCGGTCATAAGCATGTCTCGATCATCGTCCGCATATAAAGAACGGCGCGAACGACTTCAGGAGCCAACAACGCCATTAAACTCATCCCAGTAACAGCACAGCGCACATACCCAGAAATGGCTCGTGGCAAAGCAAAGGAGACAAGGATTGACTATACGGTGTCGCAGGGGTAAGTAGCCGGCATTCATGCACTTCGCTTCGGCGCTAACATCCAGCCACAGTCAGCGCGGACGCAATCCCGGAATTGGCAAGAAGTTGAAGCGAGTTCAGGAAACGGGAATGTACCAAATTCTTCCGCCTACAGTGGAAGGTTCGTGCTCATCTGTTCGTCGAGAGATTATCCTCGTTCTTATCGAAGCACAGATTTGCCTGCGCACGGCGCGGACGAACTCGGCCCCCAATTCCCCTCGACGTATACGAACTACAGCGTCAATGTCGCCAGTGTTGCGGATCTCCGCGTAGTCATCGAGGAATTCAACGAGAGGAACGTTCGCTATGGCATCGACGTGACCTACAACCTCAACAAAGGCTCACTCGAGGATACTGACCCCCTCGAAGCTCCTAACCTCGTCTCATTCAGTATCAAGGCCGAGAATCTCGATGCAGAGAAACGTGCGCAGGTCGGCGAGCTGCTCAACATCGTCACGCCGCAGAATCTCGTTTACGTGAGGCTATCGCTGCTCGGTGGCAGGCCAACCAAGGCACTCGACACCAGCGTCTTCGACTTCCTCGGCCGCCCACTATCAACGCTCACGCACGTCAGCCTCGAGCTGTCATTCTGCTACAAGGCAGGCCTCCTTGAGTATCTCGTATCCGACGCTGCCGCCCATCTCGTATCTCTGGAGCTTCAGACCAATAGCGCCGTGGCGGACATCATCTTCGAGGCTCTACGGAACGAGGACTACCACGCACTGCCAAACCTGCAGCGCCTTTGTCTCCGCCTTAAAGTCCTGCCAGTTGATCGCCTCTTCGAGGCGCTGAAACTGCGTCATGACCACGGACTTCGTGACCCTCTCCGCGTCGAGATCGTGCAGGAAGTCGACCCGGATATTCGCGAGAGGGCGTTCGACCTGGGCGTCAGGTTCCGCGATCCCCCTGTATTTCGTACCAGATAATCACAGATGCAATCGTATCTTCTGGGGATTATAACGTGGCTGGTCCGCTCTGACAACTTGAATTACTTCAAGTATTTGTGATGTGGTGTGCTGGCGTATGCTTCACTATTCTCTACCTAAGCTCGCTTAGATGTTCGAGGATATGGGAAGCATAATTTTTGATCTCGTCTATATACGTCAAAAAAGCCGCAAACTCGACAACGCTGAAGGGCAAGAAAAGAGACACGGCGGCTCGGGTTGAACTTGTTGATCTCCACGTGATGTGATTTCCGGCATTTGCCGAAACAAGTTGAACAATCACAAAGAGTGGCAGCGCGTTCTTGTTTCTCTCATCTTCATCTGGCGCGCAGCGGCCCACGCGCCGTATCTCTTCTGCTAACGATGTTTGATCTGTATGCTAGATGTCCAATCACTGGTGCAGAGGAGAACTTGTACATCATCAACCTCATCGCCCTTTCCGCAGCGGACGCTACGACGGAGCTACAGGTGTGTAACAATGGTCATGCTTTCTGCTATGAGTCTCATGAGGTTCATAGAGGGCTCAAATGGAGTGGGCTTGGGGCTTAGAACGGGGAGGCTTCCTGTACTACGTGGATAGTCCACCTAACGAGATTTGCTGTGGGTGCCATTCTCCGTCTTTCGAGTCGTCTGCTAACGTCTTTTCCCTAGTACATTCCGACATCGTTCGTCAGTATAATGCTGGAGACTTTGTACTCCTGCCGACGCACAAGACATATATGGACGCAATGGCCTTCACCCAGCGAGCGGGCGGTTGGCACCGTGATGAAGAAGATGATTCGCCACGGCGCCCTCTAACAGCAGTACGTGGAAATCCCCCCACCCACCGACACTTGAAGCTGACCTTTGATCTAGCTTGGCAGCTCCTTCCGTTACGTTTTCATCCCTCTCAATACTCGGGCGGAAAAACTGATCCCTGGCTCACTCATGCAACCTCAGACCGACGAAGACTGGAACCATGGTATACACCCGATTACTGGCGAGGCTTTCTACAGTTGGGTCAAGGATTATCCTGTCGTCGAGATTCACAGTCACCCGGTCTCGGTATGCGCGATGGCTCAAGAGGCCTTGGATTATGCGCCGCCGGTGCACCTCAATCTCACGCCCTGGACTTCCTGTTTGTCGCGCTTGCAGAGGAAGTGGGGCTTCTGCTCGTTATCCATCGAACCCCCTCAGTGGTTTGTCGATACCGACGATCGAAACGACTACTACGACGAGAGCCTGAATGGTAGTGAGGCCACCGGGTATTGTCCGCTTCCAAGCGACAGAGACGAACCGGATCACCAGGTACCACGCTACGCTTCCTCGGCCGGGACGGCCACGCTGCAGGGCAGTAGCCGTATTCTGGAGTGGGCGAAGGGTCTGCCGCGTCCCCGAGCCGTTTACCGCACTTCGCACGTCACGACACAGGCAACCATCCCGGGGTGCTTTCAGTCATCTCCGTGCCGAAAAGTCAATTGCAGGAAGCCAACGGATCAAGGTGGGAAGACTCCAAGCTGGGCTCTGCGGAATGGACACTTTCCGACCCGCACGTTCACAAGTAACGACTGGGCATTATTCGTCTATGGGAGCAGGTTATCGGAAGACGATGACGGGTATACAGACTGAAATATATTCTTCCAATTTGACTATCGCGTGAGCTGTGGCCTTTTACGAGCACATCGCTAAGCCCCTTCAAGTTGCGAGTTGGTGTCGAGCTATAGCCTATAGGATCCACCGCAAGCATTGCTTTGTGTGGCAACCTGGTCAACCGACCGTAGAGTAGTTTCACCCCCACGTTGGTACACAGAAGACGCTTGGACAATGGATTGTAATGCCTTAGGTTGGAATGCAAGCGTCCGGAAGCTCCCAGCCGGCTGCAAACATGATCTCAGCAACGTTGTGCACACCGTGCCGCGCACGGGAAGGCCGACTCCACAATGCAAAGGGGCAGAAACCAGTCGATTGGAGGCATCACATGCTTAGACAACTCTTCTCATAACGAGCGACGCATCCCAAGCTTGCGAGTCAATTCGCAAGATAGAAGAAGCGGAGAGAGGCGTGGCAGTCACGTGGTTTAGTGGCGCGCCGCGACTTGGTCACGGTGTGACCGGCTCGGTCCGATGTCACTCGCGTCTTCGCTCTTACCCTGATCTAGCCCTCCGTTTAAACTCCAATTTCGATGAGATACGACATGTCTTGCGGATACATGAAGATGTGTCCAATCACGGGCGCAGTAGAGGGGCTGAGCTACATGAGCCTCATTGACCCTTTAGCAGTGGATGCTGCAACGGAGCCACAGGTATGGATCGGCCCTCTGGCTTTACGCGCTGCGTCTGATGTGCGATACAGATAGCCAAAACGGAGTGGATGTGGGGTATTGAAAGAGGAGGCATTCTATACTACGTGGACAGCCCATACAACAAGATCTCCTGTGCGTGTCTTCCTCTTTCCGTCGGTTACTCTTCTGAACCTTTTGTACAGTCCGTTCCGATATCACCGTGATGTACTTCAACGGCGACTTTATACTCCTTCCCACCCACAAGACATATATGGATGCGATGGTCTTTAGCAAGCGAGCTGGTTGCTTTTGCCGTGACGAAGAAGATGATTCGCCGCGACGCCCTTTGACAGCAGTACGCCTACGCTTTGACATTTACCCCAACTCAATGCTTACCGTCCTTTAGCTGGGCACATCCTTCCGCTACGTTTTTATTTCGCTCACGGACGCTGCACGAAATTTGCTCCGGGAATCCATAATGCCAAGTCAAACCGACGAAGACTGGAACGGCGGTATTAACCCAGCCACTGGCAAGGTCATGCCGTCCTCGGTCAAGGACTACCCTGTAGTCGAGGTGCACAGCAACCCGGTCTCGGTATGCGCGTATGCCCAGGAGGTGCTGGACGCCGTGAAGGGGCCGAAGCCGCTCGACATCGTGCACTGGACCAACTGCCTATTTCACTTCCAGATGCGATGGAGCATGCACTCGTATTTGCAAGCCCCCGAGTGGTTTGTCGAGACCGACGATCGGAACGACCACTACGACGAGAGTCTGAGTGGTAGTGAGGCGACCGGGTACTGTCCGCTACCGAAGGACGGCGGTCAATCGCGTGGCCGGGTTCCGCGCTATGCGTCCTCGTCCGGCACTGCCGACTCGCAGACCAGCAGCCGTGTTATGGAGTGGGCGAAAGGTATACCGCGTCCCAGGACCGTTCGATCCTCGTCTCCAGGCCGATTCTCTCGCTCCGCGGCGAAGGGCACCATCCCTGGGTGCTTTCAGTCCTCTCCGTGCCGCAAAGTCAAGCGTGCGAAGTCCAGTAGGTCCGGAGGAAAGGTACCGAGCTGGACGCAGCAAAATGGTCGCTTTCCAACCCATGTGTTTACGAGCAACGACTGGGCGATGTTCTTCTATGGGACGAGGTTGTCGGAGGATGACGACGGGTACACTGACTGAAATAGATTCTTACAACTCAACTAACGCGTGAGCCGTAACCATTTCCAAGTGCATAGGTGAGTCTCTAGCCAGCCCGTGCCGAGGAACATGTGTTTAGGTCAAATGCAAGCACTGTGGTGGCAAACCTATATGTTGAATTTACGCGGCCGCGTTCCCCGCTTACCAGCCCGAGATCATGCGAGGACACGCGTACGGCACGTGCGTGCGTGTTTCTTTTCTGCTTTGGGCAGCAGCATTCTCCTTGACGGCCTTATCAAACTCGCTGGATCAACCGGCAAATTGCCTGCACTCCAGTAGCAATGAAAACTCCAAACAACATGTCTATATCCTGACCAACCTCTAGTCTACGAGATGGTGACCAGACCATGGTCAATCTTATCCAGCTAGTTTACTACCAGAAACAAGCCCGAGTACAACAGCGTAAGTATAAAGTAATGTGGTCGTGCAATGGTATTCGTAACATGTCCTATAGGAGGAGCGGGGCGTATGTCCCATGAAACAAGGGCGTGATAACGTGTCAAGGGCCTGAGGGATATCAAGAAGGGAGATACAAGGGAGTAGAGCAACGAGGAGCACATTGCTACTATTAGCTTACTTCGCCTCCGCGGATCCGTTCGTGCTGTTCACCGCTGCTGCCGTCTCCGCGGTCTTCTGCTGCGTGCGGGTGACGACCTCCGTGATCCCCTTCTTTACGTTCTCCAACAGCGGCGTCACGCGCTCGCGCACTTGCTCGCCGACCTTGCGCGCCTTCTCCTGCAGCGGCACATCCTTCGCCGTGATCGTCTCGCGGAGCTCAGCGGCCGTCGCGGTGAGGTTTGCGGACAGATCGGCGTACGTCTGGCGGAGGTGCGGCTGAATCTGCGCGGTCGAGTCGTGGAGGGAGGCCGACAGTGCGGCGGTCGTCTCCTGCAGCTTCTGAAGCTGCTGCGCCAGCGTGTCGGAAAGGCCGTGCACACGGGTCTGGACGGAGGTGACGGAGGAGGAGGCGGCAGCGGAGAGGGACTGGGCGGTTTCGGTGGCTTTCTGACTGCGAGGGGGTTAGCGGTGTGGGAAGAGCGAGGTGGAAGGGGACGTACACAAGAACGGACTGTGCCTGCAGCTGCTTGAGCTGCTCGGTGGAGTAGACGGAGATGTGGTCGGTGAGGGCCTTGGTAAGGGCGAGGGCGCGCTGGTACTGGTACTTGGCTTCGGTGGTAGGGGAGGGAGGGGTGGCGTCCTTGGCTGCACCGATCTCGGCGTTCAAGCGAGCCTCAATGTAGTCGACGATGGGTGCGAAACGCTAGGGGTGGAGTAAGTAATGCGTCAATGATAAGGGAATAGAAGAGACGCACCCCATCGATCTCCTGCACGACGTGGAGCGCCGGACTGCGTACGCGCTCGTCGAGGGTCTTATTAACGCCAGTGACGGCGCTATCGCGGCGCGTGCGCACGTACTCCGTCGCACTTTGCCTGCGCTCGCGCACAAAGTTGGCCACGTCCTCCGGCTGGGCCTTGAAAGGGTATGGGTAGCGTGCCTCCACAACGTCGAGGCCCTTGTTAGCGAGACCGTCCGCCTGAACGATCAAAGGCGCGAGGCGCTGCTGCAGCGGCTCCGCGTACTTGTACGCCGAGGTCGAGAAGCCCTTGGCGGTCGAGTACGACGAAGAAGTATAGGCGTTCGTCGCCAGCACCTCGTTCAGCTTGTCGATAGACGCAGCGATCAGGGGGATCGCGAAGACGCGGTGCAGCGCGGTGAACTCCGCCGCGGTCGGCGACGGCGGCGCAGTAGAGGTCGAGGGCATCGGAACTGAGGACGTATCTGCCATGGCGGATGAGAGAATGCAGAAAATTGGGTGCGATAAGATGGAGACGGTGCCCTTTTATGAGCTGCGCGGGTTGCATGTGATTTTGGATTGTCCGTGAAATTCCCTGGCGGATAAGATAAGATAAATTGTTGACGGGATCAAAGGCTATTCAGCCCGATTTTGGGTCACAGGTCATGGGGTCCTCTTCGCGAACTTCCATGGCGCGTACCTTTCGGCCTGCTGAATGCAGTTAGGTCTCCAGCAGGCGGAAAGTTCATCGGAGAGCGCGGCGAGCCCGCATTCCCATTGGTCCAGCGCTTGAAGCGGGCGCTGGCATGTGTTTTTCCTCACCCAAAAATCCAGGCGCCGCCACTCGCGTGAAGGATAAAACGTCCCTTCGCGCCTGGAACAGATGTTCCGCTGGATGCAGAGCCCGTGAAATCGCCTCCAATGCAGCGGGCATACGACGCCTGGCGACTGGATCTGCAGTGCGCAGGAGGAGTGTATGGCGTAGGCAGCGGCGAGCGCAGATATAGCGACGCAGACCATGTCTTATCGTTACTTGACATGACATGAAGACGACAATGAATGGCGAGGTTCCTTCTCATCTGCAGACGCGATGACTCTTCCGTGCCCTGTCTAGCATGCCCTCCCACAATCTCAATGAAGGTGAGACCCACCTACGCGCTGGAAGCCACCCTGATTTTCCGGATACGCCGGACTGTCGGACTGCCCATTGACCTCCACCTGTTCGTTCTCCCCGCAAACTCCTCCCCACCCCCACCTTCGTTTGCCACCAATGAGGCTGGATGCCAAAGGCACGACGCTGCGGAGAATCTATGAGCGAGATGCCGCAGCGTGTCAGCCCCCACAACGTCCAGCCCTCGATTTATGGCCCTGGCCAATGGGCTGGACACAAGTGCACAGTGTCTAAGTGTCCGAAGGTTACCAAGTACAACGAGCTATCAGCTCTAGTCAGTCCTCGTCGATTCCAGGTAATTCGCCTGCCGGTCCCATGAGCTTCACCAAACGTATCCGAGCCCCTAGTAGCCAGATGTTTTTTCCATACCATCCTAGCGCGATGTGGAAGGATGTAGACTCTACGTCAGGGCCACGTACAAAGCCTTCCTAATTCGGAACGCCGGTGACGGATGCGGCAAGTCGCGTGGATTCGCGACACGCGTGGCACATTCCATGCCTCTCGCCATCATCACCTCCCGGAGTCGGTAGTCCATTGTTCCCCTCGAGTACTGCTCCACCCTTCCCTCTTTCTCTTTCGACTCGAACTCCGAAGGACTGACTAGTCATGGTACGAACGAAGCAGCACTGAACGTCGGGAAGCAAACGTCTGAACAACGCGTCTAGTCCGCCCTCTTCAACTTCCAATCCCTCCTTCTGGTCATCCTTCTTGTGATCTGCACATGTACATATGTGCGCGGGATTATGCCCAGATTGATAGACCGGAATAAGGAGGGGTGCGTGTCACTTACCGTTCTGCATGCTCGACACTGACCCAACTGCGCAGGTTCCTAGGGCTGTTCTGGATGTCTGCAAGGATAGGCGCGTTGGCCAACTGACATACGCCTCGTGCAGCGGGACTGATGTATGATGCAGGAGAACGCTTGTCACCATACGTAGCACTGGCATGCGTAGCTATGGCGGTCAAAATATTGATGGAGTGAGGGCGCTGCAGGTCATGCACACGACGAGGTGCGGGGCATGCCATCTTGTTCATGCCCTAGCTGACGCCTTTTCAACATCAGAGCCCCCGCTTGTACGCTTGCGCTGCGCCGCACCCGCATCATGCTCGACAGACGCTGGGTGAGGCATACATCTACCCACGTCCCACGATCGACGCCTGCGGCTGGGTATGCGCGTGTCGCGCCAGTCCAGCTATGCGACCATATGCACTACGTATACCCAGTGACGCTGTATCATGATCAATTACATGACTTGCTTCCCGACTGTCCGCGGCAACTTCGAAAGTCCCTTCAGCGCCCGTCCCGAGGATGGTCCCTCGGAGCGTGAAAACGTGAGGCGTTGCAACCAGATTACTATCGAAGACATGCAAGCAGCCTACAGACACAACGACCAGCCCAGATTCCTGTCAAAATTATAGAAAGCACGATAGTTTCCAATTGAGGCATACTTACACGCTCATGTAAATGCAAGAAAAATCCATTCCAACTGAGCTCCAGATACATGTACTGTAATCGATAAATACGAATACGTAGCGCCGCTGCTCGATTACACTGACAGGGTGATGTATGTAGGCAACTGGAGTATATAGGTGGCCGGCCGCGCCCGTTATCTGGAGTGGGGCTGTATACTGAACAAGTACGCGCAGCCGCGCAGTCGGCGGTGGTTATCAGTAGCTCGACAGAACAGGTATGTAGACAGAAAGAAACAGAAAAAGACATAAGCGAACTCCAAAGGTAGTACAGCTGCAGAAAGCTCCGAGGATGCGGGGTATGGGCCATGGGTGGCGCGCGGTGGGCCCTGGATGATGGCACAGGCGAGGGGCTGGGACAGGGTGTGGAGGGCGAGACGGGAGGATGGAGGGCGTGAACTAGTATGTCGACTGTACGTGGACACAGGACAAGAACAGCGATGTCGACCACGCGAGGCTCCAACCCGCCGTCGGAGTCCGTGCAGGGTACAGAAATAGCTCAACGGTGTAGACGTAGATGTACAGCGAAGACGAAGGGGAGGTATAAGCCATGACGGCGCGCAAGGCAGCGCCGCGGGAACAGTGCGCGATACGGTGACGCGAGGCGCGCTGCATGGAAGAGGAAGGAAAGGGAGGCATGGAAGTAGAGGCCGGGTCGAGGGCGAAGACGTCGGGATCGGGACGGGGTTAGCGCCAGAGGGGGCTGGGAGTGAGCGTGGTAGGATATGGAAGTTCAGGCGGGTGGATAGGCGAAGCGGCGGTGCGGAGTAGGCGTGCGCAGAGACGTGAAGCACATGAGGGCGTGATGGCGGGGCCGGCACTGATCAACGCGGAGCGAATCACTGCGCATATCCTGCAGCGTGATGCTGCTGCGTGTGGTCGCCGTACGCGTACTGCTGCGTGTCCGCCGTGTACGCGTACGCGCCCTGGTCGTACTCACCGCCGTAGCCGTGCTGTCCCTGCGAGCGCTCCATGTCAGCGTAGCCGCCCTGCTGGTCCGAGTAGCCGCCCGTCCAGCCACCGTACGCGGATGCGTCGTGGTGCTGCATGGGCTGCGCGTTGTACATGTCGTCGTCCGTGTACGCATTGCCCGAGTACTGCACGTTGTCGGTGTACGCGTGTGGGTCGTAGTCGCCGTAGCCACCACCCGTAGCGCCGCGGCCGGCGATGTTGACGCTGGCGACTGAGTCGCGCACGTTGCCACTTCCGGAGCCCGCAGCGAAGGCTGCGTTGGGAGGCATCGGCGCGGTGGGGTCGGTGAACACAGGCTTCTCGGTCATGACCGTCATCGGGCGGTTGGTGTCGACGAAGGACATGCCGCCCATGGTGGTGCGGCGGCCGAGCGTCATCTCGCGGTCCTTGCGTTGTTTGCGGCGCTGAGAATGCATGAGCAGTTGTTTACGAAACGGAACGAGTGCACTCACTGTGCACCAGAGCAAGAGAAGGGCGATGAGGCCGAGACCTGCGAGGCCACCGACAACACCACCAGCGATGGCGCCGGTGCTGATGCCCCCAGAGGCGCTCTTCGCCGCCGAGTTGGACGACGAAGCGCTGGCGATAGCGCCTGTAGCGGACATGGTGGACTTGATCGAGAACGTCGACGAGAGCGTGACGTCGCGCGTCCTCTCGAGCGCACCCACGGACGACGACGACGTCTGTAAGCCGGGGTAAGCAGAGTTATCGTAGCCCATTCGCCAGCGCACGCACCGTGTGAACGGACGACGAGGATGAGGTGGCGACGCGGGCGGCCGAGTTTGCGGTCGTTTGGTGGACGGAGGTCGAGGACTTCGAGGTGGTAACCGGGGGAGGGGTAGACGAGGTCGTGGGCGGGGGCGGGGCGCTCGATGTAGCAACTGATGTCGAGGTAGCGGTCGCAGTAACCACCTGCACCTCCGATGAGGACGTCTCTTGCGCGGGGGGCTGTGATTGCGAGGTTTCCTGCGCGGGGGGCGTGCTGCTGGTCGTCGGCTGCTGCTGCTGTTCGGTGGTCGGCTGGGCGGATTGGGAGGTTTCGGATTGGGCAGGCGGCGCGGTGTCTTGCTGTTGCTGCGTCGTCGTCTGGGCAGGATCGCCCGCAGCGGCGGTGGTCGACGCTGGGTACAAGTCAGCATCCCCTTCGAATGCATTGGGCTAGCACTCACCAGCACCACCCGCAGCCTGGGTGTTAGACGGGCTCGTTGCAGCACCACCGTTGGCAGCGCTGTCCGCAGCACCACCGGCTGCACCGTCCGTCGCGCCTGCACCCGCACCCTCTTGCTGCCGCTTCGCAATGATGCGCTTGTGGATCGAAGACATGTTCTCGGTGTTGGACACTATATATCTTTCTTGTACAGAATACAACTGGCTGTTCACCAGTTCGGCACACCAGAAGTCGGCGGTAGGACTTGCTGCTGCACTGGCCGGCGCCTGCGCTGTTGTGCAAAAGAATGAACGAAGGGGAAAGGAAGGAAAGGGCTCGCAGGCGGGGCGAGCGGGCGCACGATGGGCGTTTGAAGAGGGAGGAGGAGGACCGTGTGACGATGTTCGCTTCAAGTTACTTCGGCAACCAGCGACCGCATCCGGCCGCCGTTCCCTGGACCGTCGTCAAGGCGATAAGGACTTTACCTCCTTGAGCCTCACTCTTCCCGTGTCTTGCAGAGGACTCAGAACTCACGATCTACCGTACACAACTATCTAACTACATAGAAAGGATCTGCCGTATATACGCATTGTGACCGGTCGGCAAGAAATTATTAACGCGGGATTTTCATGGCTCGCCACAGCCCACCGAGGACAGGGACACGCCTACGCCCCGCGCGCCAGGGCGTACCCATCCGAATCGCTCAGACTCACACTTGAATGGCCCACATATCTTGGTTCCGCAAAAGTGATTTGGAACTCCCGGTCATGCACGGAACTCCAGCGATTTGGGAGTTCCGTGGCAATATCCTCGACTGAACTCATACGATTGGGCTTTGTAGAGGCAGTTCACCTTCATACACTGCCCTCGCTATCTTTTTTCGCAAGTAACAGTGCTGCGAATTACAACATGAGCAAGGCATCGCAAAGGCAGCTTTGACTTATAGATGGCGTCTGGCTCTCGGTGTTACAAATCCAGAACAAACTGAGCTCGCCCTACTGAAATCTGACTCGGAAACCCGACAGTCCGCGCACCGACGCGCAGGATGTAGCGCGGAAGGGACTACAACAGACGTGCCGCATAAAGGTATACATATATAGTGTGTGCTAAAGAGTCGCTGGTCTGTACAGGTGAGCCGGATGCTCTGCAATAGTTAAACCACTGTCGCCGTGTGCATATGCTGGTCAAAACGAAGCATCGAGAGTCTTGGGCACTGAAGAGGCTCCCACAGATAAGCAGACATTGTGCGAGGCGCCTGTTATTTCTCCTCCTCGGGAGGGGTGTAATCTTCGTCCGCGCTTGACGAGTAGCCGTCCATGTCGAAGATGACGCTGACGCCTGCGAGCGTGGATAAGCCTCCGAACGTATGCCACAACGTCTGAGCCTACTTACCATCCTCCACATCCGACGCAGAGGCCATCTCCGCGTCGTCCGAGGTCACGATGTCCGACGAGCCGTCCGTGAGGCCCCAGTCAGCATTGTCCTCCCCGTCGGTCATCTCCGCGTCGCCCTCCAGTTCCGCAACATCCACAGTGATAGCGGGATCAATGTCATATTCTATGGCACTGAGGTCCTCTGCGACACCATGGTCCTCCCATTCACCGCTGTCGTCCAGGCCCCAAGCCCCGGCGTTGGTGTCGGCCCAGTCGTGCGCGTCTTCGGCCTCGCTGATACCGTCTGTGTCGACAATGACGCTATCTTCATCGTCCTCGTCTCTAGGAACGTATTCGCCCCCGTCTGAAGACTCGTCATCTGTATCGGTGCTGGGACGGATGTCGAGATAGGTTCGCCGGCAGGTCGGACAGCTTCCGTGCTGAGGACACGACTATCAGCTGGGAGGAGGCGAAAGATGAAGGGAAAGAGCGTACCAGGTTGCTGATCCACTCAACCAAGCTGAAGGAAACATCAGTAATTCGATTTGGGGGAAGGAGAGACGATGTACGCACTCATGCTTGCAGAATACATGGCCGCACCCCGGGAGTTGCGTCACACCCTCGCGGTCCACATTCTCCTGCCCCCTTTCCCCACGCAACAATTCCGTCCCGGAGACAAAATCCCCTCCATATGCGTGCCGTCTACCGGGTGACTGTACCGGCGATCGCTCGCGCTCCTTCCCCTTCCCCTCCGCCTCGAAGATCTCCACGAACGGTACCAGGCAGATCGGACACGCGTCCTCCTCCCCCACATCCCTTTTGCACAATCTGGGCAGCTCCGCGACGAAGCGCGCAATCTGGGCTTCCTGGTCCGCGTTCGATCGCGAGTGTCGAGGGCGAGGCAATCCGAAGGAGTGCATGTTAAGAAACTGGCTCAGAAGCACTTGCGCAGCACCGCGCGGAAGCGGTGGGGAGAGGGGGGCGTCCTGCGAGGGGGAAGCGGGCAGCGATGGAGACCGCGTTCGAGATCCAGAGGGGGATGAGGGAGTACTGGAGTCCATGGAAGGAGCCAGCAAAAGCGCGAGGATACAGGTCTTGTCGTTGGCGGTCGGATAGAGGGTGCTGGTCTGTAAGCTGGCTGCGATCTGCTATCCCGGCCAGAATAGGGGAGAGGAATGGGGGAGTATGAGACCCGGGCGCGTGATGGCCGTTTCAGTCAACAAAGCGCGTCGGTCACGCTCAGAGCGAGCGCTTGTTGATTCTGACGTAACGCGCCAAATGGCCATCGACATGGGAAGGTGCCGCTTGCCTTCTGCCAACGCGAGTGGGGGTTTCCCGCGCTTGCATAGTCTGGGAATGGGGTCCGAGGACATATCCTCGGTAAGTGCTATACTGACTCCATGCTGAGCATCTACCAGAACTTACTGCAAATCAGGTTGCGGCTGAGTCGCTGCTGTCCCGTTACGCCGGCGTTGCCAACTTGTCCGTGCATCGAAGCGGGCGCGTGCTCTCTCATAACGATGTCGCTCTGTTGAAGGAAAACATACCTCTCCTCGAGGAAGAGCTCTCTCGCGACTCAGAGTCTCCTGAATCGTCTGCGCAGCTGTTCAATGCCTCTGCCCTCACCGACCTTCTCGCCCTTCACAAAGCTCTGATCTCCCCCGTTCGCCGTCTTTACACAGAGATATTGTCGGAGATATTCCTCCTCGCGATACCTGATGGCTGGCTGGAAGAGCTCTGCGGTACCGTCATACATCCGTGCACGCAGGTGTGCCACGTCTGGCGCGAGGTCGCTCTCGGGACACCATCTCTGTGGAGCACGATATGCATCAACATCGATAGCGGGGCGCTTGTCGAACTTTCAAAAGGCTTCTTTGTGTTGCTAGGAAGTCCGTCCGAGTCTGAGGTCGAGCTACCCAGCGATGTGGAGGTGGATTCGGAGGCAGATGACGAGGGCAGCGGCGGAGACGCCTACGACGTCGCCGGGGATGATAATGGTGGCTCTGCAGGAAGGGACGAGGGCCCGAGCGATGATGGTGTTCATGAGAGCCCCGAAGAAACGGCACACGATGACTTAGAAGCGTCTAGCGAAGTCGCGAGCCGCGAAGACGACGATACCGCGGGACAGAGCAGTAGGATGTGCGAGGAAGACGAGGAAGAGCCCGATAATTGGGAATGGATCACGAACATCTATCTCGAACGCTCTGCGCGGGTGCCGTTGACCATCGAATACCACGTCGGCATGGAGTACTCCGGGCCCACCTTCTGGGAAGACGCCAGCTGGCTTCTGCTCCTCCAGCACCCAGAGCGGTGGAAGCACGTCACCATTACGAGCCCTCTCAACCTCTTCAGACGATTTGAGCCGCCGCCTCCGTTCGCGCTGCTAGAATATCTAGAACTTCGACTATACGAACACGCAGACGAGGAGTCTCAGCCTCTTCAATTCTTCTCTAACGCGCCATGTCTTCGCAATCTCATTACGACGACGCATACGCTCCCCTATCACTACGCGGATCCGAAGGACGTCCTTCCGCCTTCTTGGAAGAGTCTGGTCGAGGTCCGCATGGGCGAGTATCACTTTGACTATGGCGACGATGCCTGCACCATAGCCAACACGAGCGTCATCCACCAACATTGCGCGGCAACCCTGCAGGAGTGCTCGATATGGGCGCACGAGCCGGCACAACGCTCATACAGCCCGTCTTTGCACTCCAAGGACTATCCCGTCCTCCGTGCACTGGAGATGACCGACTTCGGCATGGAGTTCTCCGAGCTCATTCGGTCGGCACCCAAGCTCGAATCCGTCAGGATGCGGGCTGACCCGGGCTACTATGGCCTCACACTGCACCATCTCACGCAAATGCTTTCGCGCATGACCTGCGCCAATCTCACCTCTCTGTTCCTCGTATGCGTTCAGGCGATGCCCCAGGATGTTATCGAATGCCTGAAAGCCGCGCCCACCCTCGGCGAGCTCGACATAATGGAGTGGGAAACTTGCGATTACGGCGGGTACGGGGACTACGATATGATCATCAGCGTCGAGGTTCTGCATGCGCTGACGCGCTCAGACGAGCGACCCGCCTCGCTCAGTATGCTGCCGAGCCTCGAACGCCTAGCATTGAACGCCCCCGTCATGCCTGAACTTCACAGCAGCGACGAGAGGCAGATGGTGCAAGCCGTGCTGGACATGGTCCATTCTCGAGTGCGTCCTAGGGAGGCGGAAGGGCTACGGGCGCTGCAACAATTCCATAGCACAATCAAGGCTATCGAGCGGGTGACTGTCGAATATGTACGCCAGCACAAGAACGACGCCGAGCTCTAACAGCATGAAATTAATGTGAACAAGTAGGTGCTGATTATATACATCGTTTCGGGTACTACCCAGGCCTTACCATTCGCTACTTCATCGTCACAGAATTAGAGCAGGTTGCACAACGCCGGCAATCACAGTTTCACGTACGACCTACTAAGCGTGGACCCACAGGTTCAAGAACTTGTTTGTTCGACTCGTAATTCCCGCATTTATGACCTGTTGAGTGAGCGTCCTGGACCGTCGCAAAGCAGCCTCCAGAAAAATTCCAGTCAGCGCAGACCGCCACAACAAGGTCCACATTGATGGTAGCCGTCCCACCTTCCCCCGGCAATCACTGTCAGAGCTGGCGGCCAGGCTGATCAGCGTTGGCAAAGAGGCTGATTAGCGGTGCCAGTAATGTCAACCAGCGTCGACAGAGCGCCTGACAGACCATCTACCCGCGCATGGCGCTTGAAGCCTACGCGATGCCGCCTAGACAGTCCGCAGTGACCGCGCGCGCTACGCCAGTCGGAATGGGCGGTGCTACGCCGACTGAGGGTCAACCTGCAGCTGCAGTGACTGTACTCCACATCAATATCAGCCGTCGACTGCACGCCAACCCGAAGTGACTGTACCCCAAAGAGGTTATCAAAGACTAGTACAATACATTACGCATAACGTTACAAGAGCTTGCTTGTCGGAATAGTGTACAGTGTGTGTGATGGGGGGATTGTCTATTGAGTGGTCCGAGCAGTGCACTACATCCGTCCGAGGGGTGGATGGAATCGCCCGAGGGATCCGTACGATCGTCCTCTCTGTGTTCGCGGAGCGATCGCCTCAGCATCCAAGAGTCGAGTCTGGGATCAGGGATTGTGTGTCCACGAATGCTACCTATGCGTCCACGGGTCGGGGCTGCTGCGCTGATAGTGCAAGGGCGTCGGCGGCGGCTGACTCTCGTCGCGCGTGCGTAGGTCCTCGCGGACGAGAATCGAGTGCTGGCGCATGAGTTCAGAGGAAGTCGGGTACGCCTTGCGTCGGAGGTGCAGAATACTACGGACAGTGATATCAGCAAGCGCGCGTGGTTGGGTTCAATGAGCGAGCCACAAGCAACATAAAGCCGACTGGCTCTCACGTACATTCGACAGGCCTGAGAGTGTTCGTGAGCATGGTGTTGAATGACAAGAGACGAAGAACAAAGAATTCAAAGCAGCGAAACGTACCAGGACATTGGAGGTAATCACGACCACGGGCAGGAAAATCCCGCTATAATGCGTGATGGGACTGAAAGAGAGGCGTTAGGGTTTAGTATTTGGTACGCGCTTGAGGTAAAGATGAAGGTAAAGGGTAATAAACACGTACTTGAAATATATGATCGCACCAACGGCGTTCATTAGCGCGACGCAGGCGAAGACGAATAGGCCTAGCGGTAGGCGGTGATTATGAGGACGAGTGACGAACACGGGACGGCGGAGATGCGCACCTTGAGAAATAAAGACGCGGCTGAGCGATCCCGGGCTGTTGTCGAAGTGGCGGTGATACTAGATGAAGTTGTTGATGTTTGCCGCGTATAGAAGACCGAGGGACGCGCACCGAGAGCATGGAGATTAGCGAGACGAGGTCCATGAGCACGGCGGCAAGCTGGAGAGATCATAAGCGCTGCGTCTCCAGACGACCGGCGTTGCTGACCATGCAAATCTGAGGAAGGGTCAAAGGCGTCGAGAAGCGCAAGGGATATACACTCACACCGTAGCGAAATGCGAGGCTCTTGTCGCCATAGTTCGGAAAACAGCCAGTGCCTCCAAGAAGGGTATACAGCTCCTGAGGCGGCAGCAAAATGTGTATCGTGAAGGTCCAGATATCGACGCCGACAAGCAAGGTATAGCAGGTAACAAGAAGGATTGCGATCCGTTTGTTGCGCCCCGTAAAGGCATAGGCGCGCATCGCCATAATACCTAATGATCTGTCAGTATCCGGGTTGCAAGTCGCTCGCTAAAGGTCGACCTTGAGAGATAAATTGCTAGACAGAGGGTTAGCGAGTGCGGGGTTAACAGAAATAAAGGCATACCATGGGCATCAAGAGGGCATTGACAGGTCGTGTGAGTCCAAGGCATAACGAGTAATTGTGATTGCCGACGAAGGCCCAAAGCATGAGTGGCCAGTAAATGAGGTAATAGTATCTGCAGAAGAGATACGCGAACTTCATCGCTGTCCAGGGCGCACGAATTATCTAGTTCGATGTGACATGCAACTGATGACCAGGGGAACGCATCGAACGTACGAGGAGTATCTCCTCGTCAAGGCTGCGACAACTTAGATACAAGCGAAGTCGAGAAGATAAAGAATCACGTACGACAGCAACCACTCGTAGACACCCAGAGAGTACGCCGCGACCATGCCATACCGCGCATCCTCGATCACCCTGACCAACCTCAGGAGCTCCGAGGCATAATAGGATGCGTCGGCCATGTCTGTTGACATGGCGCACGGCGACTGGGGCGCTCGGAAGAGCTGGACTGAGGGACGAGCAGGATGCAAAGGAGATGATGGACGTTGGAAAGGAAGGCAACGGGTGTCGGATGGGTCTGCGACCATGCTCGACCGTCGCTACTAAATCAAATGGAGATGACATGAACTGGCAGCGCCATTCGGAAGTTAATTAAAGAGTGACAGCCGAGGGCTCGTGGCCTTCGTGATGCAGATTGGTCTGAGGGACAGACGTCGTCCTGACTGCTCGCGCGGTGAAATGTCTGCAAAGTCGGGCAGCATGATGACAGTCGCTGGCGGAGGCAGACCGAGCGGATCACAAAACGTGGAATTTGGGCCCGTGAGAATTTGTCCCTGTCGCTATTCGTTTCCCGCGCTCTTGCTTCCTGCTCTCATTATCTCCTCTTCCCCCGGTTGCTGCGCTCGTCAGGCTGTACTCATCGGTTGAGATCGTGGTCCAAATGGCTGCATCTCTGTTCAGGGAACCAGGTCTGTAAAGCTCGGAGGCATACGCGCACGGGCTGACTGGTAGGACGTAGAACAGCTCATCGGCTGCTTCAGCCCTGCAGTCCCCGCGTACTTCACCGATCTCTGGAGTACGACTGCATTTGCATCGAGCATCGACAACCCCTCTGCTCACATGCGCAATCTTTTCCAGTCAACCATGGCGGAATCACTGCAAATCCTCCGGAGGACGACTGTCGGCGCGTGAATTTTTTCTTTTGCGCAGGCTTGAAGGATCCGTGGCTCCATCAGTCAGTGTTAATTTCGCGTTACGATTCTTACGCTGACAACTGCGTAGACTAACCTCTCGCCCTCTGACCGTGAGGTTTCCAGCATGTGTCGCGACTTAGCTAGAGCTCGTGCCCAGGTCGTACATCCAGAGTGGATCAAGTCAGCTATCTCGCAGAATTGTTCTTACCTAGAAATCTCTGCATATGTGCTTAATGGTGCGCATATTCGCTCGGCTCTTTCGCTTCTATCTCTGACGTCCGGCAGACCTCGTCGACGAAGGCGAAATCCCACCTTACGCCGAAGAACCTGCCTCTACTCGCTTGTCTCGCGCTGGATCTCGCAACCACGCTCGCGCCACCGACGCTGCCCAAGACAACAAACAGAAGCGACGACACAGCGCTATCGACTTCTCTTTCTCCGCTCTGGATCGTCGCCCCAGCAAGAAAGCTCGCATCAAAACTCCCGAAAAGGACGACACCTCTGTGTACTCACTTACGATATCTTCGTCGCCGTCTTCTTCGACTTCCGAGCAGTCCGTCATACGCCTCGTACAAGAACGCCCTCGCCCGCAAATGAAGCTCCCGCGCCTCTCGAAGCAGTACAACCCCGTCGAGCTGTTTGAACGTCGAATCACCCGACAAATCATGCCTGGCGGTGTACGACCCAAGTAAGCGGTCGTGATCCAAGTCATCACCCTCGCTTCACTTTTCATAGATCTGCCCTCAATGGCGACTTCTGGCAAGATATCAGGCGCAAGAACGCTAACCCTCGCTCGCTCGTATTGGCACCCGATTTTCTCTCTCGCGCTCCAGCTCCAGTTTCCGTCATTTTCGACGTCAACAAGTCGTACCGCGGCAAGCCTCTTGCATGCGTTGAGGTCGCTCCAAAATTATAGCAGCTCGCTCAATCACGCCGAATTATTGCCTTGGCCTCGGTTTTAAATGATCGCCTCTTACTCACTCCGCGAAAATCGCACTTGCTCGACGCGTCGTCTAGATACTGATTTATGACTCCTTGTTGGTGCGGTGATAGGGAATTGGTGTCCAGGCGAAAAATCAGAAGGAATTGTTACCTGTGCGTGCCCGTCGTACCGCTGAATTGTCGAGAATCTGCGGTACGCCCTTATAGTCGTCGTGTCCCCAAGCCACGCACTCACAGTGTCGCCAAGTTCCAGCGTTCGTTGTCAGACCCATCTTATTTGTTGTCCGCTCGCTCACGCATGTGTTTTCTCTGTATCGTCGTCGCGGAACGTCCCGAAGCTCGGTGCCTATACGCTTGGGCTTTGAGAATGCAGAGGCTGCGGACCAGAGCTTCTGGGTATGCAAATCCACTCTCCCTGTCTTCGCTGAATTTCAATGGCTCGCGCTTCAAGGCGGCGTAGCTACACCGCGTCGCCAAACCCGCGAGTCCCTTGTGCATCGATACTGCAGATGCAGTCGTGCGTGGGTGGAAGTCGGGTACGGGTTATTCGCTGCACCCTCCATTGATAGGTGGCACAAGGTCACTGACCGCGATTACGTGCATCGTCAGGCGCAGCTTTCATCTCCCCATGCGTATTCCAAAAAGTCGCGGTCGAGACAGGGCGTGTTGTATGGCAATCCCCCTTACTGTGGTGTAGATCTCCCCCTGCCGTGGCGCCTTGTTTACGCCACAGAGTCCCCATCTGTAGTCGATAGCCCCCTTGCGAGAGGCGGTATCTTGACGGCGGTTGCCTTGCCCTCTTTTCCAGATGGTATTTGTAGCAATCCGAGCGGACTTCGTCAGAAAAACATGTTTTGTGGATAAATTTCCCAGCCACCAGCGGCGTCCTCTCTTCTAGCGTCCACCACGGCTGCATGCCCTCCCCTCTCCTTCTCCTCTCCAACTCGACGCGCCGACTGCAAGGCAGCATCTCCGCGCCCGCGCGCGTGGAACAGCCCGTCCATATCCCCTTCCAAAATAGGAAATGTTGATGCAGATGCTTAGTCTTCTTCGTATCCATGCGACATGGATCATGGTGTGCGGCGCGGGCGTGTATGTTTGTTGACTGGCGGCGATCCTGCTTGCTTTGTTGACTGACGGTGACCCTGCGTGTTGACAGATCCTGCTTGCTGACCCCATCGTGTGGGGCGGGACCCTGATCATTGCAATATTGAGCGAGAGCGCGAGCGCGCCCGGTGGCGCCGCGCCGCCAATCGCAGCCCAGCGGGACCTGGCGCGCGGCTGGGCGAATATCCGGGCGCCCACTCGCATCGTCCCGCTCAATTGCGTCGGGCCGCGGGCGGGAGGATAAATCTCCTGCGCGTGCGGGCAATATATTCAGCGGGATCGAGGGCGCATCAGGTCGGTGTTCAACAGGGTGCTCGGAATGGGTGCAAAGCGTGCCAGATGTGAAGCCGCGGATAAGGATGGAATAGGACGACTGCGTTAAGAGTACGTTTAGATATTTGTCTTCTGGTCCCTTGCTTGGGCGCGGGTCTGGGGCCACAAATTCGAGCTCAGTGAGGAAAGCCCGCGGATGTGCATTCGAATATATTGCTTGCGTCTGCGTTCACTGAGTGTACGGCAGTCGTGAACAAGGTCGGCGCCACTAGCGCGTCCGTAGCGAGCGGGCTCGGAGGGCTACGTATCGTCGAAGGCCACGGATGGGCAGCCGCGGACATAAAGCTGAATTCGAGTGATAGGCTGTATCCCCGTAGTCTGGAAGTCGTCCGAGTCAAGTCATCGGTGAAGGTAGGCTCAGAAGTAAGAACTGCGACCAGTGAAGTCGCTGCACACCGAGGATATGGAATCAACCGCACCGAATAAAGCAGACGAAAGACTGCCTACATGACTCAAGTTTACCACCTCATATTGACGTTCCCGACGCCATCCCGCGAATAATTGGCCGGTGCTCTTATGCGAGTAGTTCCTGCCGTCCTTGACTAATCAGTAGTCGCCCGGCCATTGCGCGAATACCGGTCCTAAATCCGTCGTGAAGCTCGGGAGACCTAGAGGACAAGCCAGTATATTCCCGAAAGAACGCCTTGGGATCAGCATTGGGTCCAGTGTTATAGGACAGCATTGGGTTGGAGTGGCGGAGAGCAGCACGGCGGTGGGGTACGGCCGTGGCCGAAGTCCGAAAAGCGGCAGGGATGATGGCGCGTATTGTCGGCGAAAGGCAGATGGGCAGAGTGAGCGCGTCATCCAAGGGTTCGCTACCAGAAGAAATAAATAACGAGGCTACAATGGCGACATAGCGTCAGGAGATAGGCCTCGTAAAAATCAGGAGAAAGACGTCGCGTCGGAGAAAGGGCGTCATAGCATCAGTGAAAAGGCCGCGCCACGGAGCCGAAGGACTTCAATTCAGTTGACAACACCCTTGAGCGATTGGACAATGGACGATTATCGCAAGGCGCTACGACTTTCGATGCAAGTTGCGGTCTAACGCAGACCTTATTCCAGCACGACAGCGAACTATCGCGGAAGCACTATGATCACAGTTTGGTGTTGGTGAAGAAGCGTAGTGATTCTTGATCGTTTTCAGAAGATCTATAGAAAAGCGGCGCGAAGGGCTATAGCAAAGCAGCGATACGAACAATAGTGATCAAGACTACGAGCAATAGTGATCAAGACTACGAGCAATTATCAAGAGCGTACGCCGTAGGCCACGCTGCCGAGAGCGCACGAGCCGTCGCGCCCAGAGCAAGGGAAGGCTGCGGAAGAGAGCCTGACCAAGGGACGAAGCGCGCCAGAAGGCCAGAAATAGGGTGCCCGCGCGAGAACCTTTTGAGAGTTCAGTGAGAGAAGCCCAAAGACAAAGAGAAGCCAGCGCTGTCGTCAGTTCGTGCCTCGAGTACGGAGTCTTCGCCTCAATTCAGCGAAGAGCGACGTAGTCAGGAGGATGAAAAGACGAAAAAAAGCCAGCAAGTCCAGTCGAGTGTGAATTTCCTGGAGGTGATCATTGTCCATGTGCAGAAGACGCTGATTTTCAATGCGCCACTGACGGTTGCCTTGCCAGTAGCCGTACTAATTTTCGCACTCGGAGGACCTTCAAAAGGCGAGATCAAGCCCGTCGAAGAGAAACCAAGGGGAAAGCAGACGGTGGCGCGAACGGAAGATCAGGTTGATACCTTCTCAGGCGGCCGAAGCGCGCATTGGAGCAGTCTCCCTGCGAGGTCTTGTTGCGTTGGCGTGCGCCCTCTGCACTCCGGTGTTCCGTAGCGCTGGTGGGTCGAGACCACCGCGCGGACGCCTGCGGATGGATGCGAAGGACTCTTCGTAAACGTGCGCTGTATTTAATTATGGGGTTAGTGATCATGGCAGCAATAGCCGTGCGTCGATACCTGGTTTGGGATTGCGTAGATCTTGATCAGCGTCCGTAGGCATCGCATGCGAGGGAGGGCGGGGTCAGTAGAGGATAGGATATATCAGTCTGGTTCACGCGAGGAAGAGAATGCTAGGGGGGGAGGGTAAACGTTTGGTCTACGCAGAAAAGCAGCATACGGCCGTGCACTGCTTCAGCCCTTCGGATAGGAGGTGCACATCGCGAAAAAGGGGTCAATCCCTGTTGATCCCCCCACATGACGCAGTGTTGCGTGCGCGCTCCGGTCAGTTTTGTGTCAGCGCATCGCAGTCACTAGTGATGGTGGGAAGGGCCGAGATAGACGGCGCTGATGGTGGCACGCAGACAAGGCCGACGTATCCGAGCTCGTACCTGGTCAGTGAAACTGGGAGCGCCGTCGAGTATTCAAGCCTCCACCAGCACAAGGCGAAGAAGAGAAATGAATGGCCATGGTGGGGGAGGTCAACAATGACAAGGTCCAAGGCACACGCGACAACGTGATCGGACATCACACGCACACGCGATTCGAACCACGTGCCCGGGCGTAGTAGCGTGCCAAGTCGGGGATAACACAGAACGGCAGGCGACATTCGAGGGTGTGATATCGCTCTCTGTCTCGACCGCAACCCGGTATCTGGACGGCCTTGCAACGGGATCGAAAGGGATCGCGGCGCGCAGGGAGACCGGTCAAGCGACGCGCGCAGGCAGCAGAACGCGTCGACAGGGGTCAGCAGCGACGCCCGAGAACACGGTAGCGAGTATCCATCGCGCGGGGAGACGCTCTGCCGGGCGCATCGGCACCCCAGGCGGCGCTGGCAAACGTTGGGCCGACAGACGCTGGATAACGGAGCGAAAGCGTCCTAGCGCATGTGCAGGAGCGGCAGGCAAGCCTAGCTCAGCCAGGCGGCAGTTAGCTGCGATTATCATTCCCGCACAATCTCTCTTCGGCTCACCTGCTTTTCATCCTCATTGTACGCGCTTATTCGGCCTAGGAGCGCTCGCCTGACGTCGCCCTTGAAAAGCACGGACGCTGCTTCCCTCCATTCTTTGTACTCCCAACTGCAGCGCCCCCCCTCGACGTCAACGAACAGGCAAACGCGGCGTTACCGTCCCCCCATCAATCTCCAGATTCGCATCCTTTTTTTTTTCAACGGTTGTTTTTGATTGTCTCGACGTGGGAATAAGGAGATGGAAGATTTCCCGATTCCGGCACTCGATCCCCTCCACTCGGGTCAAGCGGCTTCTCAGTCCGGTCAGGGTCAGCAGCGGCGCCAGTGGCCGCCCCATCTTCTCACCGACCTTCACGTCGACGGTCCTTCCTTTTCAGAGCCCTCCTCAGCTGTCTCCGACCACTCCCATCCCTTTGTCTTCCCGCCCCCCAACTCGAGTTCTGCAGAGCACGCCTCTGCTCTCTCCCTCAACCTCTCCTCCCTCACTGTCAACTGCGACGGTGTGGGCTCCCCCGCTCAACCCCTCTCGTCGTCTACCGCGTCTTCGAATCTCAGTCCCGTGACACCGACCAGTCCGTTCACCGCGGGCATGGCCTCTCACTTCCACTTCGGTGCAACCGACGCTGGGGACGCAGACATGGCTCTGCACACCGCCGTATGCGATCCCCCCGCTCGCATTTATCTTGGCCCCCCCTCTACGTCTCCTGCCGCTAGTGGCTCGCGCCCCTCGACTTCGTCTAGCCACGGGTATCCCGTCAAGCATAGCTCCTCGGACACCGAGGTCGATTCGACCTACGAGGATGGGTCCTCCTTGACTCTGATCACTGCTACGGAGGACAGCTTTCACGGATCCGCGAGTGGCACACGCACCCCTCCGGATATGGATCTTTCCCATGGTGGCGACGACGGTGTCAACGGTGGCCTTGGTATCCCCAGCGGAATGGTGGGGACCAGTGCCATGACCACGAGCAGACCTGGCGGTTCGAACAACTTCGTGAGCAAGCTCTACCAGTGCGTCCCATTCATTCTCCCGACTTCCGCTATTGGACTTATGTCTTCTGTAGGATGATTAACGACCCAAAGTCAGCCCATTTCATCGCCTGGACAGAGCTCGGTACCTCCTTCGTCGTATCGAACGTCGGAGAGTTCAGCAGGAGCATCCTGGGGTCGCACTTCAAACACAATAACGTGCGTCCTCGTACCACCTCGTCGCTGCCTATGAATTAACCCTTACGTTCTCCGCCGTGCATAGTTCTCAAGTTTTGTGCGCCAACTGAACATGTACGGCTTTCACAAGATCAACAGGGTAAGTCTACTTTCGCAGCTTCATCATCTCCGGTCCTTCTCGCCTATGATTATGTACTTAATTGCGCGCTTTCCGCCTCTAATCCCCGTAACTGGGGTTCTATCGCCTTACCATCCCCCTTCCCGCCTATCGCACGGCCAGCGGAACTTCAGCTGGTCATGCGGGCGTGCCCCCTCACGTTGACTTCATTTTTCGTCCTGTCATTACCCGCGCTGACCCCCTATGCAGACGCCACGGGCTCAGCGTACGTCGACGGATCAACAAGTCTGGGAGTTCTCGCACCACAAGTTCCTGCGAGGCAGACCAGACTTGCTGGATGAGATCAAGCGCAAGGCGCTGGAACCGGACCCGAGCATCAAGCATCGTGTTGAGCTACCTGGAGAGGTGAGCAGCGGCGGATATCGCCTGAACGCCCTTACATCACCCCTCGACGCCGTACGGCTGCTGGCGCGGGTTCTAGAGACTTCAGCTGTCCCTGCTGTCCGCGCGACCTGCTAGCCACCATCATCTTCGCGCAATGTGCCTCGTTCCTGCCGCGTCGTCACTCTGGATCCTCGATGCTGATCAATGTGAATCTAGGTTGCTGCGCAGTTGAATTCCATGCGTGACGAGAACAGGCGGGTATGGGAGCAGCTGGCCGTCGAGCGACGGCGCGCCGAGCATCTCATCGGTGTCGTCGGCCAGTTGTGGGATATCGTTGGGAAAGGATTTCCGGGGCAGGGTGCGTGGTGAATTTCTAAAAAAAATCTGCAGAAATTCTGACGGGCGAGAATCAGTCCCGCCCTTCCCTGTCGAGCTCTTCGACGGGAATGAGAGCCCTGCCATCCTGGTTACCTCGCCGCAGGCGGGTGACCAGGTGCGGTATAATGGAGACCAGACTCGGTACAGTGGAGGCCAAGGACAAAATCGCTACGCCGGCAGCGAGGCCGGGCCTCGCTACGTACCCCCCATTCACATCCCCGGAACTCAGTCGTCCATGCATTCCATGCACACCCTCGCCGTGTCCCCGACGTCGAGCCCGACGGGGCCGGAGATGCCTCCATACCACTCGCATGCGCCGAGCCCGCTGTCGTCAGGCGCGGTCTCCATGAACGGGTTTCCGTACGCGCGCTCGCAGCAGCAGTCGTACTCGGCACCTGACTCGGGGGTGTCTCTCCCGCCGCATGGCGGGCTGCCGCCGATGCAGGGCATGCATATGGATATGTATCACGACGGAGGAGGGCGCGCGGGGACGAAGCGCCCGCGCCTGGCGGGCGACGAGGGCGCGGACCGGAGGATGGCCCGGGCGCGCAGCGATAGCGCGCCGCTGGGGTTCGGGTACGGCGGCGAGACCGTGCATGACAGCGGCGGAGTCTGGGAGGTACGCTCGCGCAGCGGGAGCGAGTATCACCTGGACGGAGATGAGAGGCAGATGGCGATGGGCATGCCGGGGATGCCTGGCGTCCACGGCCAGTCGGTCAACCGGTGTCCGCCGCCCTCGGGGCCGTCCATGCTCATTTCGCCGCTGTCCAACGCACGGTGACCCCGCCCGCGCACGGTCGTAGGGGGGTCCAAAATCCGCGCAGGGATCGCCGCGATATCCCGTTCGTTCCCTCTTCAGTGACTTTCTCTCGGACTCATCGACATTGTTTTCTGCTTTCTCCCGAGCGCTTGTGCGCCACCATCTCCGTCCAAGCAACGCCACTCTTCCTGCCCCCCTTTAGCCTAGTAGTGGATCGCGGACTTTCGCTTGGCACTTCCGGTTCGTCGCATGGACCTCGCATTCTATTCTGTGTAACCTAGCTTTGCCGTCGAACTTTCGCCTCGTCCCCCCAGTCCCGTGTATCTTTACCGATCTATTATTCCTGCTCATCCTCCGGACTCTGTCTCGCTGCGGTCAAAAGCTGTTCATACGTTCCTTACCTGTTGTATTTTTCCCCATCGCGAGCTCTCTGGACCTTCAAGTACATATCCTTGCACACTCATTCATCAAGGGACTGCGTACATCATTACTGACTTTCGTCGTGCATACTACGAATTGCTGTTAGCACTGTGGATAGTATAGCGAATCGCGTCGATCCGAGTCTTGGTTTTCCTACGGACTCGTAACTCTGTTATTCTGTCACTACGTAGAATAGCACCACCTGGCAGTCGCCTAGACGCTGCACCATATTCGGGAGGACCAAGGCGCGACTGGGCTCGCCAGCAATATTCTTCGCTCGAACGACCTGTCGAAGATCAACTTTCCGGAAATGGCGCGACCTTTGTGCTGACGTAACGACTGAGAATGGATTGACGCGCTGCCTCGTGACCGCGCCCCATTGTTGTGCTTGTACCTCCTTGAGCTCTTGGACTCGACCATGTCGGATGGCTCGAGGTGAGCTCGCGGACTGTTTAAAGCGCATATATGCGCCTCTAACATTTGTACAGAGTGCATCAATCATGGTACACGGCGCTGAACGACGCGGAGACCCACTTTCGGCAGCTTCTGGGTTCCCCAGCGTCCGACTGGAAGCGCATACACACAAATACGGACAAGTCGGCGTCGGGGAGGAAGGGGAAAGCACGGGCGTCTGCGATACCCGAAGTCGAGGACGTCGTCGTTCATCGCAACTCTGCTAGCTCTGGCGATGACATCTTCCGACTCGTGCTGGACGTGCCCGCGGCGGAAGAAACCTCGTCCCTCAGGGCATGGCACGCCGTCCTATCTACCCCAGAGCTCAGGCAGGAGTGGGATCCTGCTGTCGACGATGCACATATCGTCGAGCTCCTCGACGATCGCACGCGTGTCGTGAAGACGAACTTTACGCTGGGTTGGCCTGCGAGGTGCGTGCATACGCCCCTGGAGGAAGTATATTGCAATGACACGTTTTCCAGTCCGAGAGATGCTGTCACGATAGCCCGCACGTTGCAGGATGCATCCACCGTCATCGACTTCTCGACATCACTCCCTCGATCGCCAGATGAGCCCACGTATCTCAGACCGTCCCCTCCCTTCGTGCGGTCTCATGTCAGCCGTACGTGCATATACTCGTGTACTTTGACCCTCCCTTACTCCATATTACTCCAGTGTTCGCCTGGTGCATCCAACACGTTGGCGGCAAGGTTCGCATGACCTGTTTCTGGCAACATGATCTGCGTTCGGTATGGAACTTCACCACCAACACTGGAATGGCGCAGCAGCTGGCCACTATGACCGTCGGCCTCCTCAAGACCATTGTCAAGCGTAACACACGTGTGCCTCAGCTGGTAGGCTTTGGTCTGGGGGTATCCGTCGAACGTGTGCGCTTTCAGGCGGACCGGGAAGCTCTGACGGTCGATTACTCTATCATACCGGAAGAAGATAATCTATCTCAGCAAGCACACGATCTGGACGAGTTGCGCTCCCTTCGCGAGAGGCGGCGGCTGACACGGTCGGTGGAATGGACTCTGCCGCATGTGGAGGGCTGGGATGTACAAGTCACGACGAAAGCTTCTTCGGAAGAGGTCGAGAAACTCCCTTGGACAGCGCATGCTCTCCGACCGTCGACCTCCTCGTCTATCGTCCTCAGAATATCACATGCTCCGCTCGAAGACGACCACTCAGTCCTCAAAGTCCGCGTCGTACTGGAGATATCCGGTCCTTCAAGGGGCCTACGCCTCAACGGGATCCCCAAACCTGTCGATGTAATAGAAGAACGTGATCCTGCACCCGCAGCCCAGTCGCAACCCATATTGCAAGATGTCGCCAGCGCAGTGACTGAAGCAAGCGCTGCCACCACGTCATCGAACTCGAGCAACAGGTCAAGCCTATCCGATGGCCCTACGCCCGTACAGCCGCAGACGAAGCGCACGGCAGCCGCCGAGAAGTCCATTCTCTCGCGCGTGCGGCGGAACTACATCTATTTCTCGTCCCTGTTGCAGGAACCAGAGGCCAAGTGGAAGAGGAGTGCGTGTGAGACTTTCGTGTTCGATCTGCTTGTGCTGATGTCCCGCGTTCCTCGCTCGCAGTCACCGATGCGCGGGGCGTGTCTGTTACGCAGCTTGATTCGATCGACCCGACGCTGGTTGTGTACCGCGCGGAGGCGACGTTCGTGGGCGTGGGCATATGGGATCTGTACGGCGCTCTCATAACGCCGGGGGCTAGGTCGTACTGGGACAAGCAGCATGAGGATGCGACGCTGCTTGAGGATGTGAATGAGTTGACCGAGCTGTGGCACTGGAAGGTCAAGCCTGCTTGGCCTGTGAAGTGAGTGGCTCTATCTGATTATCGTCTCAATGTATCTAACCCTTCATGCGAACAGCGGACGCGACTCCGTCGTGCTCAAGACGGTCTACAAATCGCCCAAGACCATCCATGTCTTCCTGTTCACCGCCGACGACCCACACCTCTTTCCCAATATACCACCTCCGGAGCCGAACATCATCCGCACGCAGACGGACCTGCAGGGATGGGCAATCGAGGCCCTGTCCCCCACGACGACATCCCTCACACTCCTCGACCAATCTGATCCGAAAGGATGGTCGAACAAGACGTCCATCCCGACGCAGATGGTAAACACAGTCGCTGGTATTGGGGAGTACGCGATCAAGTGCGGCGCCCCGCCGGTGGTGTCGCGGCTCTCCGGCGCGCGCGCGACGGACATCCGCTACGACCACGACAAGCAGAGCTTCCGGCTGGCGTACGAGGTGGCGTCTGCGCGGCGCGCGGCTGGGGGTGGCGTGGAGCTTGAGCTGAGATGCGATGTTGATACTTGGGCGGGGTCGTTGGATATTGTGGTTGATCCTCCGCCTCAGGCCATTGCTGCCTTGCGGCGGCATCGATTCTCGGAGGAAGGAGGTGGCTTGTGGCTCACGTTGACGCACGACGCGGTATATGTTGACGACGAGCGACTGCAGGCCATCGTGCGACGAGGACCGGGGCGAGAGCGCGGGCTTGTGTTGGTCAATGGGACGAGGATACACGTCGATGTGGAGGAACTGCCTGATACTGAGCTCAAGACACTGGCGAAGAAGAAGCGGGTAAAGCCTACGCGGATACCACTAGACCAGCCGCCGGTCGTGGGTGCCATCCGACGGCGACGAGCGGAGTGGGAAGGGGACTCGGAAGCCCCTTCTGCGGCGGAGACGGCTGCAACGACGCCTGTTGAGCAGCCTGCTGCCGCGGTCGTTCCTACGGTCACGACAAACGCCTTCTCGCGATTCTTCTCGTATGCAGTAGAGCAAGCGACGGCTACGACGCAGCAGACCGTGGCCGCCATGTCGCCTACGTCGGCGGCAGGCGAGCATGCTACTCCATCGACGTCGATTCTGCCGATGGAGTATGCGCTGCAGGCGCTTGCGTGGACGCAGGAATCGCATGCGATGTTCACGTCCGACGGGTGGGCACTGCTCAACGACAAGGATATGCTCGTGCATCGCAAGATGTCGACTGCCATCTCACCCGTAGTTCCCGTCCATAAGGGGGAGAAGGTTATTCAGGGCGTCTCAGCGGAAGAGATCGCTGCCGTTGTCACCGACTTCGACTGCCGCAAGCAGTGGGACTCGCGCTTCGTCTCGGCGACGAAGCTGCAGTCGTTTGGGAATGGGTGCGGCACGGCGTTCTGCGTGTCGAGGAGCAACTTCCCCTTCCGCGATCGCGGGTTTTTCATCGCGTCTGCGATGGGGCGCGCGGTTATCCCGCCCGTGCTCACGCGGCGCACGACGTCGGGCGAGGTATCTGACCAGAGCAGCGGACCGCGGAATGCCATCTTCTGCCTGTCGGCGAGTTTCCATCCGTCGCATGTGGCAGCGTTCGACGCCGCGAAGTACAACCCGTACAACCTGCCCATCGGCCGTATCTTCGTCGATGCGTGGATCCTCGAGACTCTCGACCCGTATACGAAGGAAAACTATGCGATCCCATCTACGCGGTGTGCGCGGCTTGTGGCGGTTGACTTCGCGGGCTCGATGCCGTTCGCGGTGAATGCGCAGATCAATGCGGAGTTGCCGAGGTCGATCCTGGCGCTGGAGGGATTGATGAAGAACCTGATACCCTCGCCGCTGACGCGCCTGCCTGCCGCGGGCCTGGTCATCTCGGACAAGAAGACGGAGGAGCCGTTCCTCGACACGATGTGGAAGCTAAGGCGAAGAGATGAGAATAGGCTGCTCTTGGACTCGACCTTCTCGCCCGAGGAACGCGTGTATAGCTCTGTGTTCCTCGTCAAGCAGACAAAGAAGTCGCGCAGTGCGGATCAAACACCCAAGTCAATCCGCTCTCCGCCGGGGACGCGGCGTCAGTCTACGACAGCGGCTGATAACAGGGATCGTACGCAGTCTGCGACGGAGCCTCTGCAGGGCTCTCCTACCATCGACGGGCTGCCGTCGATGCAGTCGTCGATAGCGACCCTCACGCCCGCAAATGCTACCGCCGCCGTTGCATCAGCAGCTCCGTCGCAAGATATCACGACGCGGGCACGGTCAGCTTCCTCTGCATTCACTGTCAAGGGCGAAGTCAAGCCCTCTACCGACCTCCTGGTTGCCGAGTTCGTCATCGAGTCCAAGCTCTACTCCAGCGGGTATGCTCTGGACGTGCGCTCAAGTAGACGGGCGGAATCTTTGGCTATCGTTCCGGGCGAATCTGTTGCGTTGGACAAGTTCAAGGACACCAGCAGCCTACCGACAACCGATCTGCCATTCCACTATTCCGTCAATACCATGCCTTCGTCTCCCTTACACTCGTCGGGCCTCAAGACGGACGCCCCATCGCGGCATCTTGTGCGGATAACGCTACCAACTGCGCAATATCAGGTGTCGACCATTGAGGATCCGTTGACCGGCGAGACTCGAAGTGCGCCACCGACGCCGTTGTGGCTTCTTGACTTGGAGGATGGAGGCTACGTCGTCAACGTTGTGGTTCGGCCGACTGGTGGCGGGGAGACGAAGGCAACACATACCGTCTCCATCAATGGGAAGGAGGTACAGATTGTCGGCGAAAAGGAGTCCTTGACTGCTCTGGGGCGAGACGAGTTACTCGACGACCGGGTTCTGAAGATGCCAGTGCTGACGAGGCAAGCCTCATCCGTCTGAAAGATGCTCGGTGAATTGACCGCTTTCGCAGACATAGCAACGAGGCCCATTCCTTCCCGGATGAGCTTACCGTCCCTTCGGCCATAGCGGATGATCTCTTGGACCCCAACGTGCCCATTCCGAGTACACCTGTCGAAGCAGAACCCTCAGACGAGGCTACGGAGACTATGTCTACCATTGGAGAAGAGGAACGAGCATCTACGCCGGTATGTGGTATTCATTTTCTGGGGTGTGCGCCGTTTTTTACGTGGTCCCAGCAACCCGAACTTGCCAATCCTTCTCCCGAGCCTGCGAATGGCAACGGATTACTGGGCCTCCTGCAGTCCTATCAGAAGTCCATGTCGCGCTTCAATCTGAACTTCACCTCGACTGGATCCTCACCCAAAGAAACTCCATCCACGCCAAAGACCCTGAGCCGGACGCCTCACAGCAGCTCCTCTTCGCTCGCCACCATTGCGCGCCACAAGCCGTCTATCGACAAGCGCGGCTCTGGGCAGCGCATCGCGCAGGTCCAGCCGGCTCCTCGCATGCACCCCACCTCCACTCTTATCATCGTCGCATTGATGGCCTTCCTTCTCGGTTCTCTCCTTCGTTCTTTACTGTCTCCGGCGGACTTCATCTACGTTGCGACGGACATGAACGACACGCCGAGTAATGTACAGGAGTACAGCGGATGGAGGGAGATCAAGCGGCTACTGGAGATCAAGTATCTCGTCGGTGGATACGACTTTCAGGTCGCGCTCGTCCGGCGCCATGCAACTTGACTGTTCTCATGCGACTTGCCCCTCCCTGAGCGGCCTTACCCCCGCCTTGCGACCTGACCGTCCCATATACTCATCTCATCTACCAAATCTTGAGTTGATATACCTTCATGGATTCCCCACAGCTTTCGCGCATCACTGTATCATACCATTGTACTTGTCCCATCGTACATCATCTACACCGATATAATACTAATAGCACGCATGTAGTTGCTTACTGTTGTCGATAGCTTGCTGTGTACCACTGACTCTCTTCATAATCTTTGCATGACTCGTATGCTTCTTCTCTGAATCTGTCGAACTGCGTTCTCGACGTCAACGCGTTCTCCGATACAGTTGCGAACACAGACGCTGGTCTTCAGGCCATTTGTGGCACGCTTCCGGGGTTGTTGCTTGCTCGCAGTCAACGGGCATAAAATCTACATCGCAAAGCCCTAACTATTGTACCCAACATAGCCTGTCGAGCAATATCACCATGCTCCCCAAAGTTCATCAACGAGTGTATAGAAAGGCAACGCATCACTACCATATAGATCGCAACTCGCTACCGAACGTATAGAAGGGTAAATCGCTACATCGATGGCAGGCACTGGGCAGTGAACTGTAACAAACAAACGATACAGAAGGGTAGTTATTCGAGGTCAAAGGGACATCGTCTGGGAGGTTTTCGTAGGGTAGGTGGGCAGGCTAGTGCCCGTGAACAAGCAGACTGGTCCGAGAGGACGAGAGGAGGTGGAGGATAAGATGAGGTAGTGGAGGAAAGGAGAGGGTGGGACGAGAGAATGTCTAGGTGGGCGTCTGCTAGAGACGCCGATAGAGCAGGGTAAGGATAAGGCAGGGATTTCAGGCAGAAGCAATGTTAGATCGTCTTCCGTTAGCAACCCCCGCAGCCAGCTAGCATACGCGCGCAGGCAGATCGGAAAGCAAGAAACACGTTCGTCGGTGCAAAGAGAGGACGCACGCACGCCAGCATGATATACGTGCCCCGACGAGTAGACGTTCGCGCTGCCCAGTATTCGATTGCGAGCGAGCAGGCTAAGATGTCGTCGAGAATACGCATATCGCCAGCGGATACGTGCTTCGACGAGATCACTGAGCGCTCCGACGAGGTCACTCAGCGATGTGTGTTCTTCCATCCTTTACATGCCGCCGTACGCGTCGTCCGGATCGTAGACGGTGTCCGGGCGCTTGCCCTGCGGGACGGCCTTCTCGCTAGCAGCTGGGGCCTGGGCAGGAGCTGGAGCGGGCGCGGGCGCAGGGGCAGCAGCAGGCGCAGGCGCAGGGGCGACAACAGGGGCCGCCGCGGCAGCGGGAGAGGGTCCGTTAATCCCAGGGACCACGAAGGACTCAGTCGGAGCCGGAGACTGCAGCCTCGGCGCGATATCGCCCACAGGAGCGGGCGTCGGCAGGCGCGAATCGACCGGGCCCGGCGTCGGGAGACGCGCATCCGCCGCGAGCGCCGCCGGCGCGCCCAAGTACTGCTCGTGGCCCTGCATCGGCATGTCAACCTCGCCGCTGTGGTGCTTTACATCCCCGCTCGCGCGCTCCATGTCGATGTAGCTCGCGCCCTGCTGCCCCGCGGCCGCGGTAGGCTGCGTCGCGTACTCGGTCACATCGACCTGGTAGTCGACCGGGTGCTGGTAGCTGTCGTGCGCGTACTGCGCCGGTTGCGCGCCGTACTCGCTGCCGGGGTACTGCTGGTAGCTGTCGTGCTGAGCCGCATTGTTGTCGCCGTACTGCGAGTAGTCGCCGTGCCCGGTGAAGGTTGCGCCGGGGCTGAAGGGGGACGCGGTCGCCGCCTGGTTGTAGTACCCGTACCCGTCGTACCCGGCACCCGCGCCGACACCGACGCCGGCAAATGCGGCACGGCGCTCGATCATAGACGGCGGGCGCGGCGTTTGGGCCATTTCGTCCTCGAGTAGGACACCAGAGCGGCGGAACGCGCCGGCGCTGAATGGCTGGCCGGTGACGGGGTCCGTGTCGAGCGCGGCTTCCTTGCGCCTGCGAATGCGTTTCTGTTCCAATATTTAGCAGTGGATCACAAGAGAAGAGAGGGGGGCTTACCATGACGAAGGCAATAATGAAGGAAAGGACGGCAATACCAAGAAGCGCACCGGCAATACCTCCGACGATGGGACCGGCATCGACGCCGCTGTCATCGTCGGCCGTGCTGCTGGCGCTCGCGGCGGAACTGCTCCCGCTGGCGGCGAGACTAGCAGTCGCGCCGACGGTGGTAGTAACGTGGCCCTGGGAGGTAGTGAGGCCCACGGTAGAGGTAACCGCACCACGGTCGGTCGTGGTAGCTGCCTGGGGGCTCGTAGATGAGGTCGTCGGCTTGCTGGTAGACGTGCTCGTCGCGCTGGTCGTCGTGGGAGTCTACCAAGAATCAGCATGTGCGCGGGGGAAGTAGATGGCCTAGGCGCACGGAGCTCGTAGTAGTAGCCGCGGTCTTGGACGTGGTCTGCTGCTGCTGGGAAGTCGTCGTTTGCTGCTGCGTGGTCTGCTGCTGGGTCGTAGTCTGCTGTTGCTGGGTAGTGGTCGTCTGCTGTTGGCGAGTAGTCTCCTGCTGCTGGGTGGTCTGCTGGGTCGTCGTCGCTACCGCTGGCGTCAGCACGTCGCGTATCGTCCCATTTCACCACAGCGCACCAGCAGCGGTTGTCGCCCCCGTCGTTGCAGCGGTTGTCGCTGCATGAGTGGCTTCAGTGGTATCGGCGCCGCCCCCGAAGAGGCCGCCGCCCATAGCCTGTCTCTTCCGCAGCAAGCGCGCGTGAGTGTCGCGCTGTCCCATGGCCATTGTCGCGTTGGTCGTTCCGAGTAAAAGAGCGTAGAATATCAGAGGGTATAGGCGAGTCAAAGAGTGTATGTTCCCCGCGACGAGGGAAACAGAGCGACCTTCTGAACGGCGAGGGGATGGTGGGGGAAGAGAAGATGAATGCCAGTTGACGTGGGAAACAGGAGCTCGGATTTCTGATCCCAAAGTCCAAAAACAGATCAAGCTGCTACAACATCGCCAAGGGGACCAAGGTACAAGTCGACGCTGGCAAGAAAGCTCTTGACCTTTGAAGTCTAGCCTCAAACGGCGGATCGGACCCTCTGTGACCACCTTCAAGTTCCTCTCTGTTCTGGAGATGTGTGCGTCCTTCTACCAACTAAGGTAGGTACTGAACCTGAACTAGAGCGCTCACACACCGTGTCTCGCGCAAGTTTCAAGAGAGGCCTTGAGCCGCTCTACTACTCTACCACTTCTTGCCTGAACACTAACCATCCTGTATCCCCCCTTCGTGCTCCCTTGAGCAGTTGGGCTCTGACCGTGGTATATATATAGCAAGCGTGAATAACCTTCAATCAAGTGCAGATAGATCCCGAGTGAGAAGTTCGTAAAAGCGCTCTCCGATTTTCTTGAATTCATTCGTCCTGTGCTCGCGCCCTGCACGACCACACGTCGTGAAGGAAGTTGAACATGTTACGCGTGACTTCGGAAGTTGCCGGTACCTCGTGACCACCAAATGACCTCGTCTTTCGCCATCGACAGACGAGATGAGGTGAGCGTCTCCATCACTTTCATGCCTAAAGATGCAGGTTTGCTTGCCAGAGTAATGAACATGATCCAACTTTCAGCCAATGAAGTGTGCAGGATATCCATCCGGGAAATGCCGTCGCGGCGTATTGTGTCCGCTTACGGAAGTCTTTGTATTCGGCGATCAATGCCTATCATCCCCCGCTCTATACCCCGCGGCCAACCACTGTATATCGTACATTCGAGAATGACTCGCAACCAATAGCACACCTTGCTTACTACCATCATGGCCACCGCAGTCCTCCTCTCTCCCTTGACGCCTCCCTCCTACCACCAGATCAAGTCCCCCACCCTTCGCATTCCAGAAGACCCGGCTGTGTCGATTCCGGTGGGCATCCTCGCTTGTCAGCGCGATCCCTTGCTCCGATCTTTGGATACTGTGGTTGTGAGCGCGCATGAGAAGCAGACTCCCCCGCCTCCTGCAGGGAAGAAGGCGAAGAAGGCCGTACTGGCACCCGAGCTGCCCACGGGACCGATCCTTGGTGTACTACTGCACGACACGGTCATCTTCCCCGAGGGAGGCGGGCAGCCGACGGATACTGGATCGATCAGGGTTGGGGACAAAGACTGGGAAGTGGTACAGTGCAAGCGAGATGGTGGGCACGCGATACACTATGTACGCGTCCCAGAAGGCACTTCCGTAGACGACGCGCTAGCGACGTTCGCGCCTGGCACACCTGTGAAGGTCTCCTTTGACTGGGAGCGCAGATACGACCACGTAGGTGATCATCCTTCATGCAAGGATCCCAACTCACCCCCTCCCAGATGACCCTCCACACCTCCCAGCACCTCCTCTCCGCCCTCCTCGAGACGCGCCTGCAGCTCCCCACCCTCTCCTGGTCCCTCACGAGCTATCCCCAGCCATGCTACGTCGAAGTCCCGCGCAGCATGACGCAGGAGGAGATTGCGTCGATCCAGAACGAGGCGAACCGCCTGGTGTTCGAGGGCCGGCAGGTGCACGTCGAGGTGCAGGAGATGGAGAGCAAAATGGAGGGCGACGGCAGCCGCGCCTTTGGCCGCGGGCTCCCGAGCGACTATACCGGCGGCGTGCACCGCGTCATCGTCATCGACGGCGTCGATCGCAATCCGTGAGTCTCCTCCCCCTCACTCACCTCTGCTCTCCTCCACTCCTCCAACCCGAGTTACCCTCGCTCACCCGACACCTCACACAGCTGCTGCGGCACCCACCTCCCCTCCCTGCACAACCTCCAGCTCTTCCTCCTCCCACACACCGACGCGCTCTCCCGCTCCACCACCCGCCTCTACTTCCTCGCCGGCCCACGCCTCATCGCCCACCTCGCCGCCGCGCACGCCCAGCTGACCGCCGCCGCTTCCACCCTCACCTGCGGCCTCCCCGAGGTCCCCGCGCGCGTCGCCCTGGTCGTCGAGGACCGCAAGCGCGCCGACAAGCGCGTCACCGACGTCGAGGGCGAGCTCGCCTCCCACATCGCCAACGAGCTGCTCGGCGAACTCGCCCAACTCCCTGACGGCGCCCTCATGAAGAAACACCTCCACCGCACAGACGACACGCCGGGCGCGCTCGCCTTCCTCACCTCCATCGCTGCCGCCTTCGAACGGGACGAGCGGTCGAAGGGGCGGCCCTACCTCATCGTGCTGTCCTCCACCCCTTCGGCGCAGACCTCGAGCAGCGTGAGCGTCGTGTCCGTGTTCGGGTCGCACGAGAAGCAGGTGCAGGGCGTGGGCGCGGTGCTGAAGGCGAAGATGGGCGTGAAGGGCGGCGGGCGGGGGCCGAAGTGGACGGGGAAGTTCACGGGGGTGTGGAAGGCGGGGAGGGAGGATGCGGTGGTGGAGGAGGCGTTGGCTGGCGTGTGAGTGGTGTTGTATCGATACGAAGGTGCTGGTGTAATTTTTGTGGAATTGGAAGTCAATTGACCTCGAAGCTTGAGGCGCTCATTTTGCGTCCGGACGACATAGTGTCCTGTAGTCGTTGAAAGGAGGGCGCTAGGTGAGGTCCTCAAGGCAGTGACAGAGTAATGCCGACAGTGACAACCTCATTCATGCGACGTGCTGAGTCGAACAATGCACCTCGTGCGCCCGGGGACGGACAACAAGACGAGGACAACGAGGACGCTATAGTGCACACGATGCAAACTCATTTTCTCGGCACCGGCAAGTCATTCTTCTCGAGACCCACACATTCTTCGGAGACCCACGTACTTCTCTTGGGACGCCGACCCTTCTGCTAAAGACACAGCAAATGACGGCACCGGCGAACGGTCGCCACCGACCATCTCAGGCCGTATCAATATCACTCTTACGTGCGAGCTCATCTTAGCCAACACTTCGTCCCTGTCACCCAACACTTCCTGCTCTTCACCCATCACCTCGAGCGGTATCACTCTTCCGTGCAGGCTTGTAGCTATCATTCTTACGTGCGTGCTCGTTTTTCATCCGTGTGTGCGGGCTCATATCACTCTGCCATCACCCTTGTACGTGCAGGCTCGTACATTAGTCGTATCACCCACCCTCAGATCACTCTTACGTGCACCTCATATCCCACAGGAACCCTATCTCGTCGCAACGCGAGATGAACACAGCTTTCCCTCACGTAAATCCCTCTACCAATCCGCTCATCTCGCGACACGCATTTTTTGGTAAATCGCACCGCCGTCAACGTTGCCACCACGCGTGGTTGGTACTGCTGACCATCCCCTTCAGGCTTTTCCCCTTATACACGGTACCCACCCTCGCACCCTCGCCGCATCCGAACCCTGCGCTAACTACACGCTATCGACCACGCTGCGTTCGCGCGCCTCGACGTTCCCATGCGCACCCTTGACCGGCGGCATCTTAAGCGTCCGCGAGGGCATCCAAGCCGTCCTCGAGGCTGCCGCACCCACTCGTATCAATCCAAACGGACTCAAGTGTACGCGACGTGGACACGAATTCAATTTAATCATCGTATGTCCCAGCTCGCTGCTGTGGTCGAAAATTTTGCTCATACAAGCAGGATTTGTGGCTGTACGACATATGAATTCGTAGCCGGCTGTGCGTCCTTGTAAATCTTCGAGGGATAGTCCCGACCGCTCCACGTCCTCGTTGCCCCCTGGCGTTCTTTTTGTAGAACGGCGCGCTTGGAAGATGGGATTTGGACACCAAAACAGAGTGAGTCGGGCTTGCATGCGAGGGTACCCCCACTGGATGATTTTGACCAGAAATTTCTGCGATCTTCCTTCGGATTTCGATGAAAGTATCCCGGTGCGTCCGGCCAGTCTGTAACGCTTTGGCATTGTGCGCGTCATGAGGCCTGAATGTCAAGTCATGCCTCCGTGAAGTCGAACATTGCGCCAATGGCGCCGTCTAGCGTTTGGCACGGTATGTTCGAGAAACGATGCGTGTCCTGTACGCCAAGTTGGCTATCTCAATGACGCGCACGACGGTGAGGGCAGCATACCCTGCCACACCTTCATGCACAGATACGTCCTCCTCTTCGTCCCATCCTGCCACAATCCCACCTTCACCTCTTTCGCGTTCACCCTCTCACCCGCTGCTATGGCTCCTTCCTCTTCAGACGACGCGCTACAGCCACCGCCAAGCATCCGCCACTCCGAGTCCCGCTCCGTCCACTGTCAGCCCGCTACGTCCGTTCAATTGGCACGCAGGTCAGGCGACCTCGTTCGACGATCCGGGTCACCCGACCGCGTTCGACGATCCTTCCCGCCGCTACCTCCGCGCCAGATCTCGGAACCAATGCCCAGCCCAGATCTGCGCGCGATGCGTACCGCTACGTCCGTTGAATGGCGCGGGACCGATGTCGAGGGGGAGGTGGCACGGGACCGACGTCGACGCCACCGACGTAGATGGGCATCGGGTGACCTGGCGGCGCCGTGGAACGAGGCGCGAGTCACGATGGCGCGTCTCGAAATTTCGCCGGCGTTCTGGTGCTCGTCGAGTGATTGTACCCTACGTCAACTACTCGTCCTCCCCCCCCCCGCGCCTCTCAGCCACCCACGTCGACGGCCCCCTCAACGCCCCTTGCGCCCAAGACCCGACCTGACTCAAGGGAGCGAGGACGCCCCCTCAATAGCACGAGGCCAGATCCGGTGACTCACTCGGCGCGGATCTCTTGAGCAAAATGAACTTTACGCCAACGCGCGCCCTGGGCCTGACGATCCCGAAGCTCTGCCTGATGCTTCCTCGCTGCCCTCGCCTCGTCCGAGTCGTCGCCTTGCTTCTTAGCCCTTGCCTCGCCGCCTTGCTTCCTCGCCGCCATGCTTGTTGTGAGCTTCCTCGTCTCACCGCCATCAACTGCCTCACCGTCACCGGCCCCCGCGACGCCCGCATAGTGATTTCTCGGGGACCCAAACGATGCGCAGCACTCGAGATCTTGCGACTCGTCCATCGTGAAGGTAAATCGTGATTTTATAAAGGACGACGTACGTGTAAAGGGTGATGATAGGCAGGCAATGGAACATGCATTGCGGGGGGACTGGGGTAGGCGCGCATGGGCAGTCCGTTTGCCACCGGAGCGCGTCTTCATGTTTGTTTGGAGGGGTATGTAGCACGCGATCGTGGGATAGTGAGGTTCGACTTCATTAGTTCTGAACTTGTCCTTTTTTGTTTTCTGAGTGGATATATGCGCTGTTCTCCCTTTCTCTATAAGACCGTAGACTCGAAGTTCTCCCTCTATGCACGCAGCGATTCTTCCGACGGTGATACCTACTCGACTACTTCGTATCGTAGATGACCCAGTCTTCGAGTCCTTTGCTCAAAGCACACAGACACAGACTGAGACAAAGATAGAGGAATTAACAATAGTGTCAATTGCCTTGCGAAAGCTATGTCGCGGGTATGTGGTACATGCTCTACAATCTATACAGTACAGCGGTTTTGTTAGGTTGAAGGGGAGAATATCCCCGATTAGTGCATTACTCTTCCAAACTCTCCTTCGGCGCTCTATGCATACGCGACGACGAAGGAGTCTACGACAGATGAAGCAGATATAGATGGCGGGCGTCTATCGCCACCGAGATGGGGTGCAGCGCGAGCGGGAGAATTGCACTGCGCCAGCGCGACGAAGCACAGCGCGAGCGAACGTGCGAGAGACACACCGCCCGCTCAGAACGCACGCTGGGCCTTCGCGCCGGGCAGGGCACCGTAGTCGTCGGCCTTCGTCTCGCCGCGCTCGGCGTCGACCTTCGCGCGCCACGCGAGGCTCTCGGCGCTTCCTGCGCGGGAGAGCGCGGGCGTATGCAGCGGGGTGTCCGCGGGCGTCGGCACGGCGGAGTCGGGGTACGACCGGCCGGCGGGCTGCCGGATGAAGAGGGAGACGGTGCCGTCCGCGTTGCGCTGGGCGGTGACACTGAAGACAAAGTTAGACATACAAAGTCCATGAAAGGTGGGAAAGGCACCGAGACGCACTGTGAGAGATCGTCGACGAGGAAGTCGGGGTTCTCCTTCTCGAGCGCCTTGCGCGTGTGGGAGGTGCAGGTGGCGAGGACGAGGCAGCCGGCGGCCTTGCCGGCGCGGATGCCCGTCGGCGCATCCTCGAAGACGACACCTGGGACGCGGTCAGATAAGCTGCGAAGAGACGAAGCCGCAGGCACCGCGCTACTCACAGTCCTTCGGGTCAACGCCGGAGAGCTTCGCGCCGAGGAGGTAGGGGTCCGGCGCGGGCTTCCCGTTCGACACGGACTCGGCGGTGACGAAGTTCTTCGGGATGAAGAGGCCCGCGGCGGGGAGCGCGCGCGAGGCGTAGAAGTGCGTCGAGGAGGTGCAGACGGACCAGCCCTGCTCGTCCTCGGTGCGGCCGCCCTGGATCTGCAGGAGCAGGTCCTTGACGCCGGGGAGCGCGATGATCCCGCCGCCCTCGGCCTTGCTCGCGTTCTCGAGGATGGCGTTCTCGAAGCGGACGACCTCCTTCTTGAGCAGCTCCTCGTCCTTGATCTTGCACCACTTGCGGAGGGCGTCGATGGTGCGGTAGCCGTGCGCGGAGGCGAGGATGTCGTCGAGGTCGAGGAAGTCGTAGCCGGTGGCCTTGAGGAGGCGCCAGGCGGCGGTGACGGCGGGCGAGGAGTCGATGAGCGTGCCGTCCATGCTGTGATTGGCGGTCAGCACAAGGCACGCACAGAAGGCGGGCGGTGATTGGACGTCATCGAGAATGAAAGCGGAGGAACGTGACGTCGGGCTGATGTGTGACTGTCGAGAACGCGGACTCACTCGAAAAGACACGCCTTTGTCGTCTGGGTGATCGTCAGAGGGGGCGACGGTGGCTGGCTGATCTCGCCCTCGGGCGTGACGGTGGGCTGCTCCTTGCCGGTGAGAGAGAAGACCTTGTCCATGGTGGCGAGTGCGATAAGAGTGGGTGGTAGAAGTTGTTCGAAAAGGGGACGCCTGGACTGCGAAGAAGCGTGGACGAGAGGATGATGTGAAAAGGACAAGGCAGGCGGCGGCTTATATACACGCGCACTGGTTCCAAGCAATTTCGCGCTCACGTAAGCGACCGAGGAACGCGAATGATGCAACTGGATGGATGGAATCCCTTTTGCGTCCGGCTCGCCGACTGTGGCTCCACGCCCGCGGCCGTTGTCGCGGCATCGCGCGCGCCCACGCGCGAGTTCTCTTCTGCCGAGGGCTCAGACAAAGGCAGCCCAGGCGCGGGATGATCGAGGGGGAGAAAAAAAGATAGGGGGCGCGCCGGGGGGCCCGCCATTGACATTTCTGGTAGGAGGCGGGCAACGAACGCGGCTGGGGCGCGAATGGGGGAGCTGGATGGCGGCGATAGCGATGGGGCGACGAATTATTGTGGAGCTGAGCGTGTGTAATTTGGATATGAGGGTGTGGCAACGACAGGAACGCGGACGCGAAGAAAGAAACGTGCGGATGGGAGAGGGACAGGGAAGACCGCACACGTAAGGCGCACACCGTTCGCGAGCGAGAGAGCACCGAATGGGGCGACCCTTCGCCGTAATCACATTCCCGCATACTGCTTGCTGGAGCACATAGGCGTGGAGAATTACCCGGGGATTATGCCACTAGCGCGCCGCCCTGGGGCCACTCCTCCTTCTCATTCAGTCGCGCAGGAAGTAGGGCGCTCGCGAGTGTTCGCGATAGATGAATGAATGATTCACGAATATTCCTGCCTTTGTGTAATGATGACAGCTGTGGCTGCGTTGTCTGAGTCGTGGCCCCTCTCGGAGCCTAGGCAACGGGAACGGGACCGTATTGCTCGTCGTCGCAGCCGCCTCCCGACGCCCGACAGTGAGGCGGGAGCAGGCGAGAGCCTGGGCACTCGGAGTCCGCGCGGTCGGGACGGCTGATGGGCGGCTCGCTCTATATCCGCACGCGAGGGTGTCCGAATGGGGATGTGTCGTGGATCGGGCATGATGTAATCGATCTTGAGATTTGTAGTGGCTCGCCGAATTCTGTTTTTCTGGCGGGTGTGCGTTCATTTTTTGCTCCACAAGTCTGCACATGTTTGTCCCGGCCGGCCGTTGCCTGGTTTGCATTTATATACCCGACCCACGCGAACCACTCTCCTCACTTCCCCCCATCACGACATAGACCTATCACAACCACTCTAGGCGATCACCACAATCATGTCTTCCGTCGACCAGGTCTCCGACAAGATGCAGAACGCGCACATCTCCCGTCGCTCCTCCGACAGCAGCGACACCGCCCCGCCCATGTCGCCCTTCTCCTCCGCGAACGGCTCCTACGCCACCACCCCCGACAACTCGCGCCCACCCTCGCCTCTCCTCCGCCCCCTACCTCCTCACAAGCCGCTGAAGGCGCATGGGCTGCCCACCAAGCCCACCACCAACTTGCTCGGTGGCGCGAGCATGAGCTTCACCGCGATCGCCAACTCCGCTGCGAAGAAGCAGAAGGAGCGTACCAAGTCCTCCGGCTCTGCCTCCCAGCCCTCATCTCCTCCCTCTCCCGAGTCGGGCGCGCAACGGAGCACGTCTCCCGAGCAGCAGCAGGCTTCGGACGACGAGAGCGCAGACGACCACGGCGCGTCCAGCACCGCGGAGGCGCGCCCGCCGCCTGCGCGCCGCACTTCGTCGGCCGCGATGGCGCCTTTCATTACCAAGTTCGAGCCCTTCGAGCCGACCGAGTTCGTCGTCGACAAGGAGGCTGGTACCCGATCGCCCGCAAAGCTCGAGAAGGTCGCGATCGTCGGCAGCGGCAGCTGGGGCACTGCCCTCGCCCGCGTCGCCGCGATCAACGCTGCCAACCTCGAGGGCTTCGATGACGAGGTCCGCATGTGGGTTCGCGAGCGCGAGGTATGTTATCATTTGTCCTGCTTCTTTGACGCATCGTGCTGACGCGTGGATAGGTGCCTGGCAAGGGCAAACTCACCGACATCATCAACTCGACGCACCAGAACGAGCGATATCTGCCTAACGTCGAGCTGCCCGAGAACCTCGTCGCGGTCTCCGATCTCAAGGAGGTCGTGAAGGGCGCTACCCTTCTCCTTTTCGTCGTTCCCCACCAGTTTCTTCCGAATGTCCTGAAGACGCTCAAGGAGCCCGGCGTCATCGACCCGCGAGCCCGCGCGATCTCCGCCATCAAGGGCGTCGATGTCGAGTTGCGCGAGGACGGTGCGGACATCTACACCTACCCCTTCGTCATCGAGAAGGAGTTGCACATCCCGTGCTCTGCTCTCGGTGGTGCCAACATCGCTCTCGACGTCGGCAAGGGCGAGTTCTGCGAGACGACCATCGGCGTACCATCGCCGAAGGACGCCGCGCTCTGGCACGCAGTCTTCGACGGCCCCGCGTTCCGTGTACACCCCATCGAGGACGTCGCCGGTGTCTCCCTCTCTGGCGCGCTCAAGAACGTCGTCGCGATGGCTGCCGGCTTCGTCGACGGCATGGGCCTCGGCGGCAACACCAAGGCCGCCATCCTCCGCCACGGCCTCATCGAGATGTCGAACTTCACGCTCGAGTTCTTCCCCTCCGCGTCCCCGCTCACCTTCTCGCACCACTCCGCGGGCATGGCGGACCTCATCACGACCTCGTTCGGCGGGCGCAACCGCAAGTGCGCAGAGGCGTTCGTGCGCGCGAAGATGGAGGGCAAGCCGAAGACGTTCCAGCAGCTGGAGGAGGAGCTGCTGAACGGGCAGAAGCTGCAGGGCGTCGAGACCGCGCGCGAGGTGTTCGAGTTCCTGCAGGCGCGCAAGCGCCTCGACGGGTACCCGCTCTTCGAGAAGGTGTACCGCATCAGCTTCGAGGGCATGGACCCGAAGCGGATGTTCGAGGACCTGTGAGCGCGCGCGTCCCCCGCAGCCCTCAAACCGCAGACGCACGCACCACGCCGGCCCCGCTTCTCTTCTCCAGTAGAGCGCACCCCGTCCGTCCTCTCGCATTCTCTTGCATCTCTCCGCGTCTTGCATCCATCATCGTCGTCCGTCATCCACACACCCATCGCGCGCGCCCGCCGCGGCGCCTGTATCATCAGTGTAGCATTATACCACCTCACGCTCCTCCTCGCAAGTCGAAGCTTTACCCTTCCTGCCTATTTATTTACTGTTAATCTTTTCCCTCCATCCTCCATTGCAACAAGCATTCACATGCATCGTCGTCTAACCCTTTCTTACCTTCTGTTCACGTCGTGCAACTATCTGACTGCTCCATTTTCACTGTATAATGCGTTACGACGCGGCTAGATGAGTATCTAGAATACTTAGAAAGAACTACGAAGCAGAATGAACCACGAAGTTTGAATGAACTCCAGTGTGATTGGCCTTACTCTCCATTCGCTTTGCATTGCCTTCCAGTCAAAAGCAGAACCCGAAGCTGACTTGTCCTTTCGCCCATGGCGAGGACTCGTACAAATATCGGCAACTACGTAGTTGGCACTTCGACAAATCCTTCAAAACACAGTGCGTTGGTAGCAACCAGCATACCGACCAATGACACTGCGAAGGCACCAGGGCGCATGCGGTGCTCTGACTCTGCGCTCAACATGCATGCCCGAAGCAGCGGAAGCTGAGCCCGACCAATGATGACGTCGTTTCCTTTTTGGGACGTCAAAGCAAGTCTTTTGTTCTTATCGCCGAAGCGCCCGCCGCGTCACTGGTACTGTGCTCTGATAGCTAGACTACGACATAGCGCCTAAGTTCGCGCGTATCGCGCGCTCCGCAGACGCCGGACTTTAAACCGCTCACTCGGACGCTCATAGAGGTTCATTCAGGCGCCCAAGAAGCTCACCGGGCGATAGGGGAGGTAGCTACAGACGTCCTTCTAGATACCCGGCATCGATGCGCCGTGCGGCGAGGACGGACAGGGGGACGGAGAACACGGCGAGGGGGGTGGAGAACATGGCGAGGGTGATAAAGAAGACAATCGGGTGGTGGAGAAGATGGCGAGGGGTGGAGAACACGGCAAGGGTGGCGCGCCGGGCGACAGAATGGGATGGGAGAGGAGCGGGCTGCGATGATGGATCGCCGAAGGGGTGGCTAACACCAATGAGATGCCGATGCCAGCACCCGGGTGTGGTGATTGGGGACCGTGGAGGTTGTCGTAAGACGGAAGGGATTAATTCTATCTATCGATGGCGTGTACGGTACGGTTGGAGGGTGAGGGAGGACTAGCTTAGACTGCGAAGGGCAAACGAGGGGGTGCGGCGCCCGCGTGGGAGGTGCGGTCGTGGCGCGGTGGCGCGCGCGCGAAGGCATCGTGGCGGGTGCGCTAAGCTCGGTGCAGGGTTCGCGTGCGGGCAGGGTGCGATTGCGGTCGCGCATTACAAAATGGCGAGGACGAATGCGTCGATGTCAGAGATCATGAAGCGGCTAAAATGGCGGGCGGACATGAAGCCTTCGTGAGAGCTGCGTGTGAGAGGAACAGGAGGAGCTGTGTTCCATTTTCGCGAGGAAGTTGCAAGGCGTGGTCTAGGCGGATCGTATTTAGTGTCCACGTCAGATGGTTGGATGGGAGAAGTGCGACGAAGTGACGGAATGAAGGGAGGCCGTCTGGGGACATTGCCTGTCGACATGATTGGTTCGCTCGCCAGAAGTGTGTTGAGACAGATTGACACGGGTAAGAGGGTGCGATAGGGTAGCTGTAGACACTGTTACGCAAGAATAAACGGGGATTCCTCGATGATAGGGCGCTCACCTCACTTTGCACCACGAACTCCATTAGCGGCGGTCCAACAGCAATACAGTCGTATAAGCGAGGTGCGATGCACGATACGCACCCTTCGATGGGGCCAGTCGACCCAAGGATAAGTGATACCGGACCGATATCTGGAAGTTGTATTCCACCTCGAAAACAGAAGATGATGATTCACAAGCCCATTGTACGTCTTACGGCCTCTTCACGATATCACCTGTGCCAATGTGCAGTGTAAGATCACCGTTGCTGCGCATCGTTCAAACCCTCCGTAAAGTCACTCTGCGGGCGCCGTGGATGCCCTGGATTCAATGCTGAGAAGCATGAAACGCCGAGGGCTTCGAGATCTTCAGGGGAGGCGCAGCGTCGAAGATGAGATTCGCCGGCCATAAAAGTTGCCTCGTGCTATGACCGTGACCAGGCCATCAAAGGCAGCCGCCTCGTGCTATCGCCAGGGCGGCTTGTTGATGTCAATGCTTGCCAACACTTTAATTGAGAGATCTACCGCGAGAGTTGCCTGCCAGCCGACGCGAATGAACGTGTCGCAGCCGCGCCAGCGAAGCGTCGCGCGAAGGCGGCGGTCCCGCCAATACAACGGACGTACCGGCGCATCGTACGGTGGATCTCGGACGCTGATGCTAGCCAGATTCAACGGACGTAGCGGTCGTCGGGAGCGTCGAGGCGGGCCTTGGCGAGCTGGCAAGCGGGTCGGGTGACATGCTTGCGGCGGCGGGTGATAGGCTGGCGGCGGCGGGTGATAGGCTGGCGGCGGCGCGGCGCCTGTTGAGCGGCTAAATCGGGAAGGCGTATTCACTCCCAACCGGCGGTGACCTTGATGTCCAGGGCGCAGCCTAAGTCGTCTGAACCGCGGCTTCTGCACTTCGAAAGGGATGACCCCTGGCGGGCGGGAAAAGGCGAGGATGACGCACGAGTGCTGGAATTGAGCTCATATGTCGGGAGAATATCACAGGTAAGGAGCGTACAGGTGAGGGGTGCCAGAATCGCGAACGTCGGGCTGAGTGGCGGGAGAAACTTGAATCAGCACGACCGCACCGCTCTACCGCTTCAGTGGAGGGATCTTCCGGACGAACTTGGGTTGCAATATGCAGTGGCTGCTTTGTCCGCGCCCTTCGCGCACAAAATTCCCTTGTTCCTGGCCGCACTGGGGCCACTTGAGAGTCGGAGGACGATGTCGTCCGCTACCGTCGGAGGCTACGAGATTGACAGCACACGATAGGCGCTCAGAAGAACATCTAATGCATGGTCTATCGCCGGCTTGAACGCAGGAAGGCGCGTATGAGATTTTCTTTGATCCTGGCGAAACAGGGTACCCTTAGCTTGTACTGCTCGAAAAACTCCGTTAGCCTCAGATCAATGGGCGACGAGTTACCGACTTCAACCCGGGCAGTGCGCTTGCTTTGTGCAACAGAGGTAGAAGCGATGACGAAGGCAAGATAGAGGGAGAACCCGGGTATTTCTGCCGAGCATGCAATGTTCTAGTCGCAGTCCGGCATAGAGGGCATTCAGGATACCAAGCATAGATGGGATCGCACATGCAGACGAAGAGCGTCTGAAGACCATGATGTGTTGTCCTGCTACTCTGCATCCGACTCCGTCGAATCATATGAGGGGACTGCAGGAAAAAAGGATGATAACCTTCGTTTGCGCCGACAAGGCACAACCTGGTTTTAGCTACCCTCGTAACAAGGAATTTCTTGCGTAGATTGGGTGGACCATATCGACTGCGCGATTGCGTAGGATTTTGTGCATATCTCAGATCGCGGTGACAAGGTGTCTGCTTTCGGCTGGAAAGGATGCAGTCGAGATGAGCGTGGCTGGAGAGAAGGACAATGGTGGGAAATGACTCGTGACAATCCTCTCACAGTCACGTGAGAGGACGTTCGACTTTCCAGGGAGCATTTATCACTGGCAGCAGCCCTGTAGCAGACCTCGAGCGGCACTGCTTCGCCGAACTGATTGATTCAGAGTGCTTCTGCATTGGCGACACGTAGAAACGCTCTCGTTCGCGACATAAGCGACTGCATAATTACATTGACCACCGCGAGCCACCCAGCGGTGCCAAGTCCGAACAGGAGAACTACATGTATCACATAAAGCGACGCGTACGACCATACACAAAACCGTGTACGATCCTAGGTTAATAATCAACGATAGCGAAGCCGGTAAAAGAATGTGCGGATGAGGGTGCTCGCGAGTATATAGCGGACGGGGGATCGCGCGACGGGCATGCCTAGGTAGGGGCCGCCGGGTAGCGCAGGGGATATCCATGGAGTCCGATGATAGATAGCGAATGCGACGATAATAGGGAATAAGATGCTCGAGATCCAGAGGTATGTGATGCGATGTGTGCCAAGGGGGAGAAGGTAAATGAGGTTGCCAGGATGTATGCTGAGTCCGACTGCGCGCGCGAGTAATGATGCTGCGCCTCCACTAGTACGATGCGCCTATTATTGCGAGTCTTCTGAGGACCGGCCAAATCCGAACTCCTCGAGCGTGGGTAGTCGTGGAAGGTCACTCCGGGGTATTACGGGTGAGTCTTCGTGCAGCGTGGGCAGCATCTGGGGGCGTCGTTGAGGGAGGTCGAGGGATATCCGCGGCAGGTCATCGAGAACGATCGACATCCGCGAGCTATAGTCCTCGTAGCGCATGCGGGGTGGCGTAGGCGCAGCCTCGTACTCCGGCGACGGCGTGTCCTGCGGCGAGCGCGACGGACGCGAGGGCGACTTCGGCTGGGTATCGAGCGTCAACCGCCGCCGGCGCTCACCGACTTTCCAGATCACGTCCTTCAGCTCCTGGACAACCTCACCGCCGGGACCGAACCCGCGCGGGGAAGGCAAGCCCTCCTCCTTGGCTTTTTCCCGGGCAGCGCGAGCGGCCTTGATACGCTCCTCACGCGACAGCTTCGGCCGCTCGCGCAGCCGCGCCATCGTCGCCGCGGAGTCATCCTCGAAGACCTGCTCGGCGCCCGGAGGCGTAAGCCGGGCGTTCGCCATCAGCGTTGCCGCGACGTCGTCCCGGAAGTCGGGCGCGGCGCCAACGTACTCGCCATCGGGCTCGTGGGCGGCGATGCCACCATAGGGGTCTATGTCCTCCTCCGCTGGCTCGGGCTTGTCAGAGTCATCGGAGAGGTCATGAGTAAGGTTGGGCATGTCCTCGCTGTCGTCGCCAACTGCTGGGGGCGGAGGGGGAGGCGACACCGTGTCAAGAAGGCGGTCACGCCCGCGCTCGCACTCGCGAAGCGCGAGGCCAAGCTCTCGGCGCAACCGCTCGTAGGCAGCGAGGGCAGGATGCTCCTTCCGCTCGCCGTCTTCGGAATCTTGCGGTGAAGCCTCACCGGCCTCTTCCTCCTTCAGCGCGGCGACGGTGCGCTCGAGCTCTTCGCGCGCATCGTCCAGCGCCGACGAGATCACATGCACATGCGCCGCAAAGCGCGCAAGCGGCCCCGGCGTAGGTGCAAACCCGCTCATCGCATGCCGCAGCATCGACGACCGCCGGTTCTTGACCTCACCCCCACTGGACCGGGGTGCATCCATATTCCAGCTGACCCGCTTCTTCAAGAACTCCAGGTTGAGGCTCGAGCGGCGGCTACCGGCATCGAAGCTGGAGCCGCCTTCCCAGAGAGTGGGTGTCGGTTGCTCGTCCCTGAGCTTCTGCGTGTCCACCTCCTCGAATGCCTCCGTCAAGCGGGCGGTGGTGTCCGCGAGCGTGCCCGTCAGCAGGCTCATCACTGAGCGCACATCTTCCCAGTACAGCTCATCCTCATCGTCGCCGAAACGCAGCGCCAAAAGATGTGCGCAGGCATATCGCCGTGCCGCAAGGGCGTCGTGAACGGAGTTCGTGAGCGACATGAGAGACAAAGGGTGCGTGGAGCCCAGTGCCGAAGAACTCCTCGACGATGACAGGCCTAGAGTCTGGAGCCCCATACTCCTCCGTTTCCGACGCAAATCAAGAGCCGCGCTGCCGAAGCTGCTGATGGACCCATGTGGGCTATCGTCAGCTCGGTCCGCTTCCTCTTCTTGCACGCCGCCAAGGCTTGGTGTGGTAGGAGTCCTGGGCGTCTTCGGCGTACCAGGAGCACTGCGGGGCTTAACCGGCGAGCCACCACCGTTGACCTGAAGTAGAGACGACAAGTCGGAACGGCGCTTTTGCCGGTGGGTGAGCACTTGCATCGTCGGGCTTCCTGCATTTGCCAGCGCGGCGTACGAGCCATTCCACGTCGAGCGCTTCAAGCTTGTCAGCGAACTCGTGCGTTTGCGCGTCGGCAGGGACAGAGGACGGTCCACATTGGGCAGCTCCGCGTACGGTGGCCTCGAGGGTGAGGATGGCGCATACATCTCTGCAAGTGGCGCGAGTTCCGTAGGTGATGTCAGTGCGACAAACAACTGCCGGACGTTATCGCACTGGGTTTGCGTGCTGTGCATGGAGGAGTTGAGCGCGACGCGGAGGGGTGACGTCGGCGTCGTCGATGGCGATGACGCGCTGGTGACCATCCTCTGCTCGTCGCGCTCGATAGCCTGCAAGGCCTCCGACACCGCGGAATCCCACATATTGCCCGCCGACACCAAGGCGTTCATCGCGTCCAGGGTCTGCTAGGGTCTGAGCGCGCCGATCATCGCTGTCTATAATAATCACACGTACGGCTGTATAATCTGGCCTCCCCGCGTTGTCTTGGTTCCTCGAGAGCGCGGCCGCCGCAGCTGCGCATATGAGAATCACCAGAGCGTATGCGCCAGCGGAGAGAAGGCATGCGAGCAGCGCGATGCCTCCGGGCACCACCCATTCTGGATAATCTGAGGATATGACCGCGGTGAGGGATTGCCGTGGTTCGCGAGAGGCGCCACTCAGGCGTAGCGGCTCATCTTCGAGGTTGCCGGGCGGCGGCGGTGGCGAGCCCGGTAGGCGGGTAGAGGAGGAGGCGACGGATTCGGATAGGAGGGAGGATGATATGACATGGTATTTGAAGCGCTCGACGAAGGGTGAAGGGGAACTTGACGCGTTCAGCTGCTGTGCGAGATTTGACACGACCTGTCAAGCGCGATGTCAGCCCGTGCTCCCAGTCTCCTTGCCAGCTACGCACCTCTATGATCTCGAGCACGTAGGTCTGGAGGGGTGTCAACGCGTCCGCATCCTCGCCCTCAAGGAATTCGCGTTCGTCGTCAAGGAATTCGGCAGAGGCACCTGGCATAAGCTCGGGAGCTTCGCCGACCTCATCTGAGCGTGAAGTCAGTTTAGTGTTACCTACCATGCCGTCCATGCTCACCTCTAAGGTACTGCTCGAGGGGATGTTCATCGTACACAGCTTGTGCCATGTCGAAAGTCGAGGTATTCGCGTCGTTAGAGTGTCGTTACGCAGTAAATTTCGGTGTAAAGAACGCAAGGAAGGGGAAGCGGGCAGAACTATCGCATACGGAGGAGCCTGGAGGAGCGGAGGCAAGGACACACACAGCGCTACTTGGAATCAAGAGCTCAAGAACGGAATTCCCGTTCGCGGATATGTCATGAGACTGCGGTCGGCGGCCCGACGCCGCGCACGTGGAGCGCACGTGTACGTTCAAATTGGCCGCCGAAGGCCGAGGCGTCGCGGCATTCACTCCCACCGAGACTCGTTCAGTGACGGACTCTTATCTGGCGAGCGCGGGTCATGGTCTTCGGACCGTGGCGGATACTAAAATAAACCTATCTCCTGCTCATCTCCTGTTCAAATAGCGATCAAGGACAATGCCGACCCACAAGCGCCGGTGCAGCTGCCTCTCTTGCTCTCTCCTTCGTCGCTAGCACTAGCATGAGTTCAGAAAGCACCATCGAGATTGAGGTCGGTGGACCATGGCTGAAGCTCGATCCTCCTATGGTCCTCGGCGAAGCACCCATCTTCCGGCCTTCGGACAACACCCTTCACTGGAATGACTGCCTTGACAACCCTCCCGAAATCCACATCCTCCAACTCGACCCCAAAACTGGTGATGCTGCAGGAGAAGTACGCACGCTCAAGCTCGCCGACAGCGTCACCGTCCAGCTCTTCCGCCGCGACCACCCGGGATCGTACATCTGCGCGTACTACCAGGGCGTCGCATTCCTTGACGAGGCCACGGGAGAGCTCGAGATCGTGAAGGAGATCATTCCGACGAGCGACCGGGGGATCCGGAGATTCAACGATGGTGGGGTGGACGCTGCAGGACGCTTCTGGCTAGCGGAGATCGACGTGAAAGCCATGCCATGGGGCGCGGGGAATATCCCGAAGGACTACACACCCATCGGGCGACTCTGGCGATACGATCCTGATGGGACGCTCACGCAGATGGAATCTGGACTGGCGTGCGGTAATGGGATCGGTTGGAGTCCGGACAATAAGACGAGTGCGTGCATGGGTTGCGATTCAGTGTGCTCGAGAGCTGATTTGGTGTTCCCAGTGTACCTCAACGACTCAGTTTCGCAGATCGTGTGGGCGTACGACTTTGACCTCCCGACTGGAAACCTGAGCAATAAGCGTATATTCATCGACCGTCGCGAAGCAGGCGGTGAGCCAGATGGCATGGTTCTAGAGTGCGTTCTTCCCTTCTCCTCTCTCCATCCCACTGCTCATGTTCTCCTTCTTCCCAGTTTCCACGGAAACCTCTGGATAGCCATGTGGGGCGCACACAGCGTGATGTGCTTCGACCCGACCGGCAAGCAGACCAAAACCATCAAGTTTACCGCGAAGAACATGGCGTGCACGACGTTCGGCGGGCCGAACTACGATGAGCTGTATATCGCGAGCGCGCGGGATCGGTCTGCGACCGCTGCAGCAGACGATGATGGCGGGCAGATGTTCAGGTATAAGGTGGGAGTGAAGGGGTTGCCGAAGTATGAGTTTGCAGGGTAGGGGACAGTGGACGGCAATGAAATGAGAATTTGGATACATGAGCCTGCAGTCGTCGTCGAGTTTGAGGACCATTCAGGTGAGCACCCTCAGGGCCGGGACGCAGTAAATGCAGTGGCCTTGAGCTTGCGATGGTGGCGATCGGTGTCCAACGAGTGCTGCCATGATACACGGTGAATTCCAAGTACGTCCGCTAAAGATACAGGCTCAGATATCCCTATACGCATTCCACCTCTTAGTTTTGGGTTGCAATGCACTCGATCTCAACATCGGTGTTGAGAGGGAGCGTCTTGACCGCCACGCACGTCCGGCACGGCTTTACTTCACCCCAGTACTCCTTGTACACCTCGTTCACGGCGGCGAAGTCGTCCTGCGAGGTGATCAGCGACCCATCGCGCGCTCAAGAGGTGGATAACGCACCATGTTCGAGAGGAACACGTTAACCTTTACAACGTTGTTCAGGCTCGTGCCCGCCTCCTCCAGGATCGCGCTCAGGTTCTTGATGCATTGGTGCTAGGTACTCGTCAGCCTCCATCCCCCCACCTAAACACGCCCCACTCACCGTGTGCGCCTTCACATCGCCGTCGATCAGCTTGCCCGTCTTCGCGTCCATCGGGACCGCGCCCGAGCAGTACACCATCCCACCGGCCTTGATCGCCTGCGAGTAGATGCCCGGGAGCGGGGGCGGCGCGTTCAGAGTCAAGACGGCTTCCTTGGGCATTTTGTGACGAGCTGAGCGAGGTACAGAGGGGCGGACGGCTGATCTGCGCTCGAGCGCCTCCCGAGGCCTTATATCGATGATAGGCTTCCCCACGGCCCGCGCATGATCCGTTTATCAGGCGGCGCGGGGTCCGAGGCGGGATGTGCATTGTGCTGATTAGAGAAAGTGTTTGCCTCCGGCGGCGGGCGGGTGGCGGGCGCGCTTGCGGCGGTTTGGACGTTGCGGGAGGGGCTTGTGCTCGGAATCCGAGGATGCATGGGACTCATCTCAATGGGATCGATGAAGAGAACACAGTGGATGAATAATGGATCGCCCAAGTAAAGATACAACGTTACAAACATATAGGGAGCGCTGGAAGCCTGGCTTATTCACTGTCTATGAAGCCTCCAGCGCGCCGTTGCCATTACAATAGTCAACGTTCCCTTTCGCAGGATTTCCAGCCCACTAGAGGAGAGGACGGGTAAGCATTTCGTAAATCGCTGACAGAGGACGGCCACTCACAGAAGGGAAAGGCCGTTCGACTCCACTTGCGCCAAATACCCTGAACCGAAATCAGTACTGCTACAGGGATCTTGGAAAGGAGAGTACTCACGCGAAAGAGAGAATAAACACCATGACCTGCGCCCCGCCGTCGAAGGCGCCCCCAAGAATATAGTTGTACTTGCGGTACCAGACAGGGTGGTGCTGGCGCAACCACAGTTGCGAGACGAGACCGATCACAATACTGGTCGATACATACGAGGTGATGCCCTTCGACATTGTCTGCGCGTACTGTAGATAGTCGTTAGCTGGTGCCACAAATTATTCCAAGTAAGCGCGCTCACGTTGAAGATAATGGGCAGGATGATAGACTCAACCTTGATGCCCTTGATCATGGGCCAGCGCTACGAAGGCAAGGTCAATGAACCGCCTCCTCATAGAAATCGAGGCAACGCACCTTTGAGATGAGCCACTGGATGAAAGGTGGCACGAGCCCAATGGCCAAGCCGATTGGCACAATAACATACGGGCCAGACGCGCTGTAGAGCTCCTTTGCCAGTGACCAGGTCACCGCTTGCGAATTGAGGCTCTGGATCGTCTGCCCACTCCAGACGTTCGTGCCAGAGGCGTCGAGAAGGACTTCGCGCTGTGCATCAACGATGCTGATCATGACGACTGTTCACAAAGTCAGCCTTTTCGAAGGATTAATTAGACAACAAGATATTCCCACCATAGTTTACGATGGCCCCGAGGATGCAACCCCATAGCTGGGTGAGGAACATTACGCGTGGCGGCACCTTCGTATATTGGCCGACCTTCAGATCGCCTGCGAGGCCGATCGAGGTGGAGACAACGTCGTGGGACCACATGGAGAACTAAGGAAGGTGTCAGGGTGAAGGCGCCACATGGATCAGTCGAGGACGCACGTAAAGGTTAGCGACTGGCCTGCCTGGGTTCAAGGCGCCAGGAATCATCTTCATGAGGTTGTTCGTAGCTGGAAGGTCATCAGAAATAAAGATCCAACTCAGCTGCGAACGCGGACATACCGATACCGTTGCCCATACGCCCGTATAAGATTGTCGAGAAAGGCTGAATGGCACCATCAGCAAATATCAAGGCAACAGCGCGGGTAAACGCGTACCGTGATGAAAGCGCCGACAGCGAGAGAGACGATGTACGACCACCAGGGCAGAGAGGTCTCTCCCTTGATGCATACGATTAAGCCTGTGAACCGGTCAGCTACGAACGACTGCGTGGAGATCACACTACGTACCAGCAATGAAAGCCAGAAAGAGGAGGATGAAGTACCACCACCACGGCGCCTCCTTGTACTTTTGCATGGCGAGGTAGTGCGGGTCGTCGTTCGTCTTCTTCCCGTCGCGGAAGTGGAGGACAGCGTCGCGCATGTCGCCGCTCCAGAACAGAGTGACGTGGGCGATGAGGGCGCCGATCTGGCGTGCAATAAACATATGTCAGCCAAGCAGAAATCTATGAGATGTGCTAGCACGTACAGCAAGGTTCTGCGCAAAGTTAGCCCAGGCGTTCGAGCCAGTCATCGCTGGAAGGCCGTACTCCTCGAGGGCGGTCTCGTTGAGGATACCGTTCTTGCCGAAGACGGCGGCCTGGTCGTAGACGGTGCCGTTGTGGTTAAAGATCGAGGTGGAGAGCATCTTGTAGTTCTTGGACTACGAAGAGAATCAGCAAAAGTGACGCGGCTGCTGTAAGGACACGGCACCCACGTCCCACGCATCCGAGTAGTATATGGCTGCGATGATTACATAGCAAGCCCCCAAGCCGATCCAGGAGTTAGCTAGAAGGACAGTGCATCAGCGACGGTTTCAGAATGAACAACAAGCGTTGCAATACCTTGCTGCAGCAAAGGGTACGACATGTAGTTCGACCCGATGTACTGCCAATCGAAGCTGAAGTTGAGTAGCCCGAGACCCTCGTTTGCGTTCCCGCCTCCGAAGATATTGGTAAACACGTCCCGCGTCGACGGCCTCGCCTTCTGCGACGCGAGGCAGAAGATGGAGACGGAGTTAAGGAGGGGGAAGATGTACGCGGGGAAGAGCTCGTAGATGAACATGATTGTGAAGCCCCACCAGAAGACGCGGACGCGCTTGGTGCTTTCGTGGCGGTTGAAGTGCAGGGCTAAGGCGGTGGGTAAGTGCAAGGAGTGTGGTGAGAGGAAGGTAGTGCGAACCTTGGAAGACGGTCACTTGCGGAAGGTTGCTCCAATATACCATCTCAGCGGGGTACACGGTGAGAGGTCGCAAGATGCCGACGAGGCCCATACTATAGGATTAAACATCAGCAAGATAGACAAGCGCACAGTACACGGGACTCACCCGAAAGTCAGCGTCGAGAATGTGGCAAAAACGGCCGTCAAGGGGCCGACATGGGTGTCATAGTAAAGCTAGGAGCAGGTCAGTCCCACTCTAATGAAGATAATGAGTAGATGATCCACTCACTCGCTGTACGGCGAAGTTGTTGACCGATGTCGCCCCATACGCGGCTGTTGACGCGACGAGGGTAGAAACCACATGCTGAAGATCTCGGTCAATGATCGTCGCTGCCATTCTGTCGAATCACGCACCTCCTTGATCATGAACGGACCCGGATTGATGAACTCGATGATGCCGCCGTAGCGTTCGAATCGAGTTCCCTTGACGAGGGACCGCTTTGGTAGAAACACCGCCCATGCGTTACCGATGCAGTATATGAGGAGCAACAGAAAGACCGTAGACACCGATACCAGAACGGGCTTGAAGATGTATATTTGACAGAGGGCCGCACCCAGTCCGGCTATGACGGTGCCGAGTACGAGCGACCGGAAGGTGAGCGCAGGGTCCCCATCGTCGCGCAGGTCGACGACGTAGCGCGAGACGTCCTGCCCAGTCGTCACGACGTGCTGCCGATCGAGCTGCGCCTGCGTCTCCAGTTCGAAGGGCTCATCTTGAGATCCTTCGCGCTTGTTATTGAGCTTCTCGTCGAGGGACCCATCGGTCTTCTCGCGAGCTGGCTCTGGGCGATGCGGGAGCTTGGGGAGAGCGTCCTCGGTGGCCATGGCGGTCGATGAGCGATGCTGGTGCTGCCGCAGAAGAGAGCACACGAAGATCCGACGCTTCTCATGACGGTAATATACTCCGGAGTGTATCCCGTCCCGCTATGCAGACGCCTTCTTGCGTATGATGGCGCCAGCACCTGAGTGCCACTCGGTTTGAAAGTCACTTGTTCGGAGCTTGCGCTGGATATACCGACGCGCTGCTTGTGAGTTGTTTGCAGAGTCGATTGCGCAGGCCGAGGGCGTACCGGACCGTGTAGGATGTGATCGGTGAGAACGATGGCATGCTGAGGGCAAGCACGTCGGGCACCATAGGAAAGGGTAATGGCGCGATTGCAAGGAACCGTCAGAGGTCGGGACTCGGTGGTGACCATGCGCATGGGACGGGGCCTGGTGACTTTTTCAATAAGCAGCAGAACTTCGACGCCGCACGCCCAGGAAAGACACGTACGCTCGGGACCCCGACCGGCGATACTGGTTTAGACCAAGGGATATATTTCCCAAAAAGGCAAGAAGAAGTCGGACGCCCACAACGCATGTTCCGAGTCTCTTCCAGGCACTCTCTATGTAGGAAAGACCATTTTGACGAGTGCGAAAGGAAGCGTCCTTGATTGCGCGACGAACAGTTGGATATTGTCGGACGTCAACTTCAATGTGCTGTAGACGTCCTTCGACGTCCCGGACGGACCTTGTGGTGCTTTGCCCGTGGCGAGTAGATCGACAACGCTTGTGAGATCGCCGCTCTTATCCATGCCAGTCATGGCATCGGTGACCACTTCGTCTGTCCAGGAGGTGACCGACCTTGAACGCCGCCATGTGCCCTGTAGAATAAAATTGTAAGCACCATCGTAACGTAGCTGAGAGTCAGTCAGAGCCTGCTCAACCTGCACAACGTCAGGGGACCATGCACACGCAGAGATAATTCGTGAAATGATGCGTGTTCGTATCGTAATGCCCGTAACAGTACACAGAGAATACACAAGGATCATGGGCGAGGGGGAGCGCGACATCTGGAGGTCCCAGATTACTTCTTCGTAGACAATACACCATTTCCATTACAGTAGTCAATGTTGCCCTTGGCTGGGTTACCGGCCCACTATACAGAGTAGTTAGTGAGTAGCTCGAGACACATACGAAAGGAGCAACTCACAGTAGGGAACGGCCGCTCGGTTCCGCTCGCACCAAATACACTGCACGCACGTCAGCGGGACTTCCAAAAAAGACGAGTACGGCAGACGTACGCGAAAGATAGAATAAAGATCATGACTTGGGCACCGCCGTCGAACGCGCCTCCGAGGATGAAGTTGTACTTGCGGTACCATACCGGGTGATATTGGCGCAGCCATAGTTGCGAGACGAGGCCAATGCAGATGCCCGTCGAGACATACGACGTGATGCCCTTCGACATCGTCTGCGCGTACTGAGAGGTGCGTTAGCGACTGCAGTGAATAGTACCCAGCATCACTCACGTTGAAGATGATGGGCAGGATGACGGACTCGACCTTGACGCCCTTGATGACGGGCCAGCGCTGAGATGGAGATGAGTCAAGGATATCATAGGCATGCACAGCAAGCATACCTTCGACAAAAGCCACTGAACAATGGGCGGGAAAAGCCCGATTGCAAGACCGAGCGGGACGATCACGTACGGCCCCGAGGAGCTGTAAAGCTGATGCGCGAGCGACCAGGTGACAGCTTGCGAGTTCAGACTCTGGATAGTCTGTCCGCTCCACACATTGGTGCCCGAGGCGTCGAGTAGGACCTCGCGCTGAGAGTCGACGATGCTGACCATGACGACTATCGAAGTGTTAGAGAGTAGATTGTTGGGAATCAGAAAGCAGCGCTCACCATAGTTGACGATGGCGCCCAATATGCAGCCCCAAAGCTGGGTGAGGAACATAACACGCGGAGGGACCTTCGTGTACTGGCCGGTCTTCAGGTCAGCCGCGAGACCGATGGACGTAGCAACGACGTCGTGACTCCACATGGAGAACTAGAAAATCTTTGAGTATATCACACCGTTATACTCAGGGAGGGCAACGTACATAGAGGTTAGCAACTGGCTTCCCGGGGTTGAGAGCGCCGGGAATCATCTTCATGAGATTGTTCGTCGCTGGGTGGGCGTCGGAACAGAGTCTTCAAGCCATAGGACCGCAGCGTACCAATGCCAGTCCCCATGCGTCCGTACAGGATCGTAGAGAACGGCTACATTCTGGTCAGCAAGAAAGCCAAGTGCGCTGACGGGGCAACTTACTGTGATGAAGGCGCCGACCGCGAGGGAGACGATAAAGGACCACCAAGGCAGCGAGGTTTCTCCCTTGATGCAGACGATCAAGCCTAGACGACGATCAGTCACTCTCCAAACGAAGATGAGATTTCCCATACCGGCAACGAAGGCGAGCACCAGCAGCGCGAAGTACCAGTACCACCTATCCACATGATAAGCCTTAGTGACACAACGAAGGTTGAGTTGCAAGAAACTCACGGGGCCTCCTTGTACTTCTGCATAGCGATGAAGTGCGGGTCGTCATTTTGCTTCTTGTTGTCCGCGCGGAACGAGCGAATCGCGTCGACCATATCACCGCTCCAAAAGAGGGTAACGTGGGCGATGAGGGCGCCGATCTAGAGCCAGGCAGTCAGCATCAGCGCGCTGCCTTGCGCAAGACACGGACACTCACACCGAGGTTCTGAGCGAAGTTAGACCACGCGTTCGAACCAGTCATCGCCGGGAGGCCAAACTCCTCGAGCGCGGTCTCGTTGAGGACGCCGTTGCTGCCGAAGACGGCGGCTTGGTTGTACACGGTACCGTTGGAATTGAAGATCGAAGTAGACAGCATCTTGTAGTTCTTGGACTGGCGCGGAGTCAGGACACGGATACAGCGGGAGCAATAAGCTGGCCACGTACGTCCCACGCATTCGAGTAGTAGATGGCCGCGATGATGATATAGCAGAGCGCGTAGCCAATCCAGGCGTTGACTGCAATGTGAAGTGAGCTGAGTTCGGTCAATCTGTCTGAGCATGCAACGCACCTTGCTGCGTGAGCGGCAGCGCCATGTAGTGCGATCCAAGGTATTGCCAGTCGAAGCTGAAGTTGAGCAACCCAAGGCCCTCATTCGCGTTGCCTCCGCCGAAGATATTCGTGAATATGTTCCTCGTCGCCGTGCTCGCGTGCTGCGAGGACAGGCAGAAGATAGACACGGAGTTGAGCAGCGGGAAGATGTAGGCGGGGATGACCTCGTAGGCAAACATAACGGCGAAGCCGATCCAGAAGAGCCGGACGCGCTTCGTGTTGTCGTGCCGGTTGAAGTGGAGGGCTGAAGATGATGTGAGTGGGAGCAAATAGCTATAGATAGGTGATGCGTACCTTGGAAGACAGTGACTTGTGGCAGGCTTTGCCAGTACACCATCTCGGAGGGGTACACCGTCAGAGGTCGCAGGATACCGACGAGGCCCATGCTGAGAGGGATTCAGCTGACGAGTCTAGAGAAGCTATGCAGGCCTCACCCGAAGCACAACGTGGAGAAGGTTGCGAAGATGGCGGTTAGCGCGCCGACATTGGTGTCATAGTAGAGCTGGCGTGAGGTTAAGTCGATGCTGTGAAAGTAGTTCCGGCCGACTCACCCGCTGCACCGCGAAGTTGTTAACGGACGTCGCGCCTCCAGCCGCCGTAGAAGCAACGAGGGTCGCGACAACATGCTGAGGAATCAGGATAGTGTACGAAAAGAACATAGAAATCAAAGCCACATACCTCCTTGATCCTGAATGGCCCCGGATTGATGAAGTCGATGACACCTCCTAGGTGCTCGAAGCGGGTTCCCTTCACCAGGGAGCGTTTGGGTAGAAAGGCCGCCCAGGCGTTGCCGATGGAGTAGATGAGCAGGAGCAAGAAGACCGACGACACCGAGACCGTGACCGGCTTGAAGATGTAGATCTGGCAGAGCGCCGCACCCAAACCCGCGATGACCGTACCGAGTACGAGGGATCGAAAGGTAAGCGCAGGATCGCCGTCATCGCGCAAGTCAACGACGTAGTGCGAGACGTCGCGACCGGTGGTGACGACGCGCCCGCGGTCCGGGACGCTGTCGAACGTCTCGGGGTCGAAAGTCTCCTTGTTGATACTGCCATCGTGCTTCTCGTCGAGCTTCTCGTCCAGGGAGAGGTCGGTGAGCTCGCGAGCGACCTCTGGGCGCTGGGGCAGCGTGGGCAGGGCGTCCTCGGTGGCCATGGCGGGATAAGGGGCAGATGCGGAGGAGAGCACACGAAGAACCCAGTGGACTTCCTTCGCGGGTATTATACTCCCTAGTGTACCTGCATCCCGCTATCCAGTGGGCTTCTGGCGTATGATCGCGCGAGTGCCTATCGCGCCTCTTGGCAGGATATATCGACGCATCGCGTGTGGGCTGGAGAGATGATTGTGCAGGCCGAGGGCATAGTGGATCGTCGGGAAAGTGATCGGCGTGAGGTAAGGCTCGCGGAGGGCGAATGTGGCGGGCGCCATCGAACGGGACGATGACGCGATTGCAAGGGCCGTCGAAGGGTCAGAGGCCCGCGAAACCCATGTGTGCGAAGGCAAGGGCGCCTGATGGTCACATCAATGGGCGATAGCACTTCCATCCAGCGTGTTGATAGAGAGACGTTGAACTTAACGCTTGAGACGCCCGAAAGGGTCTTGAAGGAAGATGCCTAGAAAGGCAACAAAGCCGATATTTGCAAGACGATACGCTCCTTCCAAGGCACAGATTCCATCATGTCGACCGAAGAGACTGTTATGGCGAGCAAGATATCGGGAAAATGGGAGGTACCTGATTGCGCAACGACGGGCTAGTCACGTTCAGAGGTTGAAGTTTTCCAATCTTGTGTCGCAGCTGGACTCGACCAGACGGCTTTGCTCGGACTTCGGTGGACACTCAGGAAAGTGACGCTCGTACAGCGTCAGAAGGTGACATCCTGTCAAGGATATGAGCACGGCTCAGGCTGGGCAGGGGAAACAGACGAATAGTGGAGTCCTGTACCTTCGTTGTTCAGCTCGACCAATACAGTGATGCAATATTTTGAGGCTGAATGTACTCCTGCAGCGCGACCCACAATCATCAAGTTTGGGATGACCTGAATCAGAGTTCGCGGTTGTATTGCCCTGGAGGCGAGGATAATGAGTACGATGCGAAATGGATTCCATACTTCCTCTCTCCAGTCGGGAACCAAGTCATTTCAAGCAGAAGACAGAAGCAGGTTGAGACCTGTGGCTAAGGAGACTAAGGTATTGCTATAGTCCAAGTTCCCAGAATTAGCTATCCGCAGGAGAGGTTAAGGAGAGGTAAAGCCTCAGGTATGGCCAGTTGGCCGGACCACGTGCGCTTCTTTCCCATGTGGGCTCGTCCATTTTTGGGAATTGAAAAGAAAAGCCTCTGTTGAGTCCGTTGACTCTCCGTCAACTAATTTATTGAAGACCACCTGCGGTCTTGCCTTGCAACGTTGGTGCTCCGCTTATCTCACGTCCATAAAGACTCTCTAGCTTACCGACACGAGTGGCAAGGCGATTTTTTTCGGGCTAAAAATATGCTTAAAAAGATGCTGAAAAAGGCGCTCAAAAAGATGTTGTTTTTGCACCGAAAAAGTGCGTGTTTTCAGGGTCAAAAAGGTGTCGAAAAAGACTGTCTTTTGAAGCATCTTTTCGCCACTGAAAAGGCGCCTCAAAAATGCGTCTTTTTGCCATAAAAAAGACTCACTTTTTGCGTCCCTTTTTGGCGCAAAAAATACAATTGTTCTACAGGTAAAAAGGCGCTCTGGCCAAAAAGACGGTCTTTTGACAGCTGAAAAGGCACACATCGTCTTTTTGGGCGTAAAAAGATGGTGTTTTCCGCATGAAAATGAGAGACAAAAAGATTCTCCGTTTGGTGGCAAAAAGACGCACTTTTGAGGCGCCTTTTCAGTGGCGAAAAGATGCTTCATAAGACAGTCTTTTTCGACACCTTTTTGACCCTGAAAACACGCACTTTTTCGGTGCAAAAACAACATCTTTTTGAGCGCCTTTTTCAGCATCTTTTTAAGCATATTTTTAGCCCGAAAAAAATCGCCTTGCCACTCGTGCGAGCTTCCCAGCTCGAATAAATGCTCGGCGGTGCAAATTCGGCGTCGGATTTTGGCGCCAGGCACGCGCCAAATGCGGGCAAATAACGCCCCAAATCTGTCGAACGGCGAACGACCGCCGTTTGCCTCTTGATTCTTACCCTCGTCGCCGTCGTCGCGAACAACGTACACCGCCGACACGCACGCCTCACGGCACGACACCGAGCTCTCAGCTCTTACGCTCTTTTCCGCATCTCATTCGTTGAACAACTCGCGCCGCGGCGCTCTGTATAGCTGTGCAAATAGCTCTGTTGTAAAATCCAAGATATGGGTTTCCAGCGAGTGCGCGACCATCGGCTCGTTAGCGTCGTAGCGCGCCAGGACGGGGAGGGGGGAGGGAACGGCGGGGGAGCGGGCGGCGGGGGAGCGGGCGGCGGGGGCGCGGCAACGGGGGACGAGACCACCCGCGGCGGCACCTCGGCCACGGCGACGACCACCTCGCGTGAGACGGAGACGACCACGGACGCGACCACCACGGAGCAGACCTCGCAGACGCAGGAGACGACGCAGCAGGAGACGTCCACCGGTGCGTGTTCCTGGACGCGCTGCGTAGACAGCACCTAATTATACTTCCCACAGCGACCACCACTTCCGAGCGCCCTACGACCACCAGCGATACCGAGGAAACCACCTCCGAGACCTCCACTGAGGCTACCACGACCAGCCAGACCTCGACCTCCTCGACTGAAGAGGAGACGAGCACGTCCTCGTCGACCAGCGAGGAGGAGACCACGACGGCCAGGACCACCACCCGCCAGCGCACCAGTACCTCGTCCAGCGATACCGCAACGTCCACCTCGACCACGTCCACCAGGGCGACCACGACAGTGCGTATTCGCTCATCAGTCGCATCCTGAGCTCTACTGATCGTCTCATCAGACTGCTGCGGCAACCACATCCACCTCTGATGACAACGACGACGATGCCGCGGATAGCACCGCCCTTACCTCCTCGTACCACTCTGCGGTGCACACCAGCCCTACCGGGAACATCACAACCCACACCGTAAGCGCCTCCGATGGCGCTACCAAGGCATCCAGCAATCTCAACACGGGTGCCATGGCTGGAGGTATCGCTGGTGGTCTTATCGGCCTCGCCATCCTCGTCTTTGGCATCCTTTACTTCCTGCGCCGTCGCTCCCGCCGCCGTCGTGCAGCCGAGTTTGATGCGGCGCAGTTCCGCCAATCCACCTTTGGCGGCCCCAACATCTTCACGCCTCGCCCGCCCAGTATGGCCGAGCGCGGTCACCAGTTCGCGCCCAGTGTCAGCTCGATCGGAACAAACAATGCTGGGCGTGGTGCCGGTGTCGTCGAGGTAGCGGGGACGGCTGGAGTTGGTGGATACGCGGATCTCGAGCGCGAATCACCCGTTCCCGCCACCACCGCAGCTCACTCCTCTTCGCCGTCGAAGGAGCTGCGCCCTCGGCCCCAGTACACCTTTGGCCAAGTGCCGACAGAGGGCGTCTCGCACGATGACACGAGCGAGAACCACGGCACAGGCGCGTACGCGTCGGAGCCCCAGCCCCTGGACGCTTACGACCACACAGCGTACGGCGGCTACGCCCACTCTGGCGACCACCAGGCATACGTCGCACAGGACGGGTACGGGCAGTACGCCTACGACCAGCAAAACGTGGCCACGCAGCCGAACTACTACCAGCAGCACCCATATAGCGCTGGTCCCCCGCCCGCCGCGATGTAGCGTCGTGAGCCGTCGACAAAGGCTCCCGCCCAAATAAGAATCTACTCAAATCGCACTGACCACAATCCCCCCGCGCCCCCTCCTCGCCTCCTCTTAATGCCTTCGTTACGCGACCCCGCCGATGGACTATGGCGACGTGACGCGTCCCGCTGCGCGGCTGTAGATTTTCCTGTAGTACCGCACGCCGAGCGCCTGCGGGCCGTCTGAATTATTGTTATATCCTGTGACGCGACCGAGATGCCCCGAAGAATGCATTTTTTGGGTCTTTCTGCGTGGCTCGAGGTCTTCAGGCTTTCTTTCGCTTACTACGTAACCCCTTTACTGGTTTCTTGGTGACTGCACGGGCTATTTGATGTCTGGTGCAGCTATGGTTTTTACACGGTGGGGGCGTGCCTCATACCTCATGGACAGACCGTAGACAGACTTTGGTATTGGTATTGTATGGGTGGCACGTACTTATTGATATGTATGTGCTTGTAGTAACAGAGATCTGTTTGGGCTTTTGAACTCGGGGGAGATGAACACAGTGAGACCGAGTTGATAAGAGGACATACGACTGGTTATTCCCAAATTTTGCTTAGTAGGCTCCCTCTCCACTCGGAGGCTGCGAACATCCCTCTCGTATACTCGGGGTAGTATGCAGAAATGCGCAAGCTGAATTCAAGGAAGGACAATGGCGGTGAGAACAATGGACCCATATTTGCATCTGTTTGTCAAGTACTTTCGTGGATTCTCGGATCGAGTCTCCCACGGCTCATCTTCTGCACTCTTCACAAAACGCGAATGGCGTCCCGTCTCGCCGTCAGTTCCCTGAAGGCTGCCGGTGCGTTGCGCGCGTCCTCAACGCCAGCAATATTTCCTGACACCCGTAACAGCCCGGCCGCGAGCGGTCGCGGCGCTGCCGCAAGCCCTCTACGCGTGCGTGTAGTACTCCCGGAGGCACTCGTGTCGCGTATTGAAGTATATTCTACAGGCGCCCGATGTCCACGAACAAGCCTCCCCCGGAGAAGCGCGCTGAGGAGATCATCAACAACCTCCCCTCGAAGCCGAGCCTAGTCACGAAGACGGGCACCGCGCTCCTTGGCACGGGTCTCGCGGCTGCGGCGATCTCGCAGGAGCTCTACGTCGTGAACGAGGAGTCGATTCTCCTCGCGGGCACGATCATTCTCTTCACCTTCCTTGCCAAGGTGCGTGGTGTGTGCTAGAAGGGAAGTACGGGATGCTGATCCATGTCGCAGTCCATGCGCGAGCCGTTCGGCAACTGGGCTCAGGGTGCCGCTGACCGCGTTGCGAACGTCCTCAACGAGGCCCGCGCGGAGCACACGAACGCGGTGAAGGAGCGCTTGAACGCCGTCGCGCAGATGAAGGACGTCGTCTCGCTCACCGAGGGTCTCTTCGCGCTTTCCAAGGTGCGTCGAGTACATACATCGCACCGAACCGCTACTCACCATCCTTCACTTCTGCAGGAGACTGCCAACCTCGAGGCGGAGACCTTCGTTCAGAAGCAGAAGGTCGCGCTCGCCGCCGATGTCAAGGCCGTCCTCGACAGCTGGGTCCGCTTCGAGCAGCAGCAGAAGGAGAGCGAGCAGGCGGACCTCACCAAGACCGTCATTGAGCGCGTCCTTGCTACCCTCCAGGATGAGAAGACGCAGAAGGACATCCTTACCAGCGCTATCGCCGAGGTTGAGCGTACGTCACTTCCATCTTTCAATCCAGATTTTGTCTTACCCTCTTCGCAGAGCTCGTCAAGGCGAAGGCTATCTAGATGGCTGAATCCTTGTAATACTCAATTAGCATCTTGCGAGTTCAGTCGTTTGTGCGAATCTTCATTCTCTAGAGCGTATCTTGAGGGCAGTATAGACAGCATCAGCGCGACGACCGGCCCGCTATGATGGGAGAGCAGCGCCACCGTGATCTTCATCCTATTCAAGCGGGTACAGAGACGTGATCGGTCGTTCCTTCCCAACTTTGTGGGTCTCTTCTGCCTACTATAAGGACCGTTGCTTCTTCCGATGTCCTTGACAAGCGGCAGCAGCGCGACCGGCAGTGCGGGCACGAGGTTTCTTGGCCGCACATGTGCCTTATCAGACGCTCGTCGTTAGATGTTACTGAGCGCGCTAAGAGATGTCCTTCGTCTCGTGCGCTCATCGACGAGCCTGCGCGCGCAGCTACGACAAGCCTCTAGGCCGATTGTCAGGCTAAGGGCGCCTGTTGAGGAGGGCGGGCAGTGTCAAAGCAGCGCTAGTCCTTGAGCTGCTATGCTCTCGCTGCCGATCCTGCTCTTGACGATTGCGCGCTTCGTACTCGGCGCGCAAGAGGATGTGATCATCTCCCTAACGTCCCCTGCCATCGTCTATGTTCCGTTTCTCTGCGATGCTGGGGATGACTGCGACGGTGGCTGGTATGCAAGAGGGTATGTCATAGTGTGCGCGCGATGCTAACAGGCCATTCGCACACAGGCAACGCACGACGACAGAGACGGGCGCCATGGTGATCATCACGAACGGCTCCTCCCAGGATGCGCTCGACATCGTGCCGCAGATGTTCATCCAGTTCAGAGGTAAATTATCTTCTCAATCCATACAACCCACCCTTCCACTGCATCGAACATCCTGATCATTCACACTCTTCAGCCAGCGCCCTCCACCTCGCCACCTCTGCCTTCTCCACCGCGGACGTGGACATGACGGTCTCGCAGGGCAAAACCACCATCTCGCAGAACGTGACCTCGCGCACGGGGCTGATCACGGTCATTGGGCTCAACAGCACCGCGCTCACGACGTTGTCCCTCACGTATGTGCCGCCAGGCCGCCTCGACCTTGGCCAGCTGTGGGCGACGGTGGACGATGAGATCGCGACGTGAGTAGAGGCTTCCCTAGCACAAGGCTTGATGGGGCATAAGGCATCGATGGGGCATAAGGCGTCGATGGGGCATAAGGCGTCGATGTGGCGCAAGGCTTCGGCTTATGGATCTTCGCAGCGTGTCTTCCTCCTACCTTCCCCCGCTGACGACGCCACCCACGGCCACACTACCGACATACACGACCGCGACGAACGGGGGACCCACGATAGTAGTCTCCCAGCCGCCGAGACCCCACCAGAAACTCGACCTCGCGTACCCCCTCGGCCTCACACTGGGTCTCTCATTCGGCCTCACGCTCCTCGCGACGGGTGCGTATCTCGTATGGCGCAGGTGGAAGCAGTACAAGCGAAAGAAGTGGGAGGAAGAAGCACAGGAAAACGAGGCTTGGGAGCGGCGGAAGGGCAAGATGCGGGATGACTTTGTACAATAAGACACTATCACAGGATACCATGGGATTCGAGATGTCGACGTCGTGTATTGCAAGCTGTAGAAAACAACAACCGATACCCAGGATGTATCACGTCCTCATAGTCCCGTTCGGCGACTCTTGCGGGGCAGCGGGGATAGAGATGACCATCGGCGGTGTCAGTGTTCGACGTGTCTAGAAGTGCTATGAGAGACTACGATGACAGAAGGCGAGTACACTTACATTTGCTTCATTCCAGCCGTTGCTGCCCACCCCATTCTGGTTCGGCGGTGGGACGGGTGGGAACTGCCCTTCCTCCTCCGGCTGTTCACTATGAACCGGCCTACGCCCGATAGGTGGCGAGGACGGGAAGTTTCGAAGAAGCGTGGGCTGACTGGGTAGCACTAGCTGCATCGCGTCGAGCAGCAGACTGGAGTGGTCGTGAGTTCACAAGGTTGACAACTTGTATAGTGAAACGTGCATGCCACTCACTCCATCTCGTCTTGCAGGGCGTCAATGCGCTTAGCTGCACGCGCAAGATCGCGTTGGTACTCTGCGTTTTTCTGAGTATAGAGAAGGTAAGCGGAGCATGAGCGTGGCAAAGCAGGGTGTGACCTACTGTAGTCAACTCCTCGTAACGGGCCAGCAGAGCGTCGTAGCTGGGGCGAACACTCAGTGGACGTACTGGCAGACGCGATGCTGAGCAGAACCTACTCCTCCTGCCCCTGCTGTATCATGTTAGGGCTCGTATCCATACGCGAATAATCATCCACGCCGTCTTGCCTGCGCTAGGCGTAATTAACGGTCCGCAGGTACCAGGGCCTTGAACAGAGTCACTCACATATTCATCCGTATCATATTGGCTGGAGACAGATGGGCCCCGTTGTATGAGGTCGCCATACTTGCCTTGCGAGGTGGCCGTAAGCGCCTGCGGTTCGGTAGGCGCCGAGTTGGAGGTAGACGCCATAATCACGAGGCCAAGTTCAACTTTCGCCCAAGCGCGATCAACTGGGGTTTCGGGCTTCGCCGGCGGGGTAGGAATGGGATTTCACTTACAGTGCTGCAGGTTATCGAGTGCGTCTTATGACATGTCCAGAGCGCTCGCTACAGGAGTGTCAGGGTTCGTCGATTGATTTCAGGGTAAAACATGCAACTCTTGAGGAGGCAAAAACGTTGCGCAAAGGGAAAAATGGTTCGACCCGGGTTCGAACCGGAGACCTCCTGTGACCACGAGCTAATGTGAGACAGACGTGATAACCAACTACACCATCGAACCGGTTGAAAGGTTGATGCTCAGAGAGGTCTTGTAGGTGCATTACTCTTCTGCGTTATTGTCGCTGGTCTCCTCGTTCGACGAAACTGATCTCACTGAATACTGTCCGGTGTATATCTTGGATGAATTCTGACAGAACGAACACAAGCGAATAATCATGGAATAAGATAGATATTTGTTACATTTTCTGGTCTACCAGAAGTTTTCCCAGATCAGCATACGCTCGCTAGTGTCTAGCTCCTGTCGACGAAGTATGTCTTGAGACTGAATCAGACGCAGCTCTCTTCCCCGCATACGACGCGTCTTCCGAAGCGGCTCTGCAATGTCCTTTTCGTCGTCCGTCGGCTGGCGCTCATCCTCGGGCAGCTTCAAGGCGTACTCGTGCGTACGCTCCAGGACCGCATGCGTCTTCGCGAGAGCGAACGAGACTGCATTCGCGAGCGCGCTCTCCCCCGTTTCGGGTACGAAGTGCGCGAGCGTGAGGGCCGAGAACATGTCTCCGACGCCGGAGAAGTAGCCGGGGATGAGGGTGACGCAGCGTGCGTGGACGGTTCCCTCTGCGGCGTCGGACGTGATGCAGAGGAGCTGATCGGTATGGGTGGTGGGGCGAAGCGACGCGGGGAGGGCGTCGAGCAGCCATGGTGTAAGGGGTATGGAGCTGAGGACGACGTGGGGGACTTTGTATCGGTCGTGGAGCACGCGTAGGGATGTGCGAAGAGTGTCCATGTCGCGGATTGGGGTATCTGTGAGTGTCCTAGTAGCGGTAGCGGAATCAGAGGGTGAATTCTCAGTGGAGTGGGGATAGACGTACTCGACCTCAAACCAATTGGGAGTGATGATATCTGCAAGATGCAGAAGATCCCTGTACACAGGGATGACATCCGCCGCGACGTAAAGCTTCCCGGCGTCGCCCATGACCGCTGCAAAGCATGAGGGCGATGTAGTACGCAGAGTAAGCATGCGTACGATCAAGCAAGTATGTCGCCTTCGGATTCCTCTCCTTGAGTTTGGTCGCAAAGTCTGCAACCGCAGAGAGCGCCTCTGCACCAGGTATATAACCTGAGTAAGAGGTATTGATCCTCAGCATTTGCACACGAGCGTGATTAGGTCGACGCACCAGTCAGTAATCTATCCTGTGCCAGCAGTTCATTCTGCTCCATCGTGTCGAAGATGCTGCGCAGATCTGCTGCAGACGCGCGCGTCCCACCGAAGCGTCCATATCCTACGAGGCTGATATCAGCGGACGAAGGGAATGGATCTGAGGGAGGTGTGCGTACCCGAGTGATTCGAGAAGTTCACCGTATTTACGACCTTTTTCAATGTCAGTTCTCTGCTCGGTAGGAAGGGAGGCTACTCACATCCACATCGTACCCCAGGCATTGCAGGGGGAACACCGCTGCCTTACCGCCCACATAGCCGAACGCGACGTGCGACTGGATGCTCAGGACACGCCCCGGGTTTTCGGGTACGGCGAAGTTCGCTGACATGGTAGTCGTAAGCAAGCCTCAGTGAGCTCGGTACGTGGTCACTTGCGACGGTCCGTTAATCGCTACGGAGCTGGGCGGTAATAGCATGGTGGGCGGCGCTTATCAAGGCGATCGGATTCGGACGACAATGACTCACCGATCAGGCAGGACATTCCCACGCCACCGTGCTTGAACCTGACTTTCACGCAGCGATAACAGGACTATCGCTCTCTTTACGTAGGCCCCGCCTTGTGAGACTTGGCTCTGAAGCAAGCTGTAATATCATGCTGAGTTTCTTTCGGCCATCGACGCTTGACGCCTCGTTATAGTTGCATGGCTTGGAAACTTGTTGAACGCGCGCTAAGGAGACCGTCTGTATTTCCGGGAGCATCAGGTACATTGGCCAGAGCAGCAGACAAGCTATGGTATACGGCAAGGGACCATAATACAATGATCAGCAAGTCGTATAGGGACTACTCAGAAAGAGAAAATTACCCTACAATCACATACAATCCAGTCTGTATCCCAACGCTCACACAGTATTCCAGAGGCAATTCCTTCCAGGAATGAAATGAGATTATAGAGTGTACAAGGCTGAGAGCAACAAGAGCACAAACAAACAAACAGGCGAACAAGTAAAAAAAGGGAAAACAATATGTACAGATCGACGCGCACGCAGCACACAATAGACGGGGGAGTATGGATGTAAGTAGGGGCTGGAGAAATAAGCACAGATGATCGGGACAAGGACACATGAAGGGGGGCCGGACACGAGAAGAGCGTGAAGGGCGACGACCCCAGGTGCCCGTGAAGGAAGAGGAGGGGAAGGAAAAGTAAAGCCAGCGCGACGAGGGACTCGAGCCCAACTCGCGAAATGCTAGAAGCGATAAATAAGACAGCCGAGGCACCGACCCCTACTTCGCGTCCACGCCCTCCACCGGTCTGCTATCGTCGAACCACGCGCCGAAAGAATCATAGTCCAGACGCGAGTTCAGCATGTCACCAGACATGTCCATGTCCAGAGCACCTGCGGTATACGAGTCCCCGCCGAACAGGTTCATAAAATCGGTCGACTCGCCGAGGCCGAGACTCATTCCGCCGCTGTTGTCGATGCCGTTCACCTGCGTTGAAGGTGCGGGTGGCTGTTGCTGCTGGGTCGGCGCTTGTTGTTGCTGCTGCTGGGGCTGCGACGACTGTGGTGCCTGCTGCTGTGCGCCGCCTTGTGACGGCGGACGCGCGCCCAGTTCCATAGTCGGTGGTGCGCTAGCAGGAGGTGCCGGCGCTGGCGTTGCAGGCGCGGTCCCAGGCGATGTCTCCGCGCTCTTCGCCTCCTTCTTCTGTTGCTGCTGGATATCCTTCGCTGCCGTCGCTGGCGACGGCGGAGGGGGCATCTTCGTCGGCACACCACGGTACGCGCCCCCAGGACCCGATCCCAAGTTGTAGTCACCGGGCGCGGGAGGCGGAGCCATGGGTACGGGAGGCTGCGGCATTCGACCCTGGTGCGCTGCGTGCATACTGTTGTGGTATTGCTGAGGCGTCATGGGCGCCATGGGCTGCATGCCTGGCTGTGCGTGCCCGGGGCCCATATGCATCATGCCAGGTCCGCCGTACATGGGGCCAGGAGGCGGGACGCCTGGCGCAGGCGGCCCCCATACGCATCGGACCACCGGGCATCGGCGGGTGCTGCTGCTGCTGAGGTGGCCTCGGATACGCGCTCCCGCCAGCCATCGGCCCGGAGTCAGGCGGCGAAGGCTTCTGACGTTTGGCGTTGGGTGGGGATCCGTCGTTGCGATCCTGCAGCTCGTCAGTAAGAGTGAAGAACGATCTGAAGAACGGGAACGTACCTCGTCTCCTGGTGATGAGCTTGCACGCTTGTTGCCTCTAGACGGTTGGCCAGGCTGTGGTGGTGGGGGCATATTGTTCGCGCCAAGCGGCCTATTCCTGACGAAACGCTGACGAAGGTTCTGCAGTAGGCGGTTCTTCTCCTCAAGCGTCAAGGTCGTGATCTCGCGAGTCCCAAAGCCTACTTCGGACTTGACTTGATAGATGATGTCCGGAGGGTAACGCTGGAGCTCGTTCAGGAGGTTCTGCTCCTGCTGCTGGTGGGGAGTGCCCAACTGAGCGGCGCGCATGGACGGGCTCGTCTGAGGCACCATTCCTGAGCCTGGCGTCGCTTGTCGGCTTGGCGGACGAGCACCGCTGTAGGACGGACTTGGGTGTTGCGCAGGCATGCCATTTGGCGGCGGCATTGCACCACGCATATGTGGCGCAGGGACCTGACCGCCCATCGGTGACGGATGCGATTGACCGTGCATGCCCGGCTGAGGTGGGTGTGGCCCAGGGCCGCCTTGCGGAGATGGGTGAGTCATCGCAGGGGAGACTTGGTACTGATGCACACCATTCGGGCGCTGCTGAGGAGGTGGTGGGGGGATGGTACGTTGGCTGGGCATTTGTGGGAAATTCGGCGCGCCAGGGTGTGGGGGAACCGGACCGTGGGGAACGCCGTTCGGCTGCGGGTTGCCCGGAAAGCCAGACTGGTGCGGCTGCATCGGGTTTGGCCCAGGCGGCGCGGTGCCATTTGGCATGTGGCCGTTGGGCATGTTGTGTGGTGGGCGATGGGGCGGCGCGCCGTTGGTCACGGGGCCGGGGCGTGGAGCATGAGACGGCGGAAGATGAGGGATAAGGGATGGGGGTGGGGGGTTGGGACGGGCGAGCATAACATCTCGACTATGCCGATTCTGCTCTTCAAGCTTGTCTTCGGTGTGCTGTAGAAACAAGCGCCGTAAATCCCGAGGTCTGGAAACGCGCCAGATAAGGCCGACTCACCTGCACATAAAGCAAGGCTTCTTCAGCCGCTGACTCTCCTCTGGTCTTCGCATTGAAAGTAACCCAGAAAACGCTCCACCATCTGGAAGAAGGAACGTGTGAGCACTCTGCAGCGGCCCGACCGCAGGTACACGCACTCGAAAATGAAGCCCTGCTTTGTCTGTATGGGAGGTGCTGCATCACTGAGACCAGCCTCCCTACGAAGCTCGGCTGCAGTCTTGAAGAACCCATGCTTGATGCAATAATCATGCACGTATACGTTAAACCTGTGAATCCGTCAGTGGCCGTTCCCAGTCAGAAAGCGGGACTGCGCTCGCACATGTGGTCGCCCTCCCAGGACATGGTGCTAATAGTGGGGTCGGTGCTGGTCATGGTGCCGGGTAGCGCCTAGGAGCGCGCGCTTCTTGACCTGCTCGGGCGGGGTGTGTAGAGCGGGGTGACGGAGGAATAATCTGATGCGATGTTGGGGGTGGTGTCTTCGGCGAGAACTGAGGGCGATGGGTATGTCTCTTTCGCCGTCGTCGGCGGCTACGACGAGGGAGCCAGGTAAGCGCGACAAGATCCCTTGATCTTTGGTGGTGCAGGTAGAAGACACGACCGAGCTTTCGCTTGGACCATTTGATTGCAAATTCATCGGAGACTAAATTCTCGGCATCTCCCGGACTTCTCTTTCCGTGCATGTTCGTCTCTGTCCCTGCACCGTCCATAAACTCTGGCCATTTACCACCCGAAGCATGCACACCCATCGTCCTTTACAAAGTGGGAAAGTTCCCAAAAATCTGGCTCGATCACTCTCTCCTTGCACGGCACATAGGCCGCGGGGACCCGGTCTCAAGCGGTCTACTGCGCCTCTCCCGCTGCTTTGATCTTCCCCGTGCCCGAAACCAGGTTTCGCACTGCTCGCATGTCTCCCCCTCCGTCTACAGTGAAGAATATCTCCTCAAGAAAACCCTCGGAGCGCTTGAGCAGTGCAAGGCCCGCCGTTCTGACGCCCTCAATCATGATTTGCCCGTCGGTTCCGCGCGGTTCATCGACAGTCTCGCGGATCTTACATGCGGAAGTGAGTGATAACCCAGCCTGCTCTATAGCGTTTTTGATCCAGCTGCTTCTCTTTCACCGCCTTCTTCCATCCCATCAGTTTTCTCTTTCACGCACTCGCCTTCTCCGACTGCTCTCCTTGATTTCGGAGATCAACACTGTTGATTCCTTCTGTTGACCTGACTGATACTGCTGATGTCCCCGAACATCCCTCCCGCTCTCGAGCTCGTCGTGTCACGCTACATCGCTAGTTCTTCCTTTGCTCCGCCCTAGCGCCTATCGTAGCGCCTGGCGCTTGACCGGCCTGACGTCTCGCTCGCAATCTATCGGGCTTGTTTGTTCTGGAAACAGGGCTGGGCTGTCCGGCCGCTGTCATGATATGCATTTTAGATCCAATGGACCATGTCAGCGGTCGCCGTGCTATACAATGCTAGGAGGCGGCGACAACGAGGGCGCCATCGCCCATGGTCAGGCGCATGGCTGCTGCAACTCTGGCGTCGAAAAGCCTTTTCTTATCTGGTGAAGACGGGTCTCGTCCGCGGCTTCAGACGCCATACCAAAGGCTTGGCCTCTTGCGCCCTGAGAAGCTTGACTTAACAACCTTCCTTCCACAGTACCAACACTTGTTTGCAGGTATTCTCTTTGCGTTCAGGCACAAGCACATATTGCATTTCGGTTTGTTTTCTTGCAGTTGATCCTTCCATCGTCGTGAGATGCTTCCGCTCGTACGCTGGTGCTTCCTTGCGTACCCCCTGTGCTTCTCTCCAGTGGACAATGGCTTCTCCGACTCACTAGCTGGACTACTTCTACTCATCACCAGCACTTCCTCTCATCGGCAAATGCTCACTCACATTGTCAGATGGCCCAGTCGCGCCATCATCTACTTCGTCGCCACCTTATCCTCTTCGTCAGCCGCTTTCTCGTGCGCCCTTATCCAGCCCTTATCCCGATGGCCACTTCCCGATAACATCACCCGCTCCTTGACGAGGGCTTTGAGGGTCCCCGACCATGCCTTCGCAGCGCCCCGACGAGACCTTCGAAGTCCCCAAAGCTTCGAAAGGAACTTCGAGACGGCCCCCGCTCAAGTGCTTCGCCACAACATTGCATCTTCTTGTCGTCAGCAGACCACCTTCAATGAATGTGCGTGATACGTGCATATATATGGCGGGCGACTCAATGAATGGGGTGACCTGCGTCGGCGAAGCACCTGCCTTCCCTCGACCAAATCTCGACCGGTCATTGGCTCTATCATTGGACTTCTGCGCCCGCGCTATATCCGCATATTCCCATGGTGAGGTCCTCAATGGGCTGTATGGTACTGTAAGTTGCTGCGAGGTCCGTCAAGACTATGGTCACATAATTCATCGAGAGGCTCATCTGCTGCTCTGACGACTTCTTCGTACTCATACAGTCATAGAATGTACTGAAGGCGTCAATCTTCAGTGGATCAGTGTCTTCTACTACGCTTATCGCGTCTATCTTGGAGTCGACGCTCGACAGTGGCCAGTTGTACAGTGAATTAACCAATGATTGATCCCTCTCTCACAAGATGCACTCGCACTCAGTCCTCGAAGCACCACAGCAGGGAGTTGATGAACGCCCTGCACTTGGGCTGTGGCTCCCTCCTTTCATCTGATGCTCGGCGACTCAGAGTCGGCGCCTCCTCATAGGTCCCTACCTTACGCCTCGGAGCGCTGCACTCGATAATGACACAATCTCCCAGTCGGAAATGAACATCCGCCGCCCCTATAGACGCGAATCTATATTCGTCTGCATTGCTGCTTGTGAGGTGCGTACTAGTATTGTACTCTCGCAGTCACTCAAATCTCCCTGACTGCCGCCGTATGAGCACTCAATACTGACCACCGATGCTATAAAGGCGCCCTCGGGGTTGCGACTTCAGGCCAGCCCGTCCTCGCGCCACACACGAGCAGGCTGCATGTACGAACGCGACCCCTGTACGCAGAAGTTCTTGATTGAACGCCCTTGCTTTTCGGTCATGGTAGTCTCCTCTCAACCAGCGAACACGAACATTGCAAGTCATGAATACACTATGCCTTCTATTCTTTTGCAGTAACAAAGACGTAGGACGTAGGATGGAATATTGATACAGAAACAAAACATCGATTACGCGTAAAGGTCATCATCGCCCGCATCCTCCGTGAAGCCAGCGTTGCCCGCCGCCTGCTGCTGCTGCCCTGACGACTCGCCCTGCGTGTCCGGGAACTTGAAGTTGTTCCCAAAGCCACGCGCCTGCTGCAGGTTCTGCGCGAACATCTCGTAGCGGCGGATGTCCTGGTCCGACACGGAGCGGCGCGCGAACTTCATCGCCTCCTCGAAGTGTTCCCGCGTGATCTCCGGTACCGGGTCCTCTTCCTCCGCGTCCTCCTCCATCTTCGCGTCGCCGTCCTCATTCTTGGCCTTCTCGCGTGCGCGGCGGATATCGGCCTCGATGCTCGCGCGGATGGCGAGCTTGGCGGCGCGCTGGCAGATCTCCGTCAAGTCAGCACCAGAGAAGCCGTGCGTCTTCTGCGCGAGGAAGTTGAGGTCGACGTCCGGCGCGAGCGGCGACTTCTTCAGGGTCGCCTTCAAGATGCTCAGACGCTCGGCCTCGCCGGGCAAGGGGATGTAGATGAGCTGGTCGAGACGACCGGGACGGAGGAGCGCAGAGTCGATCTGGTCTGGCCTGTTCGTCGCGCCGATGATGAAGACGTTCTTCTTCGAGTTCATGCCGTCCATCTCCGTGAGGATCTGGTTCAACACACGGTCGCCAGCACCACCAGCATCGCCGGATGAGCTGCCACGGGCCTTTGCGATGGAGTCCAACTCATCGAAGAACATCACGCAAGGTGCGGCGGCGCGAGCCTTGTCGAAGACGTCGCGGACGTTGGCCTCAGACTCACCGAACCACATGGTAAGCAGTTCAGGGCCCTACAGTACACCGGTCAGTATTTTGCATGCATACATTGAGGTGGTGGACTGACCTTGATGGAGATGAAGTTGGCATTGCACTCGTTCGCAATTGCCTTCGCCAACATAGTCTTACCCGTACCCGGCGGGCCGTAGAACAAGACACCCTTTGATGGCGACATGCCGTACTTGAGGAACTTGTCGGGGTGCTCGACGGGGTACTGGACGGTCTCCTGCAACTCGAGCTTGACCTTGTCGAGGCCACCAATATCGTCCCAGGTAACGGTCGGCACCTCGACAACGGTCTCGCGGAGCGCGGATGGGTTGGAGGTACCGAGGGCGAAGCGGAAGTTGTCCATGGTAACACCGAGCGAGTCGAGCACCTCGGCGTCGATGGTGTCCTCGTCGAGGTCGATGAGGTCCATTTTCTCACGAATCTGCTGCATAGCAGCTTCAGAGCACAAGGACGCAATATCGGAGCCGACATAGCCATGGGTGTCAGCGGCGATCTGAGGGTGAATGTCAGTCTTACTCGTAGTGCGGCGAGCATCGAAGACGCACCTGCTCAAGGTCGACATCATCAGCAAGCTTCATGTTCTTCGTGTGGATGCGCAGGATCTCGAGACGGCCGGTGGGGTCAGGAATACCGATGTCGACTTCACGGTCGAAGCGACCAAAACGACGAAGAGCCGGGTCGATGGAGTTCGGACGGTTAGTCGCAGCCATAACGACAACATTAGAGCGGGCCTTGAGGCCGTCCATGAGCGTCAGGAGCTGCGAGACAACGCGCCTCTCGACTTCACCGTTCGTCTGCGCAATGTATTAGCAGGCGTCCAGCAAAACGATAAAGCAACGCACCTTCTCACGCTTCGGCGCGATGGAGTCGATCTCATCAATGAAGATGATAGCAGGCGAGTTCTTCTCAGCCTCCTCGAACGCCTTTCGCAAGTTGCTCTCGGATTCACCAGCCATCTTCGACATGATCTCAGGGCCGTTGATGAGGAAGAAGAACGCGCCAGTCTCATTCGCCACAGCTCGTGCCATGAGGGTCTTACCCGTACCGGGAGGACCGAACATGAGGATACCACGAGGAGGCTTAATACCGATCGACTTGAAGAGCTGGGGATGCCTCAAGGGCAGCTCGACGAGCTCACGAATCTGCGCCATCTGCTTGCGGCAGCCACCAATGTCGTCATAGCCGACATCGGCGAGGTTGGACTCTTCGTCTTCACGCTTAACAGGGTCACCCTCTGCGCAATGTGAATAGAAGATCGGAGTATATGTGGAGTGTACGCACCGGTGTGGATGACGGTGTCCTGAGCAACGATACAGTATTCTGCCGGGTCGGTCTCGATGACCTTGAACTCGACTGTTCGCATGCCTCCGCGAACGAGGAAGGTGTCGCCCTTGCGCACCGGGCGGTAGGCTGTACATCTTAGTCAGATCGACGCGTAATCCAGTGAGTAAATTGCGGCGCACCTTCAAGGAAGTAAGGCTTGAGGTACACGTCGAAGATGTTGCCGCTCAGTCCCTCGATGGAGTCGTCGAAGGGCAGAATGTGGACGCGCTTGCCGTACTTGATATCGAGACATTGGTGCACGTTGACGAGATCGCCAAGCTTGACGCGCAAGTTGTTGCGCGCGACCTTGTTCATCTGTATCCGGCCCTCCTCGACATCGTCGGAGCTCAGGCAGATCAGGACAGTGTCGCGCCGCTTCTTGCCACTATACAGACCTGTTAGTAAACATCCTGAGCCACAGAAAGGTCAACACACCGAACGATGATGGTATCGCCGCGGAAGAGCTGCAGGGTCTCCATCGTCGCGGGGTTCATAGTCGCGACTGTTGTTCGCGTCAGCTCAATTTCACCGATCCTCGCCACTCTACTCACCAGAGTTGTCATCTGCAGTGGCCTCATCGACGATGAGGCGGTTGGGGCTAGAAACACGCGTCAGCATCTGCACATCTACTTCTCGCTTAAGCGCTCACGATTTCTTCGGCCTGAGGATGGCCGTCGAGACGTCGTTCTCGCCAGGCTGGGGAGCAGCACCGCTGGGGTCAGCCATAATGTCGTTTCGTGAGGTAAGGTGGTGGTCAAAAGACAAGATGCGCGACGCTTTATGAGGCGGGGACTTGACTTACGCGTCGCCTGTGGCAGTGCATCCACGCGACGAATTGCTGAATCAGCATTTCCCCTTTGGGGCGTATTGTTCTCTCCCCTTCTCCTGGGTTCCACTCTGCTTGAGGGCGTTCTGAGGACATGAAGCCCACAGAATAATGTTGATACAGCTACTAAAATAGTTAGGTGGGGGACCCACGATAGCTCACGCAGGGGCTTACAGCGCGCCTTCGGCGCGCTGGCCACGGCCCGATGGCCCGCGCCATACGCCACCGCCCCTTGAACGGCAGCTCAAGACGTCGAGCGCTGTCCTTAGGTCACAAAATGTACTTGCCATTGTCTACCTACAGCGCATACGAGCATGATGTCGTTCACCGCTCCCAGCAGCGCTCAAGATGGAGAGCTCTGCTCATCGTTCATGGAGGCCCGACGCTGCACGGTAACGCGACGTTCGAATTTCCTCACGAAAATCGGTATGCGTGTGCATAGTAGGGTACGGAGTGCTCTTGCAAAGTTTCTAACAGATCCGAGAAGAGAGGTGCGCGCTGCGCGCGCCAGAGCTCGCGGAGCTCTTTTCGAGTAATACCCGGAAAAAGATTTGTACTTGTTTACACGGCAACTCTACGGCAGCCATCACGAAGTCACGATTGCTCACGCTTCCCCTGCCTCGTACCTCGGCGGGGCCCCTGCGTGAGCAACAAGCCCTACGACCAACTACATCTCTTCATCGTCGTCCACATTCAATTCCTCTGGCGGGAAATCCCCAACTTTCACCTTTTCCGGGCGCACGAATACGCCGTACTTGGGCGCGCAAGTAAAGTATCGCTCGCCTTGCACGCTGTACGAAATGTCAGTGGTATACGGCAGAGAGGGTGAAGGACCAACTCACGATCCGTCGTTCTTGCCCATGGGTTCGTCGTACTCGACACCGACCCAAACGCCTCCAGAACCGAACTTGGTTTCTCCAACAAAGCGCACAGTGCCGCGCTTGTGAAGACCAGGCTCGTTGGTCTCTATTTCGCACCTAGATCCCACAGGAATGTTGACTTCCTTCTTCTCCGCTGCAGCACTTTCTGCCTTCTCAGCAAAGCGGCCCATCTTCATGCGCTGCTTGTAGGCCATGACAGTGTCTTACGGAGGGGTCAGACTCCCCAACGACGAAGACATAAGTCCAACGTACCATTTCTCTTGGCATACTCTTCCTCCGTGAGTTCGAACTTGTCAACGTTCGAGGTGTCCGTAAGCTGGCCCGTGAACGACGTCGCTGGGTTGAGGTCAGTGACCTTGAGAGGTGGCGTAAGTTAGATTGTTGCACTGTGCATAGGGCCCAAAGAAAAGTGGACCTACCTTGATCGCCTGATAGTCTTTGACGCCATAGTATCCTAGTGGTCGCGAGTCGTCGGACAAGTCCGCGATGGGCTGCTCGTCATCCACGGTGTTCAAGAGGAAGAGTGCTTGATTTTGTACGGGTATGCCAGTGATGAGCTCGAGTTTTCCCTACGAAATAGTCAGGGTTGTTCGAGTAGAAGTCTTCACGAGTCATTATAAGTTGCACTCACCTTCAGCTGCTCAATCGTTGTATGTGGATCGAAGCGCCTCTCCGACCGGGTATCTGGCGATACCACAAAGACTTTCAGATAGCTAGACATAGTTGTTGGTCCTTGTGCGCTTCCGGAGTATTCAGATTTTCGGAGCGATCTCTCGAGGCAGGCAAGGCAAGCAAGGCGCACGTCTCACACGAGTCGTGATGGTGAAGTTGAAGTGCCACCGGCGTTTGCCGGGTTCATTTTGTATCCGCGGTTGGCGCGGGCCGTGCGGAGGCGTCTCTTCCTGAACGGTCACCTTCGCGGTTCGCCGGCCTCGCCTGACGGAGGCCCGCTCCTTACGAGATGCGACCGCTAGGAAGCTACTCGGCACATGCAACGACACCGAATACAACAGCCGGACGAGCTCGTGTTTCTTTGCCCGCGCTCTCTGCACGTCTCTTGACCTCTCAGGCGATCCCATGCATTACTGCATGAGGAGATCGCCCAGAAGCCCTGCTCTGGACAAGAGGAAGACCCAATTGCGATCTTTATTGCGGATGTGGCTCAGCCTCTCTGGCCAATCTCTTCTCATTTGTTTCAAGCCGAATCTCCGTGCGGACTTTGACAGGGTGCCTCTTGCGCCTCTTCCTGGATTCGCTTCGACGGAAGCTTCCACCATGCTAGATCAGCGGAAGCGCACTATGGAAGAAAATCTGGGGATGCAGGAAGGGATGCACCGCGCTCAGGTATATAAGGTCGCGCGGCGACGGAAGCCTTAGCAGGATCGCAACCATGCTTTCCTTCTTCGCTCCTTCCCTTTCGCTCTTATTATCCCTGCTTTTCTCTAGCCCTGCTTACGCTTCAGTACGCGACGGCAAGGATGTGTTTGGTGTGAATCTAGGTAGCTGGTACGTTTCTCATGTATACGATCACTGGCTGCTTGCGAACTTCGAACAGGCTTGTGCTAGAACCGTGGATGCTTCCTCAGGGTAAGCATTTTCGTTGTTATCGGTGTTAATGTTGATCCTGACCGCGCCATAGAATGGCTTGACATGGGCGGCCAGGACTGCTCGGATTGCTCGCAATGCATCCGGAGCGAATTGTGCGCGATAACGTTAGGAAACCTGACTCTCCCTCACAATACGCTCTAGCGCCTTCGTTAAGGCGTATCCTGACACGGCTGACCAAATCTTTGATGAACACTGGTATGCATTGCTGGCATATCCCTTTTGATATCGTTGTTCATCCATCCAGGTCTACGTGGTTCTCCCAAGACGACGTTGATCAGCTCGTTCGTCTCGGCATCAACACCGTCCGGATTCCTGTGAGTAGTACCGACCTTGCCTGCATCGCATCGCCGAGCGCGGGAACACCTTGATAGCTTGGCTACTGGATCATTGAAGACCTAGTCGAACGTGACACGGAGTTCTATCCTCGCGGAGGACTGCAGCAACTTGTAAGCCACCGTCACATCTGTGTCCAGTTCTGCCGAGGCCGACTGCGTTCGTGTAGCGCCGTGGTCTGCTTCAGCTCAAGGAAGCTGGGATTGATGCAATCCTCGACCATCACGCTCTCCCAGGCGTACAGTCGCCTAACCAAATGTTCACTGGAAAGTATGTGCAATGCAATAACATTCACATCGGTCGCACTGACAGCCTCTCCTCCGTGCGCAGCTGCACCACCAACGTCCAGTTCTACGTAAGTCGAACATTTCTCTCGGCGCGCGTCGCAGATTGACCGACATGCACGACCCTCAGACACCCTACAACTATCGGCGCGCGCTGCTTTGGACCGGTGAGTTGTCGCACCACTTTGCGCAGCAGTATAATCATTAATTGCCTCGACGTCGCCGCCCGCGCTCCAGCCATCATGACCGTGCTCTCCCACCTGGACCCGGCGTTCGCGAGCGTCGTCTCCATCGAAGCCGTCAACGAGCCCATCATGGACGCCACACAGACGCCCGGGTATGGGGACTGTACGTACCGGCGCGTCGCCAGCGACCGATTACGAGAGCTAACTGAGCCTCTGCGTCGCAGTTCAGAAGCGGTTCGTCCGGACGGTGCGCGTCGTCGAGCGTGCGCTGGGAATCGGGTCGTGGAGCGGTCAGACGCAGCGTCTCAGGCGACACTGGGGCATTCATGCGCGCCAAGAGGACCCCATTTCTGCGCTGAGGACGACGATCACGACGGACGCGTACTTTGTGGACGATGATAACGTGCTCGCGGAGGCGCTGGACATCATCGCTCGCACCCTGCATACCGGCGAGGTCGAGCCAATGTCCATGTCCACCATGCACTGGAAGCAGCCGCTCGTCACCAAGTAAGTACGCTGTGGCAGCTGTGGTCGATAGGGATCTGACACTGCGTTCCCAGCCTGATGGATAGCAGCTGGCAGCATTTCACTGGACCCAACCCTGCGGAAGCGGCAGATGGTCCTCAAGTCTACGACAATCATCTTTACTACAGGCAAGTGATGCGCTCGACTCCATGTGTAAACTCTTACTGACCAACGTTTGTTATAGCTTCGGCGTATGTGTTGCCTGAAAGCGGCCGTGTTGCTTGCTGACTTGGACTTACAGGGCGTCGCCGATGCCAACGAAGAGGCCTACATGCATAGTATCTGCAGTAAGGCGCCGCTTCTGACGAACGTGCCTCTATAACCTTCTCGCAGACCTTCAGCGCGTCCCCGACGATGCGGCACTCGGGAACTCTCCTCTCGTCTTCGGCGAGTGGGGGCTGCCGACTCAGTTTAGCGCGACGGACGAGTTCCTTGTCAAGTGGGCCGATGCGCAGAAGCTGGCGTACACCCAGGGCGCAGGATGGATCGTGAGTTATCCGTGTATATGCAAGTGGGGTGAAGAGTCTGATCCGATTGGTATGTAGTTCTGGAACTTCAAGATAGAAAGGTCAAAGCTTGCTGGCAATCTCTCCAGGCAATGGTACGCCATGTGATTGACTATGGCATTGTCCTCTGATCTCTCACCCTGGTGCTTATCAGGTCGTACTTCGATGGCGTTGACCGAGGGTACCTTACGGTCGACCCGTCTCAGCTGCACGATCCCCACGTATGCGATCCCTACGTCGCATAGCGTCTTCGAGCGCTCGTTGGCATGTTTGCATCGGGGCGCGCAGCAGGGAGGTACGCCACGTGGGGCATCGATGCATTGTGCTCCAAAGGGGTTATCTTCCGATCACCGTGAGCAGCCGCCGTATCTTCCTCCGTTCCTTCATCTCGCTCCATTCTCTGCCTCTCGGTCATGCCGGGCTTCCTTCCTATCATGCTTCGTCTCTACTCGGTGTATCTTCGATCTGTCTAATTCACGCTCGCTGCTTTGATCCCTGCGACCCTCGTCAGCAGCTTTGACTACACCCGTGATTCCCTTGCTCGTCCTGGTTCCATATGCTGCCTTCGCATCTGTTGTGCCTCTGCACGCTGATCATTCCGGTACGGACGAACGTTTTCCTTCCTTTGGGGAACATGCGGACCTGTTTCTTATGCTCGAGCGGCCGAGCGGGCATGATCCCGAACATGATGTGAGCATCGGCGGTGCGTGGTCAGCGATATAAGAGGCGCACGGAGGGCCGCGCACCCCAGGTTCTGCTGCGCCCCGGGTCCTCCCAATCCAGGTGCCCCGGCTCAGCCACCGTCTCGCACACGGTCGCCACGATGGTTCTCCTCCTGCCGTTTATCGCGTGTCTTTGGCCTATCGCTGCCGCCCTCGTGGTCCGGCAGTCGATTACCGAGCTCAGCGCTGCTGAGATCGCGACCTTCACGCCGTACAGCAACTTCGCCGCCGCCGCATATTGTCCGCCCAACAAGACGGCGACCTGGAGCTGCGGTGGTACGTTCTTTACCGCGCGTCGCTTGCGCGTGGGGCGGCTTACGCCCTTTCTATATAGCGCTCTGCAATGAGAACTCGGACTTCAAGAGTGTGGCTGCCGGAGGCGATGGAAGTGACGTCCAATTTTGTGCGCCCCCTTCTAAGCGTGGACCGAATGCTGCTTACTGACACGCCGATGACCAGGGTATGTCGGATATTCGCCCTCGCTTAAAAAGGTTATTGTTGGCCACCAAGGTTCGGAGACGTACTATGCTAGTCACGGTTGCTCTTGCTGATTTCACTTTAGGCACCAATACGAGCGAGATGTACGTAGTGTTCGTATATCGACGGGCTAGCCTGACTCCTATACATCAGAGATGCCATCCTCACCGACGCAGACTTCTTCCTTGACGATCTTGACGATGACCTGTTTCCTGGGTTCGACGATCTGGGTATCAAGGCGCACAATGGCTTTATAGATCAGCATGCTAAGTGAGTGACTACTCCGTCATATATTCCGCTTGGCGATGTCTGACTAGTAGCTTAGGACTGCCGAAAGCGTCCTCGCGGCGGTCAAAACTGCGATGAGCACGTATGGTACCTCGAGCATAACGACCGTGGGGCATTCACTAGGTTTGTCATCCCCTCTTTCCTTCGTTCGCGCGGGGTAACTGAAGCCATTCCCGTCTCAAGGCGCGGCTCTTTCTCAGATCGAGGCCGTATATCTGTCGCTGCATCTCAAGGGCGCCAGCGTTAACACCATCGGATATGGCGTCCCCAGGGTGAGCATTCATATAATGCAGGGATGGGCAGTCCTAACGTCGTGATCAGGTTGGCAATCAAGAATGGGCCGATTGGCTGGACGCGCACCTGCAGATCACGCACGTCAACAATAAAGAGGACATCGTGCCCATCTTACCCGGTACGTGCTTCTGCATTCTGCGGAAAACCCCGCTGAACGCCGAGGCGTTTTTGACAGGACGTTTCCTGGGCTTCCATCACCCATCGGGCGAGGTGAGTCGACCAGAGGACGCCCATCCCGATAGGAACTCAAGTGTACTTGTTAGATTCACATTGATGACTCTGGCGAATGGCTCTCGTGTCCCGGTCAGGACAACACCGACGAACGCTGCAGCACTGGCGATGTCAGCAACATCTTTGATGGCGAGCCAGACGACCATGGCGGTCCCTACAATGGCGTTCACATGGGCAGCGTCAACTGCTCCTGAGTCTTCGGATGCGCTCCGAACGACGATTTGGAAAGAGGAAAAATCATCTATGGTGAGTACTACGAAGGTGACAATAGGGTATTATGCTGGGGATATAGTAAAGTCTATGGGTGCTGTAGATACGGGAAGAATTGTACCTGTCGAAAACAATTCTGAGGCAAGGCATGAGTCAAGTCGCTGTCTAGTGGGCGCGCGCGGATACGCCGAAGGTGGGGGCATGAGGGGTAGGAATATCAACCCAGTCGTCTTCAGCGTCCTCGAAGTCATAGGCGTCGTCCCAGTTTTCTATTTCTCCGGTCGAGGCACTACAAAGCCGGTCAAAATGGCGAAAAATAGGCGCGTGCGACTCTTTGGACTTACTAGCCACGAATTGCCATCGGAGAGGTGGTCTGTCGAGGCGATAATGGGACAAATGAGGATTCGTCGTCGTGAGAAGGGGGCGTCGAGGGCTCTCCGAGCTCAGCGTGTCTGGCCGAAACTTCGGCAGCCACTTCCTCGTCCAAGCGGTCGAACCATGAGTGGGTCTTAATGCGCCTGCCTGCGACAGCACGGCAGTCAAAGGATTGTCGAGAGTCATGGGACTATCATGATATTTCACATTAGTTTTCCAACAAACAACTGTCAATAGAGACGCAGCTCACCTTCTTGGAGTTCAACGTGCAATCATCGATGGTCTGAAGACGAGAAACCCAGTATTCGCGACGGTGTTCCCCGTCTATCCCTGTCGGTGTCTCCGGCATAGACATGGATCGCGCACGCCAAGCGCGGCCATCGTTCCTGCTACCAGACAGGCCACCAGAGGAGAAGGTCGGCCCAGCATCCGAATTTTGACGAGGCCTGCCTTGATATGTATACGTTCCAAGCGTCACGACAGACCAGCCAGCGTCTGCCGATCTTGACGAACGATACATGGCGCGCGCCGCGCGAGGCGAAGCTCAAGGTCTTGCGCGAGGGCTTGTGTGGCAGTGGCAGAGATACACTCTGGCTGCGGCTGCGGCTCTTTGGCTTGAAGACGGTGAGCCACTTGTTCGAGGGCATTTTCTAGAGTTGAAGTGGCGGAGGGCACGAGGGGCGGGGGAGATAATGAGTGAGCGATTGAGTTGGCAGCCTTCCTCTTTTCTCTTTAAAGGGATAAAGGGCGCATTGACCGCGCGTTTGTGTTCTAGATCAAGACACAGCGCAGTGGATGACATGACACGTACTTGTCATTCATGTCGACATTGTGACCCGACAAACAAAGGCCCTAAAGGGCCTAAAGTGAAAGTAATGTCATCGTCGCGGTAAATTGGTCGGATGCTTGCAATTGTGATCTTAATGACGAGTAAGGCGAACGGATCGTGCGCTGCTCAGGACGATGCCGGTCATTGCGCACGAACGAGCACCAGGTCGACATTGCAGATTATACCGACGCGTCAAAGCAGCAAGACCGTATACCCCGTCGTTGTCGGAGTAGATGCAGGACTCTATCGTAGTTCGGCTGTTGCTAGCACAGTGTCGATGACAACGGGCTTTGCGAACAACAAAGTGGCCGTCAAGAGCAAGAATGGCCGGCATTTACCGAATCACGGTCACAGCGCCCATAACTCGCGGATCTCGGCCCGACGGCACTCAAGTCTTCTGGCGCACGCTCTCATCACGGAGACTCAGAGCATTGGCTGCCCCTCGTCGGCTTGACCAAAAACAGGCAGACGCCGACTATCGATAACCTTGCAATACAATGGGAAAGCCTATACTCCTGATTGCCTGCAGTCAATTGACCGCCCGCTGGGCTCGATGAGCGTCTCAGGGTGGGCGCCCTCTACTTATATACACTGCACTAGCCAAGTGGATATAGGTAACGTCTCCTCCATGTCTACCCTCCCCCTCACTATCTTCTTCCTCGGCGCTACTGGATTCGTGGGTGGCGAAGTCCTGCGGCTGCTGGCCTCCGACTTACCTGACTTCCCCGTTCGTGCGCTGGTCCGCAATGTCACTTCTGAGAAGGAGACCGAACTACGCCGACTACATCCTAACATACGAATCGTCGAGGGTACCCTCAACAGCGATGCACTCATCCGGGAGGAGGCCTCTAAATGCGACATCGTCATCAACACCGCGTCGTCCGACCATCATCCGAGTGTCCTCTGTGAGTTCTGACGCTGCTATCGGAATTGACGCTCCTCATCCCCGTTTCCCCCTCCTTCTATGCTGCTCATGTTATTTTTTCCCCTTCCTCAGCCACCCTCGCCGGCCTCACTACCCGCTCCGCCGCCAACCCCGCCAACCCACCCATCTACATCCACATCTCCGGCGCCGGCATCATTGAAGACAACGCGCGCGGCGAGCTCCTCACGCCCAGCCACATCTGGTACGACACCGACATGGACCTGCGCGCCGTCAAGGACGTCACGCACATCGTCTCCGACCTCGATATCGTCAAGGCCGGGACGAGGACGGAGAACCGCATCCGGACGATGATCCTCTTCCCTGGGTGGATCTATGGTGCGGTCAGCCCTCAGGCTTTGCTCATAGCTGCATGCGTTACTATATAACGACTCACAGGAGTCGGCTCGGGCGTACAGAAGGTAACGATGCCCATCCGCCTCTACGTCGACTTGGCCATACAAGCGGGCCACGCCGGGACTTTCGGAAACGGCAAGAATGCCATGGGCGAGATACACGTCAAGGACGTCGCTTCCGCCGTCCTCACCTGCCTCAAAGCAGCCCTTGAAGGCAACGCGGACGAGGGAGCAGCAGGCCTCTGTGCGCTCGAATAGCTGAAGAACAACAGTACGACTGAACGCTATCTCCAGATTTTGTCCTTCATCCACGGATGGCTGTGATGAAGGACATTATGACGGGTATCGGCAACGCGAGTGCTTAACTCAAGAAGATGGCTATTGTCTGACTCCATCTTGCTAGATTTTGCACGAGAATGGAGTAGTGAAGGTTCCAGGTTGCGAGCCGCTTCCGGCTCGTATAACCGATGCATGGGGCGAATGTGCGTCCAATCGTGTTCATCAAACAGTCACTCAACTAATTACAATCCACTTCCAGTTGGTTGGGCTTTGCTCGGTGGTACAATCTGGGGTCGCGGAGAGCGTCTCAAGAAAGTGGGCTGGCGACCAACTCACACAGAGAAGATCACACTGCAATCGTCCCTCCGAGACGAGGTGGGCATGGCACTCGCGAACCTGGGCGATTTGAGGCCACCTGATTATTCGGACGCCACCATGTAGAACTTCGGATCTCGCAGGCTCGCATGACATTAACCATCGAAATCAGGCTGTAGTTCGCTAATGCAAAGTAGGTACGCTATTAAAGTCGGGTGTTCTCTTTGAACATCCACTGGTACGGCGCCGTAGCGGACGTAACCGGAGTCATGGATGAGCTAGCAGCGGTCGAGGCTGACGCAGCGGCAGCCGAAAGGGATGCATCCGTGCTGGAGACAGTGGTCGACGAGGCAGCACTCGAAGATGCAGCGCTTGAGGAAGCAGCGATAGATGAAGCAACAGCTTCGGCGTCGAGAGAATGCGCAGACGACGCGGCCACAGATGAAGTAACGACAGACGAGGTGACGGCAGACGAGGACGCCCTGTTCGGGACGACCTCGACATCGAGCGCGGCAGCAGTGGGCGAGGGTTCGGAGCTCGTTGCGCTGGTAGAACGAGAGATCGCCGTGGACGTAGCGAACGTGGCCGACGAGGACGAAGACGGTGTGTCAGCAGCCGTGAGCGATGCGGCCGATGAGGTGGCGGTTCGGGAGACAGTCGCTGTCGAGGCTGTTGACGTCGGCACAGAGGAGATGCTGCTAGAGGTAACATCGTCCACGTTCTCGACCTGCGTTCCAGCAGGAGCGAAGACTAGCGTCACAGACTGCGCGGTCATGTTCTGCGAGGAGTCATCGCGAGACATAAGGTCACCCTCGTCGGTCACCGACGCGATGTCCGATCCCTCTGGCGCATCCGATCCGTCGACAGCTTTGGCAGCAGCCGTGTTGTCGTCCGTGGAGTCCTTGTCACTGTACCACATTGGGTGGATGACACCGGTCTCCTTATCGAACGCAAAGTATTGGCTCTTGTGCGTCTGAGCTTGCGTCGAATCGTAGCACTTCTCGACGGTGAGGGGTTCAGCCTGAGGAGGGTTGGGATCGTACGTCGCGCAGTAGGGAACGACGGAGGCGGTTTGCATGTCGATGAGGGGGACCTGAACAAGATATTGTCCGGGTCCCGAGCCCTCGCCGGCCGACACGAGATACATCTCGGTCGAATTCTTCTCTGACGCGTCGAGCACGTAGTGAGACGAGTTGGACGTGTCGAGAATAAGGGATCCGAGCTTCTTTTGATCGCTCTGATGGAATTGCATGAGTACTGATGCCTGTATCCAGGCAGAAACAAGGCGCACCATGATGTTTATGAAGCCCGGAACACCCTGCTGCTCGCGCTTGCCAGCGGACCGTGACAAGACGTAGGACGAGCCATAGTCATTGGCGATGGCGATCGAGCGACGATGGTGGTGGTCATGGTCGCGGTCATGGTCGTGATCGTGCTCATAGTGGTGGCGGTCATGCTCATGGTCGTGTTCGTGAGCGTAATCGTGGTTGTGGTCATGGTCACGAGCAGCGAGACCCTCCTCCCGCTTCGGAATCGAGAACGACGCCTGCTGGTGCTGCATATATGCGTCAGAATTTTCCATGGATCGCAGGCGGAATACACGCACCACCGGACCGTGAAGTTCCTCGGTGATTACCATTGGCTCCCGCCGGAGGAACCGAGACCTCGAAGAGACCTTCTTCATAGCGTTCGCAGAGCGAGACGACTGCTTCTGGGGAGAGCTCGAGAGATCCTTCTGCACCGGGAGCGCGTCGACAGAGGCCAGCGTAGCGAGAACAAGAGACACAGCGAGAGCAGACGAGCGAGCGTTGATGGCAACCATAGTTATAAACGGATTAGAGTCGTCGCGTTCGTAGGGATCGTAAAGCGTGAAGCGAACCAGTCGCGTATAGTGATGTGCGTTAAGAAAAGGGATTTAGGCGATCACCAGGATCTTTATCTGGAGGAGGGTCAGCTTCAGCGCTAGGCGGCGGGTCGAATACGCACTAAGATGGAAGTAGGAAGAGAGGAAGGGAGGAACGAAATAAACTTTCTAACCTTTAGTATTAACCTTGTTTGCGCAAGCTTTGTGACCGCCGTTTGCCGAAACGTCCTTGGCGAAAGACGCCGACCACGTTCCATCGCTTGCCCTGTACTACACCTGGAATTTCGACGTTCTCCACTGCTAATTGCACGCTCGATGAGGGAAGATCCTGAATCAGCTTTCGATGGAGACCGCGGGTCGATTGAAAACGCATATCGTGGGCCAGCCGATCGCTATGCCACCCGTAAGACCGTGACCACAATCGACCCGCCGCCTTGATGCTTCGCTTATTGTGAGCTAAGTCCGAGTTTACGAGGACTTAGTGGGAGTCAAGCGAAGCAGGCGCTGTGCTGCGCTGTGAGCCCGGCCATAGCCGAGTGACGTCGTCGCGTCCGAAGGATTCGCGGTGACGATCACGCGGGCAGCGAGCGCGTCGGCCATGGTCGCCTCTCCGCTCTGCCCTCCATCGCCTCGAGTCTCCTGCAGCCAAATTCCGTTTATTCTCTCCAATACCAGATACGCGACGGCTCGAGACGTCCAGGCGACAACGGATCCTCGGTTGCATGTCCCAGGGCCTTTTCGAGGCGCATATACCCAGCATATACCCAGTTCCTGAGGCGATCGGACATCCAGACTCGGCGACTGTCGACCCCGGCGGTTCGCTATCTAGTCTCCTAGCTTTCCTACCTGATACCCGCAGTCCACCGCCCTCTGCTCCCTGCAAGAACGGCGACATATACGCCATCTAACAACATCCCAGAAGCTCAAGAGATCGTTCTCGCTGTCCGACGCGCTGCTCGCATAGACTCTCGGCACAGCAGCAGGACATCATCCCAGCACCCTCGACGGCGGCCGCGCTTGCCAGCCAACTAAGCGATGGCGAAAGTTAGCACGCGAAGCTGCTCGCCCCAGATCGGCGCGGTCAGTCGAGTGAGCGTTCTCTCAACAGACGCGTACCCTCACAGTTCCTTTTTTGCAGTCACAAATCGTTGTCGTCATCGCGGCCATACCTCTCCGGCATCATCTATCCAGCTCCATTGATACAGCCCATTCCTCCACCTACTGTCCTTTGTCTTCACACCCGAATACACCATCCAGCCGCATTACATACATGACTATCGCGTTCCCATCCTACCGAATCAAGATCGGTCCTCTAAGCCCCGACACGGCCTGAAAAGAGCTGGTGAGTACTTTGATTCAGTCGTGTTTAGCTCGCATCACTTCCCTGTCCTACCTTTGAGTTTCGGCACGTCAATGACATGGTCCCGCGAGTTACAAACCGAGGATTCCCCTACGAGGAGAGCTCTTGCATCCCTCTAGGGCTACACGGTGCGACTCGTCCCGCATGCGCAAGGGCTGGGAGTCGCGTCGCCGGCGCTCGGGAGATGCGGACACGGGTCACGCCCATGGCACGTGGCACATGTTCAACCCCCCAACTCCCAGTTTCCTTCATTTTCACAATGGGGCTGCTGGAAACCAGCCCCCCCCCCTCAATGCGTTAGCCCCATGGCGCGCTCCTCATTGTGTTAGCCCTATGGCACGCACCCACAGCGTTAGCCGCTGGGTTCTCTTCCTGTCACCATATCTTCGGAACTTGGTCCATAGGGACATATCCCTTTACATCCCTGACTCTATCCTAGACGCGCCCTAGGACTCACGAGCTAGCTTCGCTTGATGCCCGGCCATAGCCGCGTGTTAAGCTGCCGCCGCAAAGAAGCTGAGGGGGGAGGGGCGATCACGCAAGCGGAAAGGGCGTCGCCTGGTTTTGCTTCTCTGCTTTTGCCCCCATCGCGCCTCGAATCTCTCAGACAACAGGTCTTTTCGCCCACCCTCGTCATCCCTCTGTCAAACTGGATAACGCTCGGGGCAGCGCGGCTTTCACTCAAGGCCCTTCTCCTTCAGCCTGAGGTGATGCCTGCCATCTGCTACAGCGTTCTGTGGGTGGCTGCAGGCGCGCGCGATACATGACTCACGTGGCGTCGTCGAATGCAGCTCGCCCTGCGGGCGGCCGACATCGACAAGCCCTAGCCCTCGTCGAGTGCTGGGTTCCCTCTGCATGCTCCCTCCGCAGAGTCGTCGAGAGCCATAGGTCCGATGCCTCTCGCCTCTTTCTCTCCTAGACGTGTCCTAGGGCACATGATCGAGCTTCGCTTGACGCCGACCAAGGTCACCGCCACGGCAGTCCCCTGTCCCGCGCGGCGCGCGCCCGACGACGACGCGCAATTAGTCTCAGTAGCCTCGATCCCTGGTAGTGCTATCATTGACAGAACCTGAACGTTAGACGCATTTGCCTAACCAAGTCACGCAGACATGCCGAGCCGTTACGCCATAGCGAGGAAGTAGCTAGTCGACTTGAAGACTCCAAGCGAGGGCGAGCACCAGTGATACAGCAATAGACAACGCGAAGTGATCGGCGCAGACGTGGACCATTTGCATGTCGTCTTCCGTAGGACCCATCAGGAGGCGAAGCACTAGCGATCTGTTGAGCGAGACGTCGACTACCCTATCGTCGAGGACACTGTTCCACGTTTGCTAGGCTGCGCGGCGGCGAGGGTCGAGCATGGTGGCGTCTCCAATGACGCAGCGTCCCGTCGGTCCGCCAGCATGGTCGGTTTGGTTCGCCCGCGGGATCAGAGAGCGGGACAAGGGGGACGATGAACTGACGATGATCGGACTTCGTCAATGGAAGTGACCCGGCGGCAGCGCCGGCACCCGGCCCACACCTTCTCGTCCCGACCCCCGTCGCGTGAGGTCGCGTGCACGCCGGCGCACGTAATTACGCACCTTCCCCTCCTCCTCCCCCACCCTCCGGGCCTACGTATGCCTTCGCACACCCTCCTGCGCTCCTCCCCCGCGCTCCTCCGCCGCCAGGTCGGCTCAGCGCGCCGTCATACCTCGTCCATTAACGTCAGTGTCACCTCCAAGGTGATAGCTCCCGCCGGTCGCTGATTACCGGCGCAATGCCGAACAGGCCCTCCTCCAGGCGTTCAAGGATCCGTCATCGCCCTTCCACATTCGCCCGGGCGAGACGGGTCCCGCCTCGCCCGATGAGGAGCCAGGTGACGCGCCACACGACTCCCGAGCGACCGTGGATAAAGGCACGGACAGCCCGCCATCGCATCCAGTGCGGCGGACCTCTCCCCGGGACGCGTCGCCAGCCTCTCTGGCCGAGGCTCGTGCGGCGCTCGTCGACCGCGGGTTTGACCCTGACGTCCTTTGGACGCAGAAGATCGTCTGGGGCGACCTCGATAGCTTTCAGTGCGTATGAACGACTTTATGACGCAGCTGCAGTAGGGTAGACGGCCAGGGCGACCCGGGAGCTCACCTTTGCGCATTTACAGGCACGTCAACAATGTCCGTTACGGTACGTCTCTCCTCGTGTAGGGCACGGCCCTGGAGATTGTACGGTCTGCTTATTCCACGCCTTTCTCGACGCCGGAATGCAGTGCGATTCTTCGAGACGGTTCGTGGAGCTGCTGTACCCTCCTCACCGCATACTCACAGGCCGTGTGATCACCTGCAGTCCCGGATCTACTGGATGTCGACCTTCGGGGAGCGCTTCGGCGGTCCGTCTGCTGCAGAGGCGCTGCTCAAGGGAAAGGGCGTCTCGTTGATCCTCAAGTCCATTCAGGTCAACTTCAGGCGGCCCGTGACGCATCCTGACACGGTTAGTCTTTCCCTCGTGATATGCACGTCGTATCTAGCGAGCTCATTCCACGTCCGCCCTGGTCTCTAGCTCATTGTGGCGCACAAACCGCATCGGCCCGCCTCGACTGAATTGGCAGCGGATGCGACACACCTGCACCTACGTGCCTCGGCATATTCCCTGAACCAGCGAGCATTCGTCGCCCACGCCGAGGAAGTCGTCGTGTGGTACGACTACGACAGGCTCAAGAAGTGCACGCCCGAGCAAGGTTTGCTCGACGCGGTCTGGGCGACTGCGGGAAAGCGGCGAAATTGAGGGTGGGAGTTGGCGTGGTGGGGGGCTTGACCACCGATGCGGTACTTCCATTTTCTCGTCGAGTTGTCGGTGGGAGGTCCGTCTCGGGCGGTGCGCTCCTCGTCGTCCCTTGCGGTCCGCTCACGATAGTTCCCAGACTGAATCGACGATTGCTGTCGCTGCGACACCCCCACGGCGTCGTCGACACACTCAACGCGATGGCGCGATGAGAGCGCGGGGGGTGTAGACGGCGGGGGCGGGGGAGAGGGAGGGGACGAGCGCGCACGGAGGTGGGGAGACGCGCGGCGAGGATAGCAACAGAGCGAACGTGTAGTAGCCTACAGACAATGAAAAAGATGCAGTTAGTTTTGCACCCCCTCGAGCGTGAACTTGGTCGCGAGGATGAGCGCTCCCGCCGCGCTTTCAAGCGCGAGCCCTCCCCTCGCACCCCCTCGCCCTCCCTCCGCGAGTAGAGGCCCGTTCACGACGTTATCTCTTGCTCGCACCTCGCGCTCACACCTCGCTTTGCACTCAGCAACAGTCTTTCATTGGGGATCTACTACAGAGGTGCTATCTACACTTTTCACCGCTTCCTCCACCCTTCCCCTTCGTCAACGGTCCACCCCCTGCCTCACCCAACAGCCCCCTCGCTCGGACAAGTCCACCGAGTCGGTGAGCAGACGTGCTCGAAGGTCAGCGAACGCGACAAGATCTCGCAATCACCAGTCATACCCTTCCCCCCATCCGCCCTCCGACCTCACGGCGCATCGCTTACTCCCTCCCGCGACCCCACCCGCGGCGCCGTTGAAGCTGGAATCTCGCGACGAGAAAGTCGACGCACCGACGTGGCCTCGTCCTCAAACTGTCCTTCGCCGCTTGAACGGGCGGGGAGGGAGGAGGGGAGGCTGGAAAAGCGTTAGCTGCGCACGCAGAGGGGGTAAGGACACCTGTACTACTCACAATCGTGTCCGAACACCTTCGCTCGCGCTCGTAATCGTCCTGAGAACCCCACGCTGCCATGCGCTGCCGCGCGCTCGAGCGAGAACGCGCTCCCTCCCTCCCTCCCTCCTCCATCCCTCCCTCTTCCCACCCTCCTTCGTTCCCTCCTCCCTCCCTCGTTGATGGCGCCCGCGACTCTCTATCCCTTCTCCGAATCGTCAACTCACTCCTCCGCGTCGTCTCCCTGCGTCTCAAGCCCCGTCCTCGCGCTTAGCCCCACTCCCTACCCCCTCCTCCTCTCACCACGCAAGCGCACCACCCGCGGTGACGACGGCGGCAATCGAACGGGCGCGTCTCGACGTCGTACGTCGGTGTCCTTTTCCTTCACGGCCGACCTACGAGTTCGTCAGCCACAAAATATCAAGCGCGAAGGAAGGGGGGAAGTGCCCTTCCCCCCGCACCCCTACCCCGCACCCCTACCCCGCTGCCGTCGCGCACCTCTCCCCGGTTTCCCAGGCTTGAGAATCGCGTGCAGAGGGTGCGCGTCGTCGTCTTTAGGTGGGGGGTGAAGGCGAGGTGGGAGAGTCGAGGGGGATGGGGGTGGTTATATGAGCGAGGAGGGGGAGGAAGCGATGGGGGAGGAGGGAGGAAGGGAGGGTTACTCACCCGCTTCGCGCTCGTCGTTGACAGGGCTCGCCCGTGCCTCCGGAGGCTTGAGGTCGACATACATGTAGCCTTTGAATTTGAAGGAAAAGGGTGGAGGGTGGGGTCCCCCACCCCCGTCGCATAGTTCGCCGAGGGAACCCCTCGCGCGTCTCCGACGGTTCGCACCCGCGAAAAGAACCAGCTATTGAGAGGTCAGCATGCGTCTCCTATTTCGCGTGGCATCACGACGTGGAGGTTTGCAGCAACGGGAGAGGATGGAAGGTGAAGGGGGGAGGGGATGAGGAGGGCATCTCACCCTCTTCGCGTTCTTCGTGGAGGTGGTAGGTGCGTACCTTCAGCGATTCACAGTATGGCCAACAACCCGATCTCAATGGGTCAGGGCGTCTGTCCAGTCGAAGGAGAGGGGGTGGAGGGAGGGGTCCCCCACCCTCGTCGCGTATCTCGACGAGCGAGCACGCGCTCGCCTTTCCGGCGGCTCGGACTCGTCGAGTTATCATCTCACACGAGGTCAGTGCGCGCTTCTCGGTGCGTGAGAGAGGCCACTCACCGCTCACACAAGCTCACCTGCTACGCTCGAGACGCCGTCACCCTCCTTCTCGCACTCGACGTCGCCGGCGTCTTGTACACGGATGGCTGACGAAAGACGCATGCGCTTCCAGCGCTTCGATCTCGGCGACGTTCCGCTGATGAGGGGGTCAGCTGTTGGTCAAGAGAAGGGGGTGGGGAGGGTAGCCTACCTTCGCCGACAACCTCACCGAGAGTGCCCGCGTATGCTTCCGGCGGCCACTCAGCGGTCTAGATAGCGTCGAAGAGGACGTTAGATGTATCTCTGTCGTTGTATCAGCGGCGGTCAAGTAGAAAAAAAGGTAGCAAAGACATACTGACTCGGGTCAAAATTCCGACCTGCACGACATAAAAGGAAGTGGAGGGGGTAGAGATACCCCACCCCTCGTCGCGCAGCCTAGTGCGGCAGGCTCGCGCGCCTACCTTGGTCACTAATCCACGACGGGTCATCTGTCGAGGGGTCAGTACGCGCTGGGGGATGACAGGAACAGGTAGGAAGGTTAAACTCACATAACAAGGCCTTTGCGAGGGAGGATACCCCTCCCTCGTCGCACTTCTCCCCTTGAAGCCCTGTTTAAATCCACTCGAAGGTAGGGGGTCAAGGGTTCCCCGGCGCTAAGTGAGAGGCGGCGGAAGGGGAGGGTGCCTAATCGTGGTCGCGGCCTTCGTCGATGGACCCCCCGCGCATGCCTCCGGCGGCTCGGGATCAGCAAAAACTCGCCTGAAAAGAGTTCAGCATAATTTCAGGCAAAGTCCAAATAAACAGCGGCACGTACCAGGGCCAAATTCGTCCATGAAACGACGCTAATTGGAGGGCGGGGGGCCGAGGGATCTGAATTTGCTCCCAGACATCTTGCTTAACGTCCAGATTGCGGGAATGCGGCGTATAGCACGCTCGGCCGTCACCTCAAGATGCGCCGCTTCGTGAAAACTAACGAAAAAACAGACGAAAGGGTCAGCATCAAAGGAAGAAGAGGGTGGTACTCCACCCTCGTCGCATTACTCACCTAGAATACCCCACGCGCGCCTCCGGCGGCTCGGGGTCGGCGTAAAATGGCCCAAAGATGGGGGTCACAGCGACCCGACGTCGGGGTAGAGGAGGAATGAGGGGAGGGGAGGGTGCCCCACCCTCGTCGCAACCTTCGTCGAGAGACCCCGCGCGTGCCTCCGGCGGCTCGGGGTCAGCGAAAAATCGTCTGAAAAGGGTTCGGTAAGCATTCTTGGTAGTTCAAACATGATGAGGGAGCTTACGAAGGTAATTCCATCATTAAGCGGCCGGGGGTCGAGCAACAGCGTCTTTGCTTAACATTCAGATTGCGGGCTGTCGCCGTGTCGTGGGGGCAATCGAGATCTGTTCAGGGGTCAGCAGGGAACGAGAATGTGGTTAGACCCCCGAGTTCGACGAGATACTCACCGAGTTAGCCGTAGCAGTCATAATTTTGCATTCCCTCGGCGATTGCAACGAAGTGGAATAATCTGCGAGGGGTGAACCCCCATCCCCGTCGCGTCGTCCGACGAGGGTGCGCACGCAGGCCTCCCGGCGGTCGGAGCCATACCAAAATTCGCCTATCGAGGGGTCAGCGTGCATCTGATATAGTCGTGTCGCTGGAAAAGAAAAGAAGGTAAACTCACTGGTCAAGCGTCTCGCCTGCGAGAGCGAGACCTTGCCTCCGGTTACTTGGGGGGTCCACGGACGAGGACGAGGGGGTCGCGTACCCCTTCTCGTCGTCATGCAAAGCCTGGGCGAATCTAGACCGTGGTCAGCGGCTGTAGGCGACGGCAAAGGTATCGACTCGCCTCGTGGGACGGCGAGGACGCCGCCTCGTCGTCGTGGGCAGCGGGGCAAAGCGGAGAGCGCGGGCCGGCGGTTGAAGCAGTCTCTGGACCCTGTCAGCACGAGGCATGACGACGAGGGCCGCGAACTTACCGCACAACGTGGCTACAGCCACTCCTGCGTCGTTGAGAGCGTCGGGTGATAGAGGGAGCTGGTCATTTTCGTGTCGAGCGCGGCCCTCGAGACGCGGCGTCGCGTGTTCTTGCTCGCAGTGCAGCGACGCCACGGGCTACGGCGCCGGGAGATGGGGAAGGGGAGGAATAGGGATGGATTTTGAGGCGTCGACAACATCTTGCTCGTCGTCTACGTAGGTCGTCAGCAATCGTGAATATGAGAGTGCAGGCGGCAAGGCATCGACGACGTACCTTGCGAGCGCGATAGCTGAGCTCCGGGTGAGACCGGCGTCCAAGCTGCGCTAGACAGCTCCTCGTTGCCGCTGCCCCGTCGCTTGGTGTGGTGTATAGGGTCGGAGGTCGTCGAGTTCGTCGCCCTCGCGTCCTCCTCCGGCCTGTATGACTACACCTCCTGCAGCGACAAGGTCAACACTATTGCTGCAGGCAGCAACGACCACTCACCAATGCAGTCCTGCCTCCTCGGTAGTGAAGGGAGGCCGATCCCGAAGCCGCCCGAGACGACGAGCGAGCCCGCTGCTGCACAACGCGTCAGGCTTAGTCGAGTGGGGAGCTAGTAGGGACGTACCATTATCAGGATTAATAAGGCATGGTCAAGATGCGTTCGGTGTCGATTGATGGTGCGCGGTCGGAATGGGTCGAGGCATGGCGTGATGGCGATAGGGCTAGAAATGCACGACAATCAGTAGTTGTACAGTATTGTAATGGAGCCAACTCACTCGTCCAGATAGTAGCCTATATAGAAAAGCTTATGAGCAGTGAACTGAAGAAAGAAAGAAAGAAGGAAAGAAAGAAATGAGAGACATACCATTAGAAACAAAGCGGGCAAAACGGCGGGCTATGGATGTAATAGTCAGTAAAGTGAGAGCTGAAAATTGGAGGAACAGTACTTACGAAGGGGACTACTAGAGCGATAGTCAGTAGTATTAGAAGAGGAGGGGGGAGAGGTAGGAGGGAGGTGCTGAATGCTGAGTAGACGGCTAGACATGCCGCCTCTTATACCTGCTCAACGGCAGTCAGCCGTGCCCTGTTTCCGCAAAACTTCCAGACCAAGAGTCCGCCATCACGGGAACAAGACCTCGGCGGTCCGCGACCGAGACCTGCCCAGCAAAAGTCGGAAGATTGGGGGGAATGAGCGCGCCCGGCGCGCGCACAATCTTCCGCCTATCCCTGCGTGGATGTCAGTCAGATCTCGGCGGAAAATATTCCAGACGTACCTCTGCGGCGACGGAAGGCCGGACCCGGGCCGACGGAGGGCGGGGCTCGGGTGTCGTAGGCCCGTTCTTCCGCGGGGTTCCCCTGCGCGTTCAAGTCGTTCTGTGTCGTTAGCTACGCGTTCAGCGCTCAGGAAAGAGCAGCAGAGGATGCGCGGAGGGTACACGAGGCTGGGGGTGACGCGTGACAGGGCCGAGACCCGGCGAGGAGGGAGGGAGACAGGCAGGAAAAGTCGACCTCTCCGAGATCACGTCCTATCTCCATTCGGCAGGCTTTGAGCTGCTCGTAAAGCAGCGTGTCGTCGGCGCGCTTCCACCCCCGGTGGAGCACATCCCAAAATTCAGGCCCAGTATGCGGCACGTGTCCGCGACGCTGTCGACTTGCCGTGTCGTGTCGCCGAGTGGGGTAGGGCCGTGCCATGGGTGTATGCCGCTCAACCCGCCAAGGTGAAGTGGCGAGTCGGCCTCGAGCGTGGCGTGGCCTCCATCGCCGCGCATCAAAGTTCGGGCGGTTTGACGGCGCCCAGATCCCCGCGTCTGGGGTCGTGAATGAGCCGAAAACCGGGAGGGGACGAACGGGGAGGAGAAGGGTCGGACAGGATATCCGCCATGTACACAGGTAGGATGGCGTTCGTCGTGGGTCTTGACGTCGTCAAGATGTTGGGGAGTTCATCCGTGGCGCGCGGGGGTGGCTGAGAGGCTGGCGACGTGGCGGTACCGGCGATGTGATTCTTGGGTTGGCAAGAAAGGTTCTTGTGCACAGGGAGCGCGTGAGAGCGAGGCTGCGTCCGAAGCCCCAATATCTCATAGTATAGTATTACTACCAAGTATATATGTACTTCTTTTTGTCAGTACTGGCGGTGGGCATTGGTATTTGTACTTACCAGATGCGACGCCACATGCTCAGTTCCTCAATTACCTCCCGAGACGTCTTGATGTCATGCAGCTCTTTCCGGGGTGCGGAGATGCACCCTGTAGGATACATCCTTCAAAAGCAATCCCCCATTGATTCCATTGAGATCAGTCTGTATATCCCGTATCGACGTACCGGGGGACGGTCGGCATACATCTGCACACCCCGACCTTCATAGTACCGATATTCCCTGACCTCGCCTCGGTCTCGCCCTCAACTTCTCAAGCTACACCTTGAGCATCGCACAAAGTGCCATAGAACCTTGTGAGAACCATCGGTGGCATTCTGGTAATGGGGGATAGGTGTCGTAGGCTGCTGCGCGCTGTCCCACGATGACTTGACTGATTCTGAGAGATCCCGAAGTGAGGGAGATGGTAAAGCTCGAGGATAAGGGCTTATAGCAGAGGAAAATCCGACGCCGTCGTTGACATCGCGGGGGACTACGTGGATGCATGGGAGACGAGATGAGCGCGCGGGGGAAGAGCGGTCGGCAATTGCCGATGCGCGGGAAAGCGGGGCGGGCGCCGGGCGCCTATCTGGGCGCTTGTTGTCTCCGACCATCACCACCGTCACCCGACGCGCCCTGGCTATTGTTCTCGAGGGCGCGTCTGTGGGGAGAACGAGGATGTGGGGTCTGAGTCTCTGCGGGCCCCTCGGATGAAATGGAATCGTGTTCTCGAGTCTCCGACTGCAGCAAACCACTGAGAATCAATATTCAGCTTCGTGAGGACGATGTGCACGACGAAGAGGTAGGTGCTGGGGAGCCTATTGTGCTCGATTCTGTAAGCCCTCAGGGTCTGCGGGCGGTCTCGGCGCACGTTCTCCGTGCCGCGGCCGCGTCGAATTGGCGAGTTGCTGCTCTCCGTCTCCCTTCACGTCCCGCCATCGGACGATTTCGCCGCCGCCTCCAGACGCCGCGAGCACGTTCTCCGACCCCGGAGAACGTCGCGCCTTCGATTCTGCCAACCTCCCGGCGGCGGTGTTCCCGCGCACGTGGAATTCTGGGCCTGCGCGGACGCAACTTGTTCAAGGTGCGCTCTTCCTCGTGCGATGTTTCCGACTCCGCTCATTCGTCGGACAGCTTCCCCGCCATTGTCTACATCCTTCCCTCTGCCGCGCGTCGTCTTTCAACGCTCAGCATGGTCTGTTCTCGCACAAGTCGGCCTAGGCGATGAGTATACAGAAATTCGCCCGCCGAGCGGCCTAATCCGGTACGAGATCGCGTCCTGGATGTCTGCCTCTCGATTCTAACAACCACTCAGGCCTTCTCTCCTCTCTACACGCCACGTACGGTTCGAAGACCCACGACGCGCTCAAAGCCCTCAAGCAATAGATTTTCGTCCGCCGAGCCAGTAAATCCGGTACGTGCTCTCTTCCCAACCTTGTTCCCGCTGCTGACATTTGCACGTAGACTCGCTCGCTGCGCGCCAGGTTTTGTCGCTGCACCTCACGCCTGATCGTCGCATTCCACGCCACCAGGACGTCTGGGACACCACTTATTCCACAAACGCACACCAAGACGGCTCAAGCGCTCGAAGCGCTGAAGCAATGGATCTTCTTCCGCCGAGCGGGTATATACGGTACGTGCTCACTTCCTCAACGCGTTCCCGCCGCTGACTTCTCCGCGCAGACTCGCTCGCTGCGGCCAGGCCTTCCCTCCGCACGCCACACCTCATCGTTGCGTTCCCCGCCTCATCGTCGCATTCCACGCTACTAGAGCGCCTCAGACATCACTTCGTTCACAACGGCTCGAGTGCTACAAGCGCCGAAGCAATGCATTTGCGTCCGCGGAGCGGGCTATCACAGTACGTGGACAATCACGTAGAAGTTGGGAAGACGCTTACAAAGTGACAGAACGCGGCGACGAAGTTCCAGGCGCTCGTGAGTGCCTCGCCAAGTCCCGAAGCAACGCATAATCGTTCGGCGAGCGGGGCCTTAAGCCCTTTCTCCTCGTCTTTCCGGGCGCGTTCCCGTCCTTCCTGACATGCTCGACAGCATCCTGCGCCTTCGCTCGGCCTCCTCACATCCCCGACCACTCGACCGCGCTCTTGACACTCCCAACACTTCTTTGCAACCTCGGCAGCGCTGTCAAGAGCCATCTCAATGCGCTCCTACCTGCCTCCCTCCCTCACGACCTCCCCAAGCGTCGAAGCAACGTATCGCCGTCCGCCGAGCAGCCTAATAGCGTCCCATCAACGTTTTTGAGACTGCGAGAGCCCCCGAGTCTCCCCCGAGCACCGCCTCAAGGCGTGAAGCAATGTATCGATGCCCCGCGAGCGAGAGCATCGTTCCTGTACTTCATGGCATTATTTATACATTTTAACAACGCTCTTACTCACTGCTTCGGTCTTCTCGATGTCATTACTGCTCGCACTGTACTTCTCTATGCCTTGCTATCTCATTTCTCTTGTCGTCTCTTGCTCACCCTCGTCTTGCTCTTGCTAATCCTCTCATGCTCACTGTCATCTCATTCTCGCTGCTGCCTTCTCACACTTGCTGTGCGCCCACCTCACTTTGAGTCCAGATCTCGCCTCTGATTCAGCATCTCATCTCCGTCTCGACCCAGAATCTTGTGACTCCTTCTCCGAGTCTCGCTCACCGTCTACTCATCTTCTTGACATGAGCACTCCACCCGTCTCGACCTATCCTCACCGTCTGGCTCACTGACCAATGCTCCCTCATCTACCTCACCTACTCGTCTCGTCTTCAAATCGTTCTATCTCACTTGAATCTCACTGCTCGCCACTTGCCCTCATCTCACAACTCATCCTGACTCAACCGACTGTCACGCTCGTATAGTATTGCTCGCACTCGGAGGGAGCATGGGTGGTGCATCGAACAGGCTGGTACTTATATTCTGTGGGGTCGTACGAGATGCAGGAACGAGACCATGGAATTTGCGAGTCGGGAGATCACGCAAGAGCAGGCTGTGATGCGGGAGAACAAGCCCGGGACTGGCCCAAGACTCGGCCGTGGCGCGAGCGGGCGGTGTACGTACACGGGAGTGATCCGTTGGCCTCGACGAGTCGGGAGATCAGTAGCGTAGTAGTCGGTTAGTAGGGAGTAAGCTTGGCAGAGGAGAGTGACAGCGATAGTAAAATCGGTGGGGGAGGATGTAGAGCAGACAGCCACCTGAAACCTCGTACAGGACTAGTGTTCACCATGCCCTACCACCCCCAACTTACCTGACGAGGAACGGAGCACAACGACGAGCTGTAGAATTTGTACAAGCGAGATGTCACGCTTTTGTGAGTTGAGGAGGGCACATAAAATCAGAGAGTGGAGGAATCGAGTAGTAAAGCCACAAATCATCTGGAATAGAGAGGGAGCACACATCCCGGGTAGTCCGAAGGCGCAAAACAAAGAATCTCGAAAAACGCGTTCGACAGCGATGGCACACGTCGTTTCTCAACTTTTCGCCCAGAATGGTAATCTCCCGGTTCAAGTTTCGCTGTGACGTGACAAGGGCCGACGCAGGTCGCCGGCCGTCGACGGACGCGCGCAGGGCCTCGCACCACCACACCACGCCACGCCACCACGCCACTGGCCGACGACCATAAGAGCAGAGCAGAGCGGGAAGCGCACAGCCACCCGCCCGCGGATCCCATGACGCACCCACCCCGGCCTCCCGCGCCGGCATCCGCGCGCTGCCCGCCCAACGGACGCGAGTATTCCCTGCTTTGGCGGAGAGAGCGCGATCGGGACGTGCGAGTCGACTAGGTGCGTGCATCCAGCGAGTGGGGCTCATCCGCCGACTAAGATGGAAGTAGGACGAGAGGACGGGAAGCACGAAATAAGCTTTTCAACCTTCAGTATCGACGCTGTTTGCGCAAGCGCTGTGACCGCCGTTGGCCGAAACGTCCTTGGCGGAAGACGCCGACCACGTTCCATCGCTTGCCCCGTACTACACTTGGAATTTCGACGTTCACCAGCGCTAATGACGATGAACTGACGATGATCGGACTTCGTCAATGGAAGTGACCCGGCGGCAGCGCCGGCACTCGGCCCACACCTTCTCGTCCCGACCCCCGTCGCGTGAGGTCGCGTGCGCGCCGGCGCACGTAATTACGCACCTTCCCCTCCTCCTCCTCCACCCTCCGGGCCTACGTATGCCTTCGCACACCCTCCTGCGCTCCTCCCCCGCGCTCCTCCGCCGCCAGGTCGGCCCAGCGCGCCGTCATACCTCGTCCATTAACGTCAGTGTCACCTTCAAGGTGATACCGGTGGCTGACTACAGGCACAGGCCCTCCTCCAGGCGTTTAAGGATCCGTCATCGCCCTTCCACATTCGCCCGGGCGAGACGGGTCCCGCCTCGCCCGATGAGGAACCACCTGACGCGCCACACGACTCCCGAGCGCCCGTGGATAAAGGCACGGACAGCCCGCCCTCGCATCCAGTGCGGCGGACCTCTCCCCGGGATGCGTCGCCAGCCTCTCTGGCCGAGGCTCGTGCGGCGCTCGTCGACCGCGGGTTTGACCCTGACGTCCTTTGGACGCAGAAGATCGTCTGGGGCGACCTCGATAGCTTTCAGTGCGTATGAACGACTTTATGACGCAGCTGCAGTAGGGTAGACGGCCAGGGCGAGCCGGGAGCTCACCTTTGCGCATTTACAGGCACGTCAACAATGTCCGTTACGGTACGTCTCTCCTCGTGTAGGGCACGGCCCGGGAGATTGTACGGCCTGCTTATTCCACGCCTGTCTCTTCCTGCACTCGACGCCGGAATGCAGTGCGATTCTTCGAGACGGTTCGTGGAGTTGCTGTACCCTCGTCACCGCATACTCACAGGCCGTGTGATCACCTGCAGTCCCGGATCCACTGGATGTCGACCTTCGGAGAGCGCTTCGGCGGCCCGTCTGCCGCAGAGGCGCTGCTCAAGGGCAAGGGCGTCTCGTTGATCCTCAAGTCCATCCAGGTCAACTTCAGGCGGCCCGTGACGCATCCCGACACGGTTAGTGTCTCCCTCGTGATATGCACGTCGTATCTAGCGAGCTCATTGCACGTCCGCCCTGGTCTCTAGCTCATTGTGGCGCACAAACCGCATCGGCCCGCCTCGACTGAATTGGCAGCGGATGCGACACACCTGCACCTACGTGCCTCGGCATATTCCCTGAACCAGCGAGCGTTCGTTGCCCACGCCGAGGAAGTTGTCGTGTGGTACGACTACGACAGGCTGAAGAAGTGCACGCCCGAGCAAGGTTTGCTCAATGCGGTCTGGGCGACTGCGGGAAAGCGGCGAAATTGAGGGTTTTGGAGTGGGGGCTTGACCACCGACGCGGTACTTCCATTTTCTCGTCGAGTTGTCGGTGGGAGGTCCGTCTCGGGCGGTGCGCTCCTCATCGTCCCTTGCGGTCCGCTCACGACGGTTCCCAGACCAAATCGACGATTGCTGTCGCTGCGACACCCCCACGGCGTCGTCTACACATTCAACGCGATTGCGCGATGAGAGTGTGGAGGGTGTAGACGGGGAGGGCGGTGGAGAGGGAGGGGACGAGCACGCACGGAGGTGGGGAGACGCGCGGCGAGGATAGCAACAGAGCGAATGTGTAGCGTATAGACAATAGAAGACGCAGTTTTGCACCCCCTCGAGCGTGAACTTGGTCGCGAGGATGAGCGCTCCCGCCGCGCTCTCAAGCCCTCCCCTCGCACCCCCTCGCCCTCCCTCCGCAAGTAGAGGCCCGTTCACGATGTTATCTTGTGCTCACACCTCGCACTCACACCTCGCTTTGGACTCGGCAACGGTCTTTCATTGAATATCTACCACAGAAGTCCTACCTACAATTTCCCCAGCGTCCTCCACCCTTCCCCTTTGTCCCCAGACCATCCCTTACCCCACCAGACAGCCCCCTCACTCGGGGAGGTTCCTCGGGTCGGTGAGCAGACGTGCTCGAAGGGTGAGCGAACGTGACAAGACCACGCACCCACCAGCCATGCCCTTTCCCTCCCTTCCCCCCATACCCCCTCCGACCGCACGAAACATCGCTCATGACCTTCCGCGACGCGAAAGTCGATATACCGACGTGGCCTCGTCGCCGCACTGTCCTTCGTCGCTCGACGGACGCGGGGAGGGAGGGAGGGAAGAGGGGAGGTTGAAGAAGCGTTAGCCGCGCACGCAGAGGGGGATAAGGGCACCTGTACAGCTCCCGACCGTCTCCGAAATCCTTCGCTCGCGCTCGAACCCGCTCGGAGAGCTCAACGCCGATAGGCGCCGTCGCGCGCCCGGGCGGAAGCGCGCTCTCCCCCTCCCTCCTCCCTCCCTACCCAACGGCGCCTCCGACCCTCCCTCCCTGCTCCCCATCGTCAACTCACTCATCCGCGTCGTCTCCCTGCGTCTCAAGCCCCGTCCCCGCGAGCTTTCCTGTTTTTCCCCACCCTCCCTTCGCACCCCTCCCTACCCCCCTCCATCCCCCCCCCTCGCAAGCGCACCACCCGCGGCGACAACGGCCGAGATCGAAGGGGCGCGTCTCGACGTCGTACCTCGGTGTCCTTCTCCTTCACGGCCGACCTACAAGCCCGTCAGCCACAAAACATCAAGCGCGAAGGAAGGGGGGAAGTGCCCTCCCCCCGCACCCCTACCTCGCTGCCGTCGCGCACCTCTCCCCGGTTTCCCAGGCTTGAAAATCGCGTGCAGAGGGTGCGCGTCGTCGTCGTTGGGTGCGGGGTGAAGGGAATGTGGGAGAGTCGAGGGGGGTAGGGATTTTATATGAGCGAGGAGGGGGAGGAAGGGAGGAGGGAGGAGGGAGGGACGGTTACTCACCCTCTTCGTGCTCGTCGTCGAGGGGGCTCGCCCGTGCTTCAGGAAGTTTGAGGTCGATATAAATCCGGCCTCTGAGAGATTGGGGCATGAGGGAAAAGGGTGGAGGGGAAGATCCCCCACCCCCGTCGCATCCTTCGCCGAGGGAACCCCGCGCGTGTCTCCGACGGCTCGCACTCGCGAAAAGAATTGTCTATAGAGAGGTCAGCATGCGCCTCTTGTTTCACGGCATTACGACGCGCAGGGATGTACGCAGCGGGGGAGGGGGGAGGGATGAAGGGAGGAGAGGGGAGGGATGAAGGGGGGAGGGGATGAGGAGGGCATCTCACCCTCTTCGCGTTCTTCGTGGAGGTAGTTCCTGCGTACCTTCAGCACTTCACGGTACGGCCAAAAACCCAATCTCAATGGGTCAGGGCGTCTCTCCAGTCGAAGGGGAGGGGGGTGGAGGTCGGAGTCCCCCACCCTCGTCGCGTATTTCGACGAGCGAGCACGCGCTCGCCATTCCGGCGGCTCAGACTCGTCGAGTCATCGTCTCGCAAGAGGTCAGTGTGTGATTCTAGGTGCGCAGGAGAGACCACTCACCCCTCACGCAAGCTCACCCGCTACGCTCGAGACGCCGTCACCCTCCTTCTCGCACTCAACGTCGCCGGCGTCTTGTACACGGACTGTTGACAAATCACACGCGCGCCTTCAGCGCTTCAAGCTTGGCGACGTTCCGCTGATGAAGGGGTCAGCGGGTGGTCAAGAGAAGGGGGTGGGGAGGGTACCCCACCCTCGCCGACAACCTTACCGAGGCCCCGCGTGCTTCCGGCGGTCACTCAGCGGCCTAGGTGGCGTCGAAGAGGACGTCAGATGCATCTCTGTGGCTGTATCAGTGGCGGTCAAGTAGAAAAAAGGTAGCAAAGACATACCGACTCGGGTCGAAATATCGACCTGCACGACCTCAAAGGAAGTGGAGGGGGTAGCGATACCCTGCCCCTCGTCGCGCAGCCTAGCGCGGCAAGTTCGCGCACCTACCTCGGTCACTAATTCACGACGGATAATCGGTCAAGGGATCAGTACGCGCTGGGGGGATGACGGGAATAGGTAGGAAGGTCAAACTCACATAACAAGGCCTTTGCGAGGGAGGATACCCCTCCCTCGCCGCATTTCTCCTCTTGAAGCCCCGCGCACGCCTCCGGCGGCTTCCCAGTAGCCGAAATGGCGCTTAAGAAGGGCATACGTAGACCTAGATGACATTATTAGCCACAGCCAAGCGACCGTGATAGAAGGGACGTACTTCTCGAGGGAGAGTAGCCCTCCCTCGCCGCATCTAGAAAACCCCTCGCGCACCTTCGGCGGCTTGCGGCCAGCGAGAAAGGCGGTGCAAAAACGGGGGTCAAAGGTTCCCCGGCGCGCTTATCGAGAGGCAGCGGAGGGTGCCCAACCCTCGTCGCAGCCTTCGCCGAGAGACCCTCCGCATGCCTCCGGCGGCTCGGGGTCAGCAGAAACTCGCCTGACAAGGGTTCAGCATGTTTTCAAGCAAAGTCCAAATAAATAGCGGCACGTACCAGGGTTTTACCGTCGTTTTATCGACGAGAGCGGAGGGTTGAGGGGTCTGGTTTTGCTCTGAGACATCTTGCTTAACATCCGGATTGCGGGAATGCGGCGTATAGCACGCTCGGTCGTCGCCTCAGACTTACGAAAACCAGACGAAAGGGTCAGCATCGAAGGAAAGAAGAGGGTGGTACCCCACCCTCGCCGCATTACTCACCTAGAATACCCCACGCACGCCTCCGGCGGCTCGGGGTCGGCGTAAAATGCCCCAAAGGTGGGGGCCATAGCGGCCCGACGTCGGGGTAGAGAAGGAGGAAGGGGAGGGTGCCCCACCCTCGTCGCATCCTTCGCCGAGGGACCCCGCGCGTGCCTCCGGCGGCTCGGGGTCTGCAGAAAATCGTCTGAAAAGGGGTCAGTAAGCACGCTTCGTAGTTCAAACACAAGGAGGGTACTCACGGCCTTTTCAGTCGGCATGGGGGTCGAGAAATAAGGACCTTGCTTAACATTCAGATTGCGTGAAGGTTGGCTTACGACGCCCCTCTGCTGCCGTCGTGCCGGTGGCTGCATTCGAGATTCGATCAAGGGGTCAGCAGTGAGGGAACATGAAATTAAACCCCCAAATTCGCCGAGTGTTTCGACGATGTCGATACTATCTATGAAGTGGTCAGCCCCCGCGTGTACGGTACAACAGGCAGGGGTCAACAACGAACCCAATCGACCATATTTCGCTCTCTCACGGCGATTGCGACTCAGTGGAATGATTTGCAAGGGGTATCCCCGTCGCGTCGTCCGACGAGGGTGCGTACGCAGGGCTCCAGCGGTCGGAGCCACACCAAAAATTTGCCTATCAAGGGGTCAGCTTGCATCTGATATAGCGGGTACCGGGTCGTAATCTTGAAAAAGAAGGTAAGCTCACTGGTCAAGCGTCTCGCCTGCGAAAGCGAGACCTTGCCTCCGGTTACTTGGGGGGTCCACGGACGAGGACGAGGGGGTCGCGTACCCCTTCTCGTCGTTGTGCAAAGCCT